CCTTTGCTAACCGAGTCCCCGAGGACAGACCTTCGAGCGGCGCATTCTTTCGAAAGCAATCGACCCACATCTGCCCACAATGTCTCAACCCCCACCTCCAAATGGACTGATCTTCGACCTCATAACTTTCTGGCCGTGCCAAATTCTCGTTCTAGGGGAAATTCCGTTGACTCGGAAGAGCCAGGCCATTCCCCTACAACATATAGTGGTGAGACCTCGGTGCCTTCCCTAGCCTCGACGGCTGAGGGCAGAGCGAGCACTGAAGTTAGTAACGATAATATAATCAATAACGAAGAGGCATTGAAAGCGGATCGTGGCACGGAAACGGACTTTCAGGTCGAAGACAACAAATTTGCGTTTTCCCCAGGCCAGCTGAACAAATTGCTCAACCCGAAAAGTTTCGCCGCTTTTCATGCGTTGGGGGGATTGAGGGGCCTTGAGAAAGGACTCCGGACCGACAGACTGGCAGGGTTGTCCTTGGACGAGAAGAAACTCGACGGGAGCGTGGGCTTCGATCAGGCTGTAGCAGCTGGCTCTCAGGACAAAGACTCTGAAGACCAAGGAGGTCGGCTTATATCAAGAACGACAACAACCGGAACCTCGAGGAAATTATCAGAGGACTCGTTCATAGACCGCAAACGCGTTTTCAAAGACAACCGTTTGCCGGAAAAAAAAACCAAGAGCATATTTCAGCTTGCTTGGATGGCATACAACGACAAAGTATTGATACTGCTAACCGTTGCCGCTGTTATATCTTTGGCTCTGGGTATATATCAATCGGTGACCCCTCAGCCAAACGGTGAAGCACCTGTGGAGTGGGTCGAGGGCGTTGCCATCATGGTAGCGATTATAATAGTTGTTGTCGTCGGCGCTGCAAATGACTGGCAAAAGGAGCGACAGTTCGTCAAGCTGAATAGGAAGAAAGAAGACAGGGATGTCAAGGTCATTCGATCAGGAAAATCTAGAGAGATCTCTGTGCACGACATCCTAGTCGGCGACGTTGTGCATCTTGAGCCTGGAGACATGATACCAGTTGATGGTATTTATATCTCCGGACATAACCTCAAGTGTGACGAATCGTCTGCTACAGGTGAATCAGATTTACTCAGAAAGCAGTCGGGTGACGAATTATATGCTGCTATCGAATCTCATCGCAGCCTGGCTAAGATAGACTGCTTCATCATCTCAGGTAGCAAAGTTTCGGAGGGCATTGGCACGTTTCTTGTCACTGCAGTCGGAGTCAATTCAAGCTATGGAAAGACTATGATGGACCTACGCCAGCCTTCTCAAACCACACCATTGCAATCGAAGCTCAACGTTCTTGCAGAGTACATCGCCAAATTGGGCCTCGGTGCTGGTCTTGTCCTTTTCGTGGCAACCTTTATTAGATTTCTGGTTCAACTGAACACCATCCAAGGAGGAGCGAGCGAAAAAGGACAGCGATTCTTACAAGTTTTCATAGTGGCTGTTACCATTGTTGTCGTCGCGGTCCCAGAAGGTCTCCCTCTTGCTGTCACATTGGCGCTTGCATTCGCAACTACTAGGATGCTTAAGGATAATAACCTAGTTCGGCTCTTGCGAGCATGCGAGACGATGGGCAATGCGACAGTCATTTGCTCAGATAAAACAGGTACTTTGACGCAGAACAGAATGTCTACAGTTGCCGGCATATTGGGTACTACAGCCCGATTTGGGGACAAAAGAAGCCCAGAAACATCTGCGTCGAATTCACCTGATTCTCCTACCAAAGGCAGAACTGTCTCAGCAGAACAGGATATTCAGGATGTGTCCACGTCGCACTTCGTCTCCATACTCGCTGATGATGTGAAAGAGATGCTAAAGCAATCTATAGCGGTAAACTCGACAGCTTTTGAAGGCGAGGATGATGGCGGACAAGAGATTTTTGTAGGATCGAAAACAGAAACAGCTCTGCTGAGCTTCGCTCGAGATCATCTCGCCATGGGATCCGTGAGTGAAGAAAGGGCAAACGCCAACGTCGTCCAATTCGTCCCTTTCGATTCGGCGAGAAAATGCATGGCTGCCGTGGTTAAGATAGACCAAAAGCGATATCGAATGTTTGTCAAAGGTGCCTCGGAGATTCTGCTCGGAAGATGTTCGAAGATCATTCAGGATCCCACCCGTGAGATGTCAGAAAGAGACATTACGCCTGGAAGCATCGAGTTTCTTGAACAGATCATCGACAACTATGCTTCACGGTCGCTACGAACTATCGGGCTCTTATACAGAGACTTTGAGCAGTGGCCTCCTCGAGGCGTACCAACTCAGGAGGATGATCAAAACCTCGCCGTCTTCGAGAAAGTATTCAAAGAAATGGTGTTTTTTGGAATTGTTGGTATTCAAGACCCACTGCGGGATGGTGTTGCTGATGCCGTTCGTGTATGTCAAAATGCTGGGGTCAAAGTACGCATGGTGACAGGAGATAATCTTCTCACTGCCAAAGCTATTGCAGAAGAATGTGGAATCTACACGGCTGGAGGTGTAGTAATGGAAGGTCCCGCCTTCCGAAGACTAAGTTCAAGGGAGAAGGATGAAGTTATCCCAAACCTCCAAGTGCTTGCTAGGTCAAGTCCCGGTGACAAGCGGACCTTGGTTCTACATTTGAAAAAGCTGAAAGAAACTGTTGCTGTGACAGGTGATGGTACGAATGACGCGCCTGCGCTCAAGGCTGCCGACGTGGGATTTTCTATGGGTATTGCAGGGACAGAAGTGGCGAAAGAGGCTTCGGCAATTATACTAATGGACGACAACTTTGCCTCTATTGTCAAAGCAATCATGTGGGGCAGAGCTGTCAACGACTCCGTCAAGAAGTTCCTCCAGGTTCGTTACCCGCCTCAAATTCTCAAGCACATTGGCTAACCATCTGTAGTTCCAAGTCACAGTCAACATCACTGCCGTGGTCTTGACTTTCATATCTGCCGTTGCCAGCAGTACTGAGACCTCGGTGTTGACAGCTGTCCAACTGCTATGGGTAAATCTCATCATGGATACCTTCGCCGCCCTTGCTTTAGCCACCGATCCCCCCACACCCAACATCCTGGATCGAAAACCTGAGCCCAAGTCTGCACCGTTGATAACATTGACCATGTGGAAGATGATCATCGGTCAATCGGTATTCCAGCTTATTGTTACATTAGTGCTGTACTTTGCTGGAGCATCTTTCCTCTCGTATCAAACGCAACGTGAGCAGAATCAATTGCAGACTTTAATCTTCAATACCTTCGTGTGGATGCAAATATTCAACCAGTACAACAATAGACGCATCGACAACAAGATGAACATCTTCGAAGGCATACAGCGGAATTACTTCTTCATTGGCATCCAGCTCATCATTGTTGGGGGACAGATCATGATCGTGTTCATCGGTGGTGACGCCTTCTCTACACATCGACTAAATGGTGCTCAATGGGGCTACTCCGTGGTCTTAGGATTTCTTTCTATACCTGTAGCAGTGATGATCCGCATGATACCAGACGACCTCATAAGGAAGCTGATACCATCCTGGTTTATCCGGAAAGCAACACCTAAGTTGCTGGTGTCCGACGAGGAGCGACAGTACGAATGGCATTCCGCGTTGGAAGATATTCGAGAAGAGTTGACGTTTTTGAAGAAGCTCCGTGGTGGACGTCTCAACGTGCTTAGGTATAAGCTTCAACATCCAGTAGAGACTTTCTTGCCACGATCCAGAAGCGGTTCATCTCGATCAAGATCGCGAACCAACTCGCGACCTCAAACACCTACTGGGGAGCAAGGGGAAGGCGACCCCGGTAGCAATCAGCTACCTCCCACTCCTGAGTCCCGAAGATCGGCCCAGCGGAGGTCACCAAGATCACGGTCAAATTCTGCATTTGGCCCAGCTGCTGCGATGGCAGGCATCGTTGCTGGTAGTGTGGCCGGATGGTCACCCATTGGTCGTCGAAGCGAGGATGGCAGCTCGATGAGGTTTTCACCATCTGATGGTAGATCTCAGCTCGACGGTCATGAGGGCACTGAGGTGCATCCCGCAGCAAGCTCGCACGATCTGATCTCAAGTGAGAATGAGCGCTCGCAGTCAGGCCACCTACAAGCAGACCAGGGCCCTGAAAACAGCCATGCCCCTGGGCCATCCTCGTTAGCTCCGCCGCAGCGTGCATACTGAGACAAGGGCTTAGATGGAGTCGCGCGATACTCTTCGTTCGTTTCTGGACCGAATGTTTTAAAACAACACCTTTCATCTTTTACGGGAGTTAGAGCTTCTTGTTCAGTTTGGGATGAAGCCTTGTCATGAGCGTGCATGAATCGGCGTTTGGGAGTAAAAGCGGTACAGAAGAATAATGAGCATGAGACGTCAAAAGTAGATGGCGCTCGTTTGGAGCTCCGCAATGTCTATCGGAGCACATATGCTTGGGATCATTTCGGCTACAACAAAACTGGTCTCTGGGAGGGGTGCTGGACAGGTAGCATACGTAGCACTATCGCTGTAACATAACCTTTTCGGCATTTACATCAAGTTCTTTCGCCTTCTTGAGTGTTAGTATTCCCTCATAGACATATCAACAGCGTCGCTATCATGGGCAGGACAGAGCAACATAGTATGCATCCCGGAACATTCACATCAGTTATGTACGGTAGTCACCCTGATATATCACAGATCCAAGCATGCCGATTACCTAAAACGACCAAGATTTGTCTCGCCAGGACAATTCCCAACGCCTCTCGTTGAACCACGAGGTCTCAAGGTAGCGACCAGAATACATTCTGAGTACGCGATAAGTGATCGGCAATCCTGTAAGTATCATGTCGTATCACAAATACAAGTGACAGCTGTTGAATTCAACGAGTCCATATGCGCAATGAAATTAGTACACCATCCTTTCAATACCTCGCCCGCTTATATGTTTTCTCTTCTTCAACATGTGTCCCAATCGTACAGCCTTCAGCAGTGCCTACACGCTCGCAGCAGCTAAATGTAAAATCTTCAGGGAATTCTTCCTCTAGATCAGTTATTCGGCCATGGCAATTTTCATCGTGATCTGTCCATATATCGGCTTGCTAGTCAGGCTCTCGCTCGCCTACAGAATCATTTAGCTCAGAGGCAAGTATCTGGAGAAGCTAGTTTGAACATACCGGGGTGCCATACACAGCTGTCCTTTCCATTGTCTGTCACGTCGAATTCTTCCGAACAATTTGTGCAGGTTGCAGACCTTGATCGCAACCTTTTGACACCGTCGGCCTGAATTAGTGGAGCCCCATTGGAGAAGATGTGGGGACGGTCCTCTTCTTCCTCTTTATCACCACCATCATCTTCTCCATTCACGTCATCGCTATCTTCGCTGTCGTCTTCATCATCTCTAGTGTCGGTACCGACTTCTTCGTCTTCGTCTTCGTCTTCGTCTTGATCCTGATCCGCATCATCTTCAGTTCTATTTCTCCGGTCTATCGTCTTATGCTTGACTTGTTCTTCCGGTACACGCAGGAGACTTCGCGCGACTCCAAACGTGCAATCTCCTCCTGCCGCTCCTCAGATACCCTTGTCACAGCGGGGCTTGACACGGTCAAATCTACGATGGTAGGCGACATGATTGGATTCGATTTGGTAGACGAGATGATGTGAGAAAGCGCACAGGTGACTCAATGCTGAGTGGACATGATATTCGTTTACTTGGATGTCGGTGTGAATAGTGAGCTAGCCTTTCACTATTTCTACTAGAGAAGTGGAGTTGGTTGGACGGTGACAGACGAGGAGGGTTGGGAAATGGACGATGATAAAATTGCGAAAGTACAAGAAGAGGCCTGAAGACAGTGTAAGAGCAGAATTCTAACTCGCATGGTCTAGTATTTGTTTTGGTGATACAGTACTACTACCTCATCTCTTTAACGATAATATGAATGAATACTCTGCGAAGGGTAGAAAGTAGAGAAACCCTGAGCCACGCTCGCGACAGCAGCAGTGGCCTACCTAGCACCTAGTGGCTTGATGCCAAGCTAGAAAATAAAAAGCACCGCAACACCATTAATATTGTACCAGCGCTATTAGGAATTAACCCTGATACGAACTAAATACCCCCAACAATTAGGGTCCCTTGGGTAGTGGTGACCAAAGCCGGGAGCTAAAACGCGGGCTTGGTTGTTAGGGGTATTTAATTCGTATTAGGTTCGATTATGGCGTTGCGATGTTTTTGATTTTCTGGCAGCGCTAGTATTAGCCTTAGGTTTTAAAGTTCTGAACCGAGAATAGCCGTTGGTTCGAATTCCCCCAGTGCTTTCACGCCGGAAAATATTTGTTGGTTAACTTACCGTCCGAGGCGGACGCCTGTTGGTTCATGGTTGTGGTCGTGTTGCTGGGGGTATTTAGTTCGTATTAGGTTCGATTCTTAATGGCGCTGGTACAATGGTGTTGCGGTGCTTTCCATTTATTTTCTACCCAAGACTGACTCCAAGTACGAGTATACCTACATGTACAGAAGTAAGATCTTACCATGATTACGGCTACTTTGTATATACATATCATAAATCGTGTATCCGACGAGAAGCCATTCGAATTTCGGCCATTACAGACGCCCACATAAACACATTTTATGCTAACGGAGTACTTGTTTGACTTCACTTGGACTGCGCAGCCATAAAGTGAACAACTTCTATTCATCATCCAGGGTACAGTCAAGCCCATGATCACTGTTTTCTTCTTGTGACAAGGAGAAGTCAACGACCAACCACGGAGCTTGAAAAACAACTTATAAAACCATATTAGCGCGAGCATCGCGAATGGTGGCGAGATGAGGGAAGACTTCACCGGAAGTATAGGCAACCTTACAGATAGCGACGCATTTGCATACCAGCTCCCTCCACCACTTCTCGCATTCTCTCCCTACCTTTACCTGCTCTTTGGCCTCTCCTACCTCACACTCGTCGCCTGTCTCCGCAACCGTCACCTCCGCTCAACCCGCGTTGAACATCCCTACCCCACGCGCACCTCTTTTGCCTCTATGACCAATGAAGATGCTTATTTGATTCAGCTGGACATTGCGGAGCTCGAATTTCCTTTTACGTTCGAAAAAAGTCTGCAATTTGCACTATTTCGCACCTATGGCATACCAACCATCTCAAAGCTGCTTGTACAAACGAGTCAGTTGAGTGAGGAAAGTACCGCCACGAAACGGTACGCGGATACAGGGATTTTACTCGCTGAGTTTCTAGGATACCATCCCACAAGTGCCAGAAGCATAGAGGCTATCGGTCGCATGAATTACATACATAGCCAGTACCAAAAATCCGGTAAGATCCTGGACGATGACCTCCTCTATACACTCGCGCTTTTCGCTTGCGAACCCGCGCGTTGGATAGATCAGTACGAATGGCGAAATCTCGAGAACTTTGAGAAGTGTGCAATCGGCACCTTCTGGAAGGCCATTGGTGATGCCATGGAAATTTCTTATACGAATTTGAAGAGTGGTGGAGAGGGAGGGCAGGGTTGGATAGATGGGCTCCAGTGGTTGGACGAATTGAAAGCGTGGTCCGCCGAGTATGAGAAGCGGTTTATGGTGCCAGATAAGAACAACCAGAAGACTGCGGACCAGACCGTGGCGATTCTGTTATACAGCATGCCCGGGTTCTTGAAACCGCACGGGAGGAGAATTGTCGGTGCGTTGATGGATGATAGGTTAAGGACGGCAATGATGTACGTATCTTCATTTTCATGAGTCATACAGCCCTTAAATTTATTATCTGACGGTCGTTTGTCCAGGTACAAGAAACCAAGGAAGTTGTACTTCGTCCTCGTCTCCACCCTTTTCACCGTCCGCAAGTTTGTCCTGCGCTACCTCATGTTCCCCCGCCCTCCATTCCTCCGTGTCCATAATACTACCCATGAGCCATCACAAGCTGGCACATACTACATGAGGGTCTATGAGACCCATCCGTGGTATGTAAAACCAAGTTTGTTTAATCGATACGGAATCCGGGCTTGGAAGGATTGGATCATGGGGTTGCCAGTGCCAGGGGACGAGGGTGATAAGTATCGGCCTTCGGGGTATAAGATACCTGAGGTAGGGCCGGACTTTATGAGAGGGAAGGGGGTGGACTATATGAGAGCGTCGAGGGAGAGGCTTGTTGGCGAGCGGATGAAAGGATGCCCGTTCGGAAGGCCGAAAAAGGAGTGACCAGAGTGAAGTTAGCATTTCGTGCATTGTACGGTCGGCGCTTGCATCGAGAGTTGGCATGCAATGGTGGCTGTTTTCTATTCAAAACAAGTCCGAACGTCAGTCAGTGATCACAATATTGCAGGCGCTCTGCTAGATACATATCATCAGTATCCGCAGTAGAAAGAATCCGTAGTATATCAGCACCGAGTGGAAACACCCTAAATGTCCTTGTTATCCGCTTGAAAACTGTATGTAAGAAATGTTTTTTTTTGATAGGAAGAGCGATTGATATTGCATACTAATTGCCAAGCAACGCGGGCGAGATCATTGTGCTGTCTACAAACCCAACGTCTGACCCGTTACTACGTCACATTGCCACCGCTTTCAGTTTAAATGGTAATGGTAGCACAGTAATTTTTGGCAGGAGAGTGAATGGATGTACTGCGCGTACTCGAGGCGCTTGTTTAAGCCCACCACCTTCTCTGGAGGCATGTTCCCCTTGGCCATCATGTGGATCGCAGAGTCTCTTCCATCCTGCTAGGCCACATGCCCTTTTCTCCATCTCCAGCCATGTGAATTCACTGGTATGATCTTGGATGCCAAAAGAGATTTCCAACCACAGATCGCGGAGGATAAGTTTGGCAGTGTTTGAAGAGAGATCATTGTCCAACACCTAAATTCGGCAGTGCAGCACCTATATACACTCTTTACCCTAGTACTTCCTCGAAATCCCAATTAAAGACCAATCAAACGTGTCCGTTTCGAGGTCTTTGACGAGTCGTCCCCTCTGATCATCCGGTCATCCGATCCTTCGATAGCCTTTTCTATGTCTGTTTCTTTGCCTCGTCGTCAGGATCCGGTAATATACCCTCCGCTTCCAGTCTTCTCCTTGCCTCTTCTAACGCCCATGTTTGTATTCTGTTGCCAGCTGTCAGCGCTCTATCAAACATTCCGTTCGCTTCATGCGAAGTCAATTGATATCATTGTCATCAGGGGTTCGGTCCTCTAGGTCGGTCCTCCGGGCCCACACCTTCCTTCCCTCTCTGAAATCGATGCAGAACTGTAAAGGACTTACGAAGTATCAGGCTTATAAGCATAAGCTACAATCCCCAACAGCAAACTGCCCCAATACCCATACACCCACGCATTCTCCCATCCTTCCTTCTTGTATTTCTCGCCCGGAGGGATTCCAAAAAGCCAGCCGGATGGTGGATCATAGTGGCTCTCGTGTGAAGCTGTGTCTGGCGAAGGGTGCTCGGAAACGTCTGGCGGGTGAGTGGAGGCGAGGGTGCGAGCCGCTGAGGGGCGTGGTGGTGGAAAATATCGCGCTGGATGTGAGGAGAGGAGGGAGGTCGGTCTAAAGAGGTGGATTTGGGGGCGTATAGGAGGCATTGAGCAGATTTGTCTGTAAGCAGTGTCGTGGTGAAGAGATGTGAGGTCAATTTGGAGACCAGGCTGGAGCAGTGAGAGATCGCGGCTTGGCATATCGAATCTAGCGGCACTTCCCAATTCTCCGGTTCACGTGCGACACGCCTTCAACCTCAATCATTCCTGATATACAGATATCCCCAGCTTATATGGTTTCATTACGGGCACGTTCGGGCTTGGGCCACGTAACGCTGACCGAAAAATCTATATACATCTCCTATGTTGTCAATCCTTCTCAGTCGTCGAAAGCTGACGATGACCTGGCTCTCTGGGTGCACTCTCCCTGCCAATGCAAATCCATGTTCCGCTAAATGTAAAAAGCCCGCTCAAATACACAGAGTCCCCTGGATCGATCATGCCATTACTATCGTCTTGTTGTTGTTCTCCTGGTATCCCGTGTCCTTCGATCTGATGACTCGCTACCTGAGAAAAGGTCAGCATATAGAGAAGGCAGTTGACTGATTAGATGTGACTCACTTTCACTGGAATAATCGCTATACGAATAGCTGCTCGCTGTTGTCTCGGTCTTCGCCTTCCTATCCCTTCGTCTCTTGAACCCCAAGAAAATTGCCAAGGCGCCCAGGATCCCGGCTACACCCAAGAATCCGCCCAAACCATCCTGCTTCGGCCTATCGACTCTCGCCGGCCGCGCGGTGCCACCGTACCACGTTCGTCCGCCGCCTCCCGATGTACGCCCATGGTGGGAATATCGCTCTTCCTCGATAACTTCGCCCCTGCGCCTCCTGTTCCTTAGGCCGAAGAAGCTCAGTATGCCGTCGAGCAGACCCTTGAAGCAGTAGAAGGCGCAGAAGAGAAAAAGTAAGAATAAACCGAGTAGGACGCCAATGACGATACCCGCAATCGCGCCGGCACTCAGGCCATTGTTGGCTGTTGTGGCGGTCATGCCGGCAGCGCTGCTTGCACTTGAAGCAGAGGCCGATGCTGTCATGAAAGGCACTGTCGTTGTCATAGAGCCGGTTGATGTGACCGTTGTTGCTACGTTGGTGGTTGGTCGAATAAAAGCTGTGTTGGTGGCAGCGGCCGTGGTGGTGGATATCACAGAGTTCAAGTAGGAACTGCTGAGGTCACTGTTTCCGTTGCTCGCTGCGCATTGGCCGGCAAAAGCGCAATATTGCCCCACAGCGCAGCAGATGGTGCCGCAGGGGCTCTCATTCATTGAATTGTCGCATGAGATGGCTGAGATGACGGGAGCAGCAGCGGCGGTAGTCGTGCTCTCAGCGGCAAAGAAGGAGCTGTAAGTGGACGTCATCGTGACTAGCTCGCTCTCCACGTAGGTCGTGGTGTAGTATTCCCATTGTCCTTCTCCGGAGGTGTCTGCGCTTGAGCTGGCTACACACTCGGCTTGGCCCAAAGAATTCGTCGAACATGCCTGCTCGGAAGTACAGCACAGTTGGCCTGACCATCCACACACGCTGCCAGCACAGCTTCGTTCAGAGAGGTAATGGTACTGAGATTCGAGCAGCTCTCTGTCTCGAGCATTAGGTCTTGCATCCGAGGTGTGAGTCGAAGAGAGAATGGAGAAGAGGAGGGAGAGGAGGGTCGGTGGCTGTGAGAAAAGCATTTCCGTGGAATGTATATGGTCGACGCGAGGAATGGAGGAAGCGCTGAGCGCTTGAGTTTTGGTGGTTCCGCAGAAGCCCAAATCCGTTTGTCTCTGTCAACTTCCACTTCGTTATCAGCAACAATTGCGACGGCAACAACGAGTCGATAAAACGAGCGTCAACTATTATGAGGGAAGAGAGAGATATGCGAAAGAGTAAGGGATTGCAAGGGCAGGTTTCTATCACCACCAAATTGGCCGCCCAACCCCCCTCCTCCCAGCCACCGCTTCCCGCACACTCGACCACTGAGAAGGCACACCACAACGAAGTCACACAACTACCGTCAAACTGAGGAGGCTGAGATTGATGACGGTGAGTCAATTCACTATATCTTCATCTGTGCAATTGACTGCACCGTGGTTGAGCCCTCCTTCGTTGTCCGCGGAATGGCGGGGGCGAATGATTTTCGCTTGTTTTTCCACTTTTAGCGTTTCAGTGTTGGCAGGACAGCCAATGCCAATAAGTACTTTCAGACCCTACCCTAGAGTACTTTATTTGGAGTCGATTTTTAAGGGACAACGTTTCCGCTGCAAAATTACTCTCAAGATATGACTTTTTTTTACTTGTAATGTCGTAGTATTTGGGGACGAATTCCTTCCCAAGCCTTGGGTTCTCAAGTCTCATTACGTACGTAAAGTATTGGTGGCTATCTACCCAACACCAGCTTCTCTATTCTTTTTACAGAGAAAAGTAAAGCTGAAAAAAAGTCAAGATCATACGTGGTCATTCATGCTTGCCTGCCGTCGCCGTGCCCATGTAACCTCGCTCCCATTTGAAAAGTTCAGTCATCAAACAATCGCTGATTCTAGCATATCCCAAATCATTGACATGGACAACATGAGAAAGATCAAATTGTCTTTCTCTCAATCCACGACTAGACCCGCCAGTCCTACTACTACTCCCATACCTACGCCATACAAAGCCGCCGCACATCCTGTTGGCGCGGCATTGGCACTTCCCTCAACAAACGTCCCGGCCGCCGCTGTCTTAGCAGCACCACCAAAAGTCGAACATTGCGTAAGTACTAGTCCATGACACGCTTCGGCGCTCAGACTAGAACAGATCGACTCCGCCGACACTGGTGCAATGGCCCCCTGTTGCGTAATACCTCCACCCGGGCCGGAGACTGTCACACCCATTCCACCTCCTTCCAAGACCCCTGTGCACTTTGCGGACTCTAATTGACAGCTCGAATAAGAGGTTGTGCACTCAGCGGCATTGGCGTATGTTGTTGGAAGAAATGGGAAGGGGTAATAGCTGTTCGCAACTGTGCTGGTCCCAGTGATTGCATGCGTGATGGCTGCTGCGCCTGCCGTCGTTGAAGTACCCGCGGCCGGTAATGCTGTGGAAGGCGCTACTGCTGGCCCTACTGTCCCTGTGCAATCGGCATTATCAGGGCAGCATGCGACATTTCCGGCTTCGTCGAGGGCGCAGTTGGTTTTCTTAGGGCAGCAGGCTTTGCTGTTGCCAACCGAGGAGCAGGAGATGGGACATTTGGAGTCTCGACGAAAGAGATCCAAACTTATGAGACCTTCGAGCCTGGAAGATTGATCCGTGTTAGAGGCGAAGAAGGGTGTGTACTGGGCTGCAAGGGCAGGGTTGAGAGTGAGGCAGGCGGTAAGGGCATAAGCGACGAGGGCCCGCATGTCTGCTGGTAGTGACAGAAATGGCTGCTTGAATGAAATTTCTCCAAGAGATGTGCCCAACAGATTTACTTGAATTGCTGCAATAGATCCCAAGTATCTTGTCCGGAGCTTGAGGGAACAGGATCTGGAGGGTTGGCCCCACGGCCTTACCAGGGTTTTTCCTGTAATCGAGGCTCGTATCTTGTCAATGGTTTTCCGATTGAAAACGATTCTATATAGTAATCAGAAAGAAGGTCGGTCTCGTAGCGTTAATGGTATTGCAAGGGGGAGACTCGATTGACTGTTTACACTCTAGGTTGGCATAGCAACTGCCGCGCGGGTATCCTTGGCATTTCCGACATTGCTTATCGAATCAAAAAACCCGTAAGCGACTTTCTTTCGTAAATCTCCCGACTATGTACAGGCCTTTCAAATCGCAACGCGAAGTGTTTAAAGTTGGTCAGAACTAACGTAGTATCTCTCGTATCGAACCTTGCCTTGGATGAAGACGTTCCTTCGAGCAGAGAAAGTCTTGCGCTCTTATTGTTTGCCTAGAGCCTATAGGTTACCAGGCTGCTCCCGCCCTGAAAATGACTTGGGGCTACGCTTTTACCATGTCAGCAAGTCTCTTCTGAAATTGTAATCGATTAGCTGAAGTTCTTTAGGACGATGGCAGAAGGCGATTGTCTGCATTCTGGGTGCCAACGGGGGGGATTGCTCCCACAGAGCACACACAAGGTATCGAAAACTACACCTCTGCTACGCCAGATCACTAACAACGCGATCAGCAGATTCCCATTCGCTCTTAATTAGAGCCGGCTTCGTACGTCAGGTATGTAGTGAATATCTTCGCAATAGTTGTATGTATTGAAATCGCTCTACAGGCGCATTCTGGACTTTTTCAGTTCTTGCCTCTAGGCTTGCGCGTGCAGGAAAAAGTAGAAGAATTACTTGATAAGCACATGCTCAAGCTTGGTTCGTCTGATTGTCACTGCGTCCGAAATCCCCGCGTAACCAACGTATCATATAGGTGCATCAAAGCTTTCGTTGTCAACGTTCTCGTCTGAAGACCTTTGGAAGAAGACGGGAAGGCTAGATAGTAACAGCTCCGAGGCAAGTCCGAGACCAAATCACACATGCTCTGTGGCTCTGCCTCGAACATCTTTAACATGCAGATCACAGCTTTTCAGACTCCAAGACCGTAAGGGGGGCAAATATCTGTTGTCACCTACACATGAAGAAGAGATCACCTCTTTAGTTGGCAGTATTGTCAAATCTTACAAAGAGTTGCCACTTAGATTGTACCAAATTTGTTCGTATTGCTGCCTACATTCCGAGGCTTTCAAACGCTGACTTCGCAGCACGCAAATATCGAGATGAACCACGTCCGCGCCAAGGTCTTCTCCGAACTAGGGAATTTCTTATGAAAGATCTTTATACATTCGATGCTACTACTGAACAAGCGCTTCAGACATACCAGACAGTACGGGAAACCTATAATGCTTTCTTCAGCGAGTTCAAGATACCTTTCTTGACGGCCAAAGCCTCTTCTGGCGAGATTGGAGGCAATCTCAGCCATGAGTACCACTTTCTATCGAAGAAGGGAGACGACAATCTTGTCTGTTGTAGCTCTTGCGACTACGTCGCTAATGAAGAAGTTGCGGAAAGCAGGATCACTCGAGTTCACAGACATCCCAAAAGCACGGACGAGGAAGGATTCACGCCCCAAGGAATGGAAAGCTCTAGCTGGAAGCAGTGGAACCCCGAATCTCAGGCAGATGATAAGGAGAACCAATGGCTTGGTATCAGCCAGGATCGCAGCACCCTAGTATACGCGTCCCTACCACAGGAGGTCGAAATCCGAGCAGTAGCTGGTAAACGGTACCGGAAGGCTGAGATCAACCCCTACGCAATGAAAAGGGTATTTCCGGAGCTCGATCTAGGCGTCGAAGACCCGTTGGCAGTTTTCAACGCTGAACGAATTCTCGGTACCACTAAAGACAAAAACCGAAAAGAAGCTCGCGTCTTACGAGTGGTTGACATGCGATATTTTTTGCAGCAACCTCCCCCGGTTTGCCTCAATCCACCTTCAACTCTTATTGGAGGCGTGGAAGTTCCTGTGCAGGACTGGTGTGCTGAAGCAGACAAGGTGGTCGATCTTGTCAGAATTGATACTGGCGACCTCTGCCCAAATTGTGACGATGGCAGTCTGAAAGTTGAAAGTGCTGTAGAGCTTGGCCATACGTTCCATCTTGGTACCCGATACAGCGCACCTTTGGAAGCTACGATCGATGCAGATCTTTCACAGAAAGACCGACAGCGGGAAGTCTCCAATATCCCAGGTCAATCTGTCACGGTACAGATGGGCTGCCATGGGATTGGTGTCTCCCGCTTAATCGCAGCAGTAGCCGACTCCCTCGCAGATTCCAAAGGCCTCAATTGGCCACGAGTCATGGCACCTTTCGAAACAATTATCATCCCAACCAAAGGCTCGGAGAGCGAAAGTGCTGATGTCTACGATCTGCTCACTACTAACAAGGGCCAATGTTCCCAGGAACCAATTGACGCTATCTTGGATGATCGGAAGAGAGACTTTGGCTGGAAGATCAAGGATGCGGATATGATCGGCTATCCTATAATCGTCATTCTAGGCAGAGACTGGAAGAGAGAAGGAAAATGTGAGGTACAGTGCCGAAGGTTGAATATCAAGGTGTTGGTATCTGCCGACGATCTAAAGGCTTTTGTTGCGGGGCTGTTGCAGCACCTCTGACGACCATTGACTCCAGTCTCTGTATTGAAGGAGTTCGTAAGTGGCGATGTCCCACAAGTATGTCCAACTACTGGCCAACAAGAACAGCCTAATACTCTTTTCAAGTGGACGTTGGCCTCGGGCTTGTCCTTCTTTGAATTCATAGGCGTGATCTCATGTCCCTCTTTCAAGGAGAAACTCCAGGACTATGTTTGATAATGTTAAGTCCACCGCTCCTCATGAAGATGGAATGCAAACAAGATCATACTCTGGGTAGTTACTGCATACTCTCATAACGGTGGCTGCCGTTGCGATATCAGAAAGCCCGCTGGCAAGCTGCCAGCTGAGCTACTTGAGTGGAGATAAGCGGTCCGAAACGGCAGCGAGACGTAGTAGAGAAAACTTGCAGTGTTCGCACACTCTACTATCTAGCAAGACTCTATCGGCTGTCCTAATCTATGCATTTCCCCAAAACTCCCTCCCACGGTCTCAGACCAACGGAACGCTCCATTCTCTTGTCAGGCTTACCCTTTTGGTAGTTCCCCGCCATCCATCCCTCGACCTTGAGCTCGTCGGGGATGTTCCAATCGACCTTCTTGCCCGAGAAGTTCAACACCACCAGCCATTTGCCGCTCTTCTTGCCTAGCCGCAGATACGCAAACACTTCATCACTCTCTGGACCAACGGCATGGAAATCACCGTATACAAAGCAATCTGAATGTGCCTTCCGATTTGCCAGCCCTCGCTGCCAGAACTGCCATGTACTCAGCTCTTCTTCGTCGTCGGCAGATTGCTGTTTCTCTGCATTGACCTCCTTGTAGTCATCGTTCACCCTCATCCACGGCTCGACGCCGGACTCGCAGAAGCCAGCATTGGCGCCTCCATTCCATTGCATTGGTGTGCGCGCATGATCTCTTGACTTCTTTTCCAGAACTTTCCGTTCCTCTGCTAACCGCTTGGGATCATTCCCGTAAAGTTCCCTGCTTTTCTTCCAAAAGTTGATGGATTCAATATCCTTGTATTCCTTCATAATGTCCCAGGACTTCGGCACCTATCATAAGTCTCTAGGTCAACATTCTTCCATCAAGGAGTGCATTGAGTTACAAAACAGGTCTTGGGAGCAGTATCAAAGACATAAACATATTCTACCCTCGATCATGTCTTGCGACTCAGGAAGGGATGTATGTGAGGACTGATAAACACCGAAATAAGCCATACATTTCTCATGCCCAGCTCTTCACCTTGATACACAAAGAGTGTGCCGCTCAAGGTGGTTTGCATGAGCGCGAGCAGTTTTGCACCGTGCTCGCGGTAGGCGTCGCTGTCATCGCAATATCGAGAGACTGATCGTGGATTATCGTGGTTTTCCACAAAGACACTGTTCCAGCCATCATGCTCCAACATGGCTCGTTGCCATTTGGAGACTGCTTTGGCGAGATCCTTGACGCTCCATTCATGAAGGGTCATCCTGACATTCCCTGGTTGAGTATCTATCTCTACAACATCGAAGATAAATATCATATTAAGTTCGCCGCTTTTGCTTCCCACGGTGCGGATGATTTCATTGATGTCACTGACCCCAGGCATTTCGCCAACGGTGATGGCGCCAAATTTTTGCAGAACCTTGTGTTTGATCTCTTGTAAGTACTCATGCATTCGCGGACCATTCACATAGTATTGGCTTCCAGGATGATACCTGCGGTCTGGACCCAGGGCTGGCTCTGCATCAGGGAAGCGCTGGTCTTTGCTGATCAGATTGATCACGTCCATTCGGTACCCACAAGCGCCACGCTCAAGCCAGAATTTCATCACGTCGTGTACTGCTGCCCGAACTTCAGGGTTCTCCCAATTGAGATCAGGTTGTTCGGGCGTGAAAAGAGAGAGGTAGTACTCGTCTGTCTTGGCGTCATAGGTCCACTTCAAGACTTCGGCGTCAGTATGCCTTCTTTAGACTTCTGTTCGACCGAGTAGACATAGTGGAGGAGTACGGATGCTCGCTACATGTGTCTTACGACTCAAAATGCGGTACGCATAGGGGAGCGGACACTCGGACAAGCAGACTTACGGCGCTGTTCGCTTCGCCGAGGATCTGCGACCAATTATTTGGTGGCAAAGGATTTCCTGCAGCGTCTCGTTTTGGCTTTTTCCAGATATACCAGGAGCGGTTTGGATTGGTCAGGGAGGAGCGAGACTGTCGGAACCATTCATGCTGCTTCGATTAGCAAGGCGGCAGGTGACATTGAAGGCCGATGATGGCAGTACTTCATCCGATGTACTGCGAAAAGGGTTCTGGAGTCAGCACTGCCGTTTCACAAGGGAAGTCTGAGTATCGACACGCGGCTACAGAAACACCACTGCCAGGACATGTCTTAAGAGTCAAGGTTGGGCCAAGTGGAAGCAATTGGGTCGCTGAATATACTTACTGGTTCACCACGAGATCCATCATCAACTTCATTCCTCGCTTTTTCAGTTCGGAGACTAAATTATCAACATCCTCAATGGTTCCATATATCGGGTCAATCGACTTGTAGTCTGCTATATCATATCCCATGTCCTACGAGGTTCTCGAGTCAGCATCTCTTTCTCAGGCGAAAATGCAGCTTTCGAGTCCCGAGCGTATCATGCAACTGAAAGGTGGCTTGAGAAAGGTGGCTTGCAGCAAGAAGAGAGTGCCCCAGAATGCATACCTTTTGTGGACTCTTGTATACTACCGATGTTTTTAGTCATGCACTCTGTGCAGAGAGATAGGAACTGACTTGGCGAGACCCATACTACATCTACACCCAATTGTTGAAGGTAATCCAATTTGGAAGTGATGCCTTTGACACTGGATAAAAGTTCGTAGTGAGTATTGCCTATCTGAGGGGGTATATGGAGCGCTGAAACATGTTCCGAGAGTCAAGACTGCCAGTGCATGTCTTACGACTCAAGACGTGGATTAAGAGAGGAGTATGAACTCGGACAATACGTACTCTCCCCATCCATCTCCATTGGTATCAAGGAAAGACGAGGGATAGACCTGATAGATGACAGCTTCTTTCCACCAAGCTTCAGACATGATGGGAAATCAGCAGCACAGGAACCAAGCAGTTACTCGTATTCGTACAGGATGAGAGATGCAATGAAAACGGTTGTAAACAATCAAATATCTGCCTTATTATGTTAGGGTAGGTTCTATACAAAGATACCTGAGTTAATAATATTATGACATGTAAAACACGGCTTCTCTTGTCGGAAGCTCTAAAAGGCGGTCCGAGAGGAAGGCGGGGGTCCTTAGAGTAAGTACTAGTACTAGTACTAGTACCTAAGCACGGATGATCGCCTACCTTATCTAGAGGACGCTAACGTAGGTAAGTAAGGTACGTACCTACTTTACCTAAGGTACCTACCTTACCTAAGGTACTTTATCTGTTGAGCTGGGGCCTAAGAGACGGAGACATCAGAGGGTCTCTACCTTATAGCCTCAGTACTCAGACTCTACATTTTTGGGGGGGGGGCCGGAACATTATATTGCCGAGCCGATTCCGTCATACCCCCCCTGTAGAGTCTGAGTAGGAAACCACGGAATCGCTACATTGACCGTTATTTTGTATGGGATCCTCACCAAAATTGACCGAAATAGAAAATAAACAGTTTCTTTTATATATAACTTTTTACTAAGAACTCTAATTAAAAAATACTCTTTTATAAAATAACTATTTAAATATCGTAGAATTAGATTTTTTTTTCGATTTTTAATAAAATATCTTAATTAATTATTTTTAGAAGATTTAAATTAGAGTTTTAAAAACTATACTTTTAACCCCCCTCTTATTCTTTAACGCGTACCGACAAAATTCCAAAAATAATATCAAAATACTCGTTATATTTATAAGTCTATTTAAGAATATTATTATAGAATTCTCTGGGCCAGATTTTATACATTAATATTTATTAAATATTTATTTAAAATATATTTATTTAAGCTATTATCTTAGTTAATTTATTAATTAATTTATAATTTTAAATTAATATTTTATAATTTATAGATATAAGTAGAGATATATGAAGTTTTATTAATATTATTTTTTAATTTATTTAATTATTTAATTATTTTAAGATTTTTAGAAAAAAAAGTAAAAAGCTTAATAACTTTAAAGACTTCGAACTTTAAATTTAGAAAATTTGATATATTATTATTATATATATTAAGAATATATTTATAAATTTTTATAAAAAGTGATGGTTCGGTTATCGAGTAATAATATATCGAAGTTATAGATTATTAAGTTTCTTTAGAATAGTTCCGGGGTAGCTCGCTCCGGGTCAAAGCTACCCCGAAACCTACCAATGCTAATATATACCCAGGGGTGAATATCTCATATCAGCCAAACCACCAAAAAAATGAGGCTTGGCAGGGTTTCCTACTCAGACCACTGCGTGGGGCCTTTCTGAGACTATCTACCTTAGTGCCATCATGGTGGAGCTGCCCACTTCAACGGCCAAAACCACCTTCACGTCTCGGTACGAGTAACCGACAGCATTTTCAAGCTGGACTACATTTCGAATGCAACAACACAGCCGGATTGGCATGGAAAGGGCCAAGCTTGATACATACAAACTGTACTTATTGCTTCAGTCCTGCGAGGAGTATGAGTAGAGAGGCCAAAGCGCTGCTAGGCGCTGACGCCTGCGCCACCAAAATTTGCAGAGAGATCACCCCTTGACCAAGCTCCTTCTTCTTCCTCTGACTGAACCTACTCGGCCATGCTCGGTGCAACATAGGCTTTCAAGAACGTGAGCGGCATATGCGACTGTGTCTATCGAAGATGATTCGATGCGGGGCCCATGGGACTACCTGCCTTCTTACGCGCTGCTGGCCAGACCGAAGTTATTGCGGGGCTCTGAGCTGAAGAAAAAGAGCTCGAGTGCATTGGATTTGCGAAAGAATTCGTTGTGCTTCGGAAGGGTCTAGGAACCGAGAGAGCCTGTGTGTCTCAAACCCAGAAAGAGGGGCCAACTTTATATGGAGAAGCAACAGATTCCCCGGAACTACCAATGATGCAGGTCTGCGACCACGCGGCAAATCTCTCAAGAAGGACAATCGGGTTATCCAACCGCAGCCGTCGTACCTTCCAAGATCTGCCTATGGGATGCTGTACTTTCCCTATGCTGAGGCGCTTTGGTCGCGTCCTTCTGTCCTTGGCATCTGGAGGACTGCAATTTTGGCGGAGACCAGCTTTAGCTTCCTATCTCGGTCACATTCGCTGCTTGTGTAATTTTTCTCATCATGAGTGAGGGCGGGCTTTACTGTGCCGGCAAGACGGAAGGCATGTGTTGGAATGCTATCATCCCTTGGGCCAGTAGAACGTATATCTCCTTTCTGTGTCTTTTGGTCACTCTGTTCTTTATTTAATTTAAGACAAATTCACAAGCTCAAGCTGTGCGGCAACCCCTACTGTACATCTTCGGCACGCCCTCACTTCCTAGAGCTAGAATCTCGCAAATTGTACCTTCTCATCGACTAGGGCCCAATCGCACTTTCCTCTTCTCTACAATATCCTCTTAAACTCGTCGTGGCCACTCGGCCATGAATATCAGCATGTGTGAGAAGCCAGTCCTATCTGACAGCTCTCCTGGCAGCATGAGCGCTTCTGAAGATGGCCTTAGCCATGACGTTCCTCACCTTGAACCCATCGACCGAGCTGTCGAGAAGAGACTCATCCGCAAATGTGACCTCCATGTTATCCCAGTGCTTTCCTTGCTCTATTCATTGGCTTTCATCGACCGAATCAACATTGGTAATGCACGTCTCCAGGGCCTGGAAAAAGACCTCAAGATGAAAGGCCAAGATTACAACGTTGCTCTTTTCGTCTTCTTTATACCTTACATCCTATTCGAAGTGCCTAGCAATCTCTTGATCAGGAAGATCGCGCCCTCGACGTGGTTGAGTTCTATCATGATACTTTGGGGTATAGATCCGCTGTCTCTAGTTCACTTTACCGATCTGACATTTGAACACAGGCATTGTGACTGTTTGCATGGGAGTCACCCAGAGTTACGCTGGCCTCGTTGTGTGCAGATTCTTTCTCGGGCTGTGTGAAGCTGGCTTCTTCCCGGGTGAGATGATACGCCAAACTCGGGATCCAGACATTGCTTACATGGACTAGGGTGTATGTACCTGATGTCGATGTACTACCGCCGATACGAACTGCAATGGAGGTTCAATTTGTTCTTCTCTGCCGTCATCTTGGCAGGGGCATGGAGCGGGGTGCGTACCCTACAAGACCCTACCAGTTCCTGCCGCCCAGCCTGACTCTGTTTGTAGCTTCTCGCATACGCTTTGGCGAAAATGGCTGGGATCGGTGGCTACGATGGCTGGCGCTGGATCTTCATCATCGAAGGCCTCGCCACTTTTCTCTTCGCCGTCGTTTCCAGATTCTTCATCGTCGATTGGCCTGAAACAGCCAAGTTCCTCAGCGCCGAAGAGCGGCAGTTGCTCATCCGTCGTTTGAGCGAAGATGCGGCAGATGCTAGAATGGACCGATTGGACAGCAAAGCCAGGCGGCGTGCCTTTGGTGACTGGAAGATTTACATAGGGTATGTGCTCCACCTGCTCCCCAGTCACAGATTCCATGCGCATTCTTCCATCTTGGCTCATGAGTTCACAGAATTCTGATGTATCTCGGAGTCAATAATACGGGCTACAGCACTTCCTTCTTCACTCCAACAATTCTCAGCGAATTGGGCTGGACTGCCGTCCGTGCACAAGTCCTTTCGATCCCGATCTACATTGTTGCCGCAGTGACGTGTCTCATGTCCGCCCTCCTGACGGACCGTCTCCGCCATCGCTATGCTTTCGCCATGCTCGGCGTTGTAACCGCGAGCATTGGATACATCATCCTCCTCGCGCAAGAGTCCGTCTCGGTCGGCACTCGCTACTTTGCCGTCTATCTCGTCATGGCTGGTGGCTACATCACTCAGCCCATCACTCTGGTATGGTTGAGCAATAACATGGGCGGCCACTACAAACGGAGCATCAACGCGGCCATGCAGATTGGTTTCGGCAACTTCGGCGGCATCATCGCCAGCAACATATACGTAACGAACCAGAGACCTCGATACCCGGTCGGTTATGGAGTTTCACTGGCACTGATCTGGATGTGTGGAATCGCTTGCACAGTCTTTGCCATTGGTCTGAGACTTGAAAACCAGAGGAGGGAGAGAGGCGAGAGAGATGCCAGGCTGAGTCTACCCAGAGAGGAGGTAGAAAACCTTGGCGATGACCATCCAAATTTTCGATTCACCTACTAGGTGGGGATGTAGCTTAGTGTTGTTTCCAATGGGTGGTTGGAGGGAGGGAAAATGAGCCGGACAAGTGCGGTGCTTGAGAGGTGCATGGGTATTGCGTTCGCATTGCAGGAGTAGAGTACTCTGATACACATGGGATGAAGCGCTTGTCATTGTCTTCCGTGAAGCTTTTCGGCTCTCTTTCGGAGCAATGACGGCGGGAAATGTTACACGTATGCAATCTTTTGACGATGATGATATATATAACCGTATGCTCGGTTCAACGTACACATAAGTCCCAGAGCTATATGGTAAGCGATTCCAAATACATGGTCAGTCAGAGTTGGTCTCCTTGCCGCGGCATGCAGTCTTGAGTCTTGAGTACTGAGTTTTGAGTACTGAGTATTGAGAGTGTTGAGTGCTGAGGGTTGAGTGTTGAGTGTTGCGTCTTGCATGCTGCACATGCAGAGGCGAATCGTCGGTAATTCGGTAATCGAGATTCGAGGATCGAGATGGACTCATCTCCGGAGAATTTATACGATCGACGACACGATCGACACGGACACTAGGAGAATAGACTTTTCAGCTTGGCTATCAAGGTACAGGTACTTTACCTGTATGGCATTCATCACTTTGTCAATAATTTCCGCGGATCAGTTACTTGCTCGCTTGCTTGCTCGAGCTGGACTATCGCTCTGCTCAATGCGAGTCATGGCTCTTCAGAATGTACATGTAGGCACCGTTTCAGCCTTGGCCCAAGTTGCCTTTTGTTAACAGTCACTCAAAAGAGATTAAGACTTTATTATCATGTTATTATCATGTTGCTAAAGTATTAAGTATTGAGGTTTTGTTCTTTAGCATACAAGTACGGTACATAATACCTTAGCCTAGCTCTGTCAAGGGACCATGAAGCTTGTTCTCCGCCAGCGAGTCAGCGACACCCTAATGTAAAGTAATGTACAAGACCCATCTGCCAGCCGAATAGTACCATGGTACTTGTACATTGTTAAAGTACTTCATCCTTCCGCTCTCCATCGCCGCCCTCCACCACTCCCTCAATCCATCATCCATCATCCTATCATGTCCTCCCAAATGAATTGCTCCGTAGCATAAGTGCACTTCACCTTTACACACTTACCATGACCTTCCAACAAGAGGCTGCATCATGGATCTTCCCATCCCGGCTCTCCACATCTCCCATACCATCCATTGCCGTTAACGCCCCGTCCACATCAAAGCTCCCACTTCCCAACCCCAATGTGAATCCCACAATCATTACCTTCCTCCGCCACTGCGGGTGCCCCTTCGCCGAAAAGACCTTCCTATCCTTTCGTGCCGCGGCCTCCGCCCACCCATCCATCAACTTCGTCGCCGTCTCCCACAGCGATCAGTCCGCCACGAACAGATGGCTCGAAGCCGTTGGCGGCGCCGACCATGTCCGCATCATTGTGGACAGTGAGAGGGAGCTATTTGCACGTTGGGTCTGGGCGTGAGTAGCTTCTGGCATGTTTTGAACCCAGCGAGTATGTGGAGTGTGTATAGATTGGGAAAAGAGCAAGGAATTGTAAGCAACGAGCTCCGCATTTTCTTTCCTAACCCATGGCCTCATGTGCGTCGCCGGGCACGCTGCGGGAGCATGTCATCTTCAACAGAAAGTTACTGATTGAAGATGCTGCAGTGGAATAGGCCTACGGAGAGTGGGAGTAGATGGCAAACTAGCGGAAGCTTTGCTGTGAATAGAAACGGAGTGCTCAGATGGGGAGGGGCTGCTGAGAGGGCGGACTGGATACCGGACTTTGAGGAAGCTGTGAAGGCCGTGGAGGAATGATTCAAAAGGTCGAACGAAGGCTACGAGCACGACGCGAGGAGACGGGCAATTTTGGACAACGGCCGGCGAATCCCCAAAAAGCGCCGTCTACAACGCATGATGGCAAGATTATAACGTACCTCGGGAGCGAGGTTCCCTACCAAAAGCGCTGTCTTCCCAGGATGACGAGGCCGTGTATCTGCTTGAGACACTTTGTGAGCTCGTAATGATCCACCAGCAATATGGTCGGCAGATATGGTGTCGTAAGACGCAACGGGCCATAGCGCCATCAATCAAGAAGTATGAGTGGAACCGGCTGATTGGCTCATGCTACATGTCGCTGCCTGGCTACGCAACCAGAAACACCTCTGTGACCGACTTTCTGGCTCTTGTCATCCTTCCGTCATCGAAATCGATTGGTCGCTTCTGATTCGAAAATAATGAAATCTCGTCAGCGCACTAACGCTGCAGCTAGGACTGACTCGCATCAGGGGGTCAGGATATGATTGATCCATTGCTTATTCCAGCTCTGCCATCGTATTGGGTATCACTCTGAGGGCATGATCTGCTCAGGATGACAGTGGATGAGAAGAACAGCATTCGCGCCTCTTGCACAGTATATACACTATCCTTCAAAATCTCAGTCTTTCCCACAGTGCTCACCAAAACCATCCGTTCGCGAACGCGCTCCGCAGTGTTACGGTCAGTGTCTTCATAGCATAGGCACAGGCACAGTCAGTACCAGGACCCAGATCCACTCCCATTGCAAACCAGTTGGTCTCGATTGGTCTCGCTACAAACGACGTTAGGGATTCCCCGTCTCTTGATCGCTGTGTTGGCGCGCAATCGGCCCACCAAGCTACACAATGGAACGTAAACAGGAGGGAAGTCGGGTTCAGTCGGCATGTCACCAGTGCATCGAAGGCAATGCTCCATGCAACGGCCAAATACCTTGCCACCGCTGCGGACATTACTCACTGGATTGCGTTTACCTCAGTCAAGCTCAGCCACCTTGTCTCGAATGCAGTCGGACCGCTTCTGAATGCGATGGCGAGACGCCTTGCCAACGCTGCAGACAACGAACCGTGCAGTGCGTGTATTCTACCAGAGTGGACTGGGACCAAAGAGCGAGTGCGTCGGCAGTCGTGGCTAGCCAATCGGAGGAAGCTTGGCTTGAGCAAAACTCATTTGGGTCCCGACCAGGGGAAATAGAGACCAGACCATCGGCAGTTGCTGTTGGGCTTGGAGATAGCCAGGCAGCTTTGGGGGAAGGAGAGACAAGACATGATACTCGCGAGCCAGACTCGTACTTCATAATGGAACATAACAAGGGCATAGACGAAGACCATTTATCGAAATTTAAGCCGGACAAGAAGGAGTGGAAGATGGACAGGAATGTATAGCAGCCGCGACTCTGAAGAACAGCGAGTGAGATTGGGCATGGATTGTGGTTCTTCGTAAGGGATTGGAGTCATGGCCAGGCGTGGCCGGTCCATCAAGGGGAACAGGGAACCTCCGTTCTATCGATCAACATGCTTCTAACCCCTAGATACTTACAAAGAGTTTCCACATTTGCGTCTACTGTGGAAGTGTTCGTGTGCATCGCTGTTCTCTTTTTTGCCGTGAAACCTGACCGCATTTCAACTCCCAGGGACGATCTTCTGCAAGTCGAAAACTCTATCAATGAAGAAGTCGCCGGCTTATGATTGTGGTGAGAGTTCACCACCATGTATTGGAGGATTGATTCGGCCGTCGACCTATCCTTAATCTTTACGGACGGCCCACCCGGAGGCGCTAAACTCTGCCTTCCATGGATTCCTCAAGCTTGAAGCCTCAAAACCAGCAGTCTTGCTCAAAGCTTCGAACCAAGACCGTACGGGTATAGAAGCTGGTTGAGCTGCGACATTGGCAGAAGCTGGTTGATGGTGCCTTCAGGTGACTGTGTTGACCCACTACTATTCACTCCCCTCCATGAAACATGTATCGTTGAGTGGTAGCACACTGGCCATGCGGGTCCGTAGGTTTGCACTCGCATGGTAAAGCACATTTTTCTCACAGCTGTTCGGCATCGTAAAGCTGATTGTCTAAGCCTCATCCCTGGATGATTTGCCTTTCGCTTCTCAATTTGATACTGATTCATATGGGCTGTTTCTCTTCTTTTTGTCCCCTTTTGTTTTGGATGTTTCAATTTCAACACTCGCTTCATGTCATTCTTCAAATACATTTCGGCACTCGTCAGTCGATGAATAGCTGGCTGGAGGACCGGAGTATTCCCACCCTTTCATCCCCTGAAGGTGCAGAGCCCTGAAACCCAGTCGATCCAGCCAATCCCCCTTTCCTTTCCCAGTCGATGATCCGCCGTGTCCGTGTTCTCAGGCCCAGGGCCTTGCGACCTGCCCACGGCGTCCATAGCGTTCCGCTCCTCCGCCCCTCCCTCCTCCCCTGCATTGGTCTTCCTTGCGCAAATGGCCCTCAGCACGACGCCGAAGTCGCCCTCTTGCTTCCCGAAGTAGCTGATCATAGCTCAGCGGAGATGCATCGATAACCCCTCTCGGCAACGGACTCACCTCCTCATCATCAACCCTATCCACCTGACCTCCCCCTTCTTCAACTCCCCGGCATCTTCCTTCTCCTTGCCTCGAAACGTAGCCTTGAATCCCCTCCACGGCGCAAAGAACCTCGTCACGTCGCCGCCGCCCTCTCCCTCCTCCCCTCCGACCTTGAAATCCACCTCCCAATTGATCCCGGCCTTCTCTCTCCCGTCTCCCCTCTTGCCGGCCGCCTCCTCGTCTTTCAATATCAAGGTGTAAATCTTCCGGTCACCCGTCCCCGCCACCACCTCTACCTCGATGCCATCGTAAGCACTCAAGTCCCAGCTTCGCTCCTCATCCCCGCCGTCCTTTGCGGTCCCCGCGGCTTCTGGGGGGCTGAATTGCGACGCGAAGCCCGCTCCGCCTAGCGTGGATGTGTCGAGATGCCCGTGGAAGTTTGCGCAGTTGTCGGGGAGGGCGGAGAGGTAGGATTGGGAGGCGCCGCCGCGGACTCGGTCGTCGGTTGTAGTCCAGGGTGGGGGGAGCCAGGGTCTGACGGAGTTAGGATATGGGAGAGAGGGGAGGATTGACGGGGGGCCACATACTTGGTTGAGCCGAAAAGGACGTAGGGTTGAAGTGTGGTGTTCATTGCGCATACTGTGGGAAGATGATTTAACATGATGGAACAGTTCAGGTCAAATGATGTCTAAAATAAGTACTACAATAAATATAGGTGCTCGAGCATTCCGAGATACTAGATATATTTTGGCCTTTGCTAGCACTCGACGGCCTTCTGTCTTCTGCTTGCTGTTCAAGTGTTGCTATTGCGTTGAAGAGGGACGGAGCAGCATCAAAGTTGCTGGGGGCAGAACGAAAGCACGCTATCAATTCAGTGCCACAGCATATGCCTTTTCACCGGAACCACCAGTTCACAGATCCCGTGATTCCGTCGCCTACGCCCTTGACACTATGCCACCATCCTTTCGGGATGAATAGACCGTCGCCTCTCCCAACATGTGCTTCATATCCACCCTCGCCGGCCTCGTCCAGTACGGAAGTATCATTCCAGAGTTGGTCCTCGAGCAATCTCTTTTCCTCCCCCTTCATCATATCTTCTCCTCTGAAGGCTGCGGACCCTGATCGGCCCAAAGCATTTTGGACCTGTTCGAAGACCTTGTCCCCGATCTCTGGGGGCAGGATTCGAACAATCTTATGACCGGCGAGTTGTACAAAGAGGTTTGGGTCTTCAAGGTTGTTTCTGGGTCAGCATTCCTTCTGTAAGTAGAGATTTGAGGCGTGAAGCATGTCAGTCAGAGCAATACACTCTCAAGACATGTCTTACCACTCAAAATTGGGTAAAGGTTGAGGAGAAACCACTCCGAAAAGTGACTCACTAGGATCACGATGGAGTGGTGTGTAGGTGGGTGGAATACCCATCCAGATATTCGTATCATAGATATCGCCTATACCAGAATTTGCCACGATCTCAGGCGTGGGCAAGTCCACTTTCAAAGCTTCTGGTAGATTAGCAAAAGAAGCCTGTGCGAGATACAGTCGCTCTGAAGTCTCCCAGGATGCAGATTTGGTCCATTCCAGGAATATGTACAAAGGCACGTCGGCCCGCTGGAAGGAGTCTTCGTACTGGTTCGCGGCAGATGCTGTAGACAGACGTGTAAACTCTAGAGGCACGATGGCATCACCGAACTTGCTGAGATGCGAGTAGTTGAGAGCCACTCCTCCCGTCCCATCTTGGGTGGTGCGGAACCACTTCTGTATGCTTGGAAGTGCAATGAAATGTGCTTTGGGTAGCAGAGCTGGCTTCGACGGGATAAAGGCATTATCGCGGAAGGTGTGCAAGCTGCTATCTTCCAGAGTGCGCAGTGAACGCCATCTTGCCGTCAAAGTGTAGATAGGACGAAGATTGATTCGGGGCAATGCGGTTCGTACTATGGAAAGGTTGTGGATCATCAGGAGGTTGGAGAGCCACTATTCGTAGAGAAGGAGCCTCTGCAACCCTTGCCCAGAAGGATACTAAAGCTCAGCTGCGTTCCAGTTATTCCTTGATGCAGGCTAAGCTGCATTTGGCTAGTGTGGCTTGGCGCACAGTGCCGTTGCTGGAGGGAAGTACAAGTAGAGTACCGAGAGTACATGACTGCTCCCTAGATCCTAGATTCACTACTTTGATTCGTTGTACAAGTACCAATATCACTATAGCAGTAGCAATACAGGTGGGAAAGGATTATTACTGCGGCCTCAAGGGCGCCATGATTCACTTTCTTGGGCCATGTTTCGCGGACAGGTCTCGGGTACAGATAGAGGTATCAATAGGGCCTACAAGTAGACGCTCAGAGGACCCTTTAGGATTTCCGGACGTTGATACTCCTTCCAGTCCTATTAACTCAAGGTACCTTCTTCCAGTCTGCTCGATGGTCCTCGTGACCATGTAGGGACCTAAATCAATGATGGAACTATGGCCTCAGGTTAGCCATGATCCGGCAATCTTTCATATGATTTGACTTACAAGCCGCACGCTCTGCTCGACGAACGTGATATTCAGCTTTTCGCAAGCAGCGAATATATCCTGGTCTGCCACACTGCCTGTCGGACACGCAACATATTTTACTCCGCTTCTGGACGCCCTGTATACGTTATCCGTAAAAGGAAACTAGGTACAAACATATAAATTAGCATGCGACAATGTAGAACCAAAATTCGGAGAAGCTATCCTTGGCTAGCTCACAAATGCATCTGATGACACGGCCACTCCACTCAATTGGCTCAACCATTCTTCCCGTTCTTCATTCGTGAATGCCACAGGTGCCCTGTTGGTGTCGAAGTTCTGCAAGAAATCTTGTGTTTCAATGTCTGACTTCGATAATTGCCCCAAGCGTCCGCTACAGAGCATGTCGATAGCACTGCAAGATACTCGAGTCAATATCTATCATCTGAGGTTGGAACCGAGGTATGGAACTGCTCTGAGAAGCCGAGATTCTTAAAGGAGGCCTCGTAACTTATAATGAGGGTAGCAGGAAGGAAACTAACGAACAGGAGAAACTCACTTGCTTTTGTCGGCACGCTTGATCCCTTTCTTCCATTGCAAAGTACTTGTTCTTTCTACCCAATTTCGGAGTCAGCATGTCTTCTTCAAGCCAGGGTTTGAACCAAAAAGCCGTTGAAATGACTTTGCAGTCGCCAGACATATCTTGAAAAGGAAGGAATAAATGCAGAGGGGTGGATACCGTGAAACCTCATCCACCAGTTGTCGGCCTTGTCACCCGCCAACCTCGTACAATGAATGCGTGATTGCTGTCCAGCGCCTTCGAGGGAAGATAAGCTTCATCGATGTGTTTTGACAGAGCCAACCTGGCTTACCTAGTCCAATGACCTGGCCATTAAGAGCTACAGGATATTCGAAATTCAGCACGTCTCTTTCAAGACCCATGAGGAGTTGCGAAACAAGTTTGAGGGGTACGTGGAGAGTCCTGTCATGACTTTCGACATCGCTAACTCAAAGGGTACGTACCGTAGCACACTGAATTGGATTGCGTGTATTTGACGGCAATGGTCTGTTGAACAGATGGAATCAGCGTCAGCCCTTTAAACTTACAGCTGAATCATAAGACATGTCTCGAGACTCATTAGAAGCCGAAATACGTTCTCGCTCTGGAAATATGTTTCGCGGCTCAGATTCAACGGCGGACTGGGCAAGATGGGCTTTGAGAACTACGTACCGCAACTGTCAAATCTCGAAGAGCTACAGAAAAATGTAGAGTCAGTATCTAGAATCTCGAGGACAAGTAGAGGTCGAATGCTTGCGGGAGATGTCTCGTAATTGGCCTTAGGGCATTGCAAAATCACTCACCAGACTCTGGGAGCGGCGGGCAGTCTTTGGGAGTGATGATGGCATTGAAGGTATCCTTTGGGCTAATTTTGACGTCATTTCGAGGTTGCTAATACTCTCAAGGTCAGTAATACTCTTGGGCAATGAAGGATCTCGATTCGACTGTAACACGACTCATGTTCGGTACCGATCAGGGCTGGAGAAGACCGGGCAAAAGCCTACCTGCAGCTGTAGTCCGTAGACGGTCCGACTTTCAGTTGTAGGAGGCTCGTACGCCTCGTCCATCTGCAAGATCATGTACCTTCGCAAGAATGAGTGGACATAACCGTTCACAGGCTCCGAAACTTACTTTCCGCCCTTCTTTCTCGACAGTATGTCGAACGCTTCTTTAGAATACCCAGGAGCAATCACACTAAAGAAAGATTGAAGGTCAGCGGATATCTTCAAGCTCCAAATGGAGGACGAGACGCTTCTCTAGAATCAAGCAGCACCCAAAGACATGAGGTCGATATGTTTTTAATGTTGTTGGTAGAACACGGGATAAACTTCACACACCCATCGGATACTTCGCGCGAGATAATCTGTGTTCGGGTTTTGGGTCAGCATTGCCATCCACTATAGACACCAGGGTTGCAAGCTAAGGCTAGTCCCTGAGTTGGTCACACGTACCTTTGCAGTCGGGACATCCACAGAATCTGAGAGCGCAACAATATCTCCAAAACTTGACCTACGGCGACGAGTCAGCATCTTCAGATCAAGGCACAGAAAAGAGAGATGAAATATCTTTGAGAAGCATATACTCCTAAAACGGATGCTTTGCTCTCAAACATAATTTACGGCTCGGATAGTGTTATAGATGGGAAAAGAGCCGTACATCCTGTCAGCTCCTCTCGCGCGCGTATAAGCCATAGCCAGAGCCGAATCCGAAAGTCCTTCAATATCTGCGACCATACACACTTCTTTCTCTCTCTCTGTCAAGGCAACGCCAACAGCTGCTCCGGCCGGCGAGACATGCTTGAAGCTTGCTGCTGCTGGGAGACCCAGGGCTTGCTTCAGCTCTTTCACCAGAGGCCAAGCATTAAGCGAGTCCAGCAGATTGATGTATCCAGGTGCTCCATTCAGTACTTTAAAAGGCAGTGGACCGTCTTTGCAGAATGCTGCTGCAAATTTCTGATGCGGGTTTGCTCCATATCTTAAGGACAATTGTTGGATGCCGTCTGAGGCATACTTCTTGCGAAAGAAATCTGCTATTGTAGTATCGAAGTCTGCAGTCTGTTCAAAAGCTTTGAGAGCGTAGAGTTGGCGACTTCTCTCAGTGACCTCGCCCTTGTCCATCGCTTGCAAGAATTCGGCATAATCTTGTGGATCTGACAGCACACAGACGCGAGCATGATTCTTTGCTGCGGCCCGGAGCAATGTAACGCCTCCTATGTCGATGTCTTCCACGGCTTCCTCTATTGTGACGTTGATCTTTGCAATGGTGTCCTTGACTATAGTACTTCCGAGTCAGAATATCCTTGGGCCAAGATTTGACTCATATGATACGGCTCAAGAGTAACATCGTCCGTTGGGGCTCGATGATCGTTAAGATAAAAAAAGTTGGATCCAAGATGTTGCTTACACGGATACAAGTTGCAGACAACAAAATCCACTTTGTCTATACTTTGCTCGGCAAGGTCCTTTTCGTCACTCTCTGAGTTCGTGGACAGGATACCCGCATGAACTTTTGGATGCAGGGTCTTGACTCTCCCTTTCAGGATCTCTGGAGAATTGGTGATTGCAGAAATATCTCTGTCCAGTAAAGCGTCTCAGCCTGTCGTGTAGAAAATGTTACAGAAAAGGACTTTCAGCTCACTCTACCTCGAAGCCTGCCTCGCGAATGACTGTAGGCCCAAATTTAGTCGTGCCGTTCCATAACAAGACATGTGCTGTACGCATTGCCCAGGAGATAACCAGAGAGCCAATACTTCTGCGGCATGTCTTCTTACGGACACAGCCAAAGTGCCGAGGAAGACAGTGATTGTTTCAGGAAAAGGACTCACGCTTCGCTGTGCCTCCCGAAGCCAGGAGACGGATGTCATGTTTAATCAAGCCTTTAGCAAGGTCCAGTAGGCCCTGCTTATTGTACACGCTGAGGATTGCTAGAACAATGGAATTGACGGTTAGTGGGCGTTTGAAGATTAAAGCTGTGGGAGGGTTCACCAGTCTTCCTTGGTGCCATGTTGGCGTTTTTGCAAGAATTGAGTATTAGCAAGATAAATCACGATCAAAGAAAGTAAGTAACAAAATAAAATCAAAAGTTTGCCAACCAATCGGAACAATGCTCCGACTGCGCAAAAGTGATGCAACCTGCACCATCCATTGCGAGAGCGAGATTCCGGAGACTAGTCTAAGCGAGCCAAGCGCGCATGTTGTCATAGAATGTTGGAGCCTTGGAGGCAGCTCTGCAGATTTTAAGTAATGTACTGAGTTGACATTATCCTAGCTCTCTTGACCAAGTGTGCGCGGTAAAGAGATGAATGGCGCTGCTGGATGGGCAAAGATGCGGAACATGTCGCTATTACATTCAGAGTCTTCCGTACTGTTGGGACGATAGAGCTGTTATAATTATTCACCAAGCTTGATAAATACTTTTCCGTAGGCATTCGGACACACATGTGACAGCAGCGTCTTTATCCTCTTCCGACTGATCATTCAAATGAGCTGTTTGACATATCTGATTATGCTACCAGCTCCTGCCATTGACCATGCCGCTTTTCTGACCCTGGAAAGCAGTTCCATCTGACATTAGGAAGGCGGCCCCTTCCAGTCTCGTTCAGCATGCAGAAAGCGGAAAGGGCACTGAATCCGGACCATTACATCTGTCTATTTCTTCTCTCTTCCTCTTCTTCTTCGTTATCCATAATAGCTGAATTCTTCTTCGGCGTCCATTCATTAAGCTGCAACATCAGCATACATTCTTTTACGCTGCTCTAGCATCCCTTCGTTTACTCTGCATACTCTAGTCCGTTGAAAACTTATCGCTATCATGCTCTTCACCAATCTCACCGTGTGGTTGGCTTCCTCTCTGTCTCTCATTGCTTCAGCGCAATCCGTATGGTCGGCAGCCACACCAGTAACGAAATTCCCCATACTACCTCGAACGGCAAACCAGAGTACCACCGGCGTTAGCCCTGCAAGTGGAACTAAGAAGTACTTCGCCGAGACATTTTGTACACCCTACCAAAAACTCATCGAGAAGATCGCTTGGCGTGATGCCCTGCAATACGCGCAATCGTTGGCCAGTTGGCAGCCCAATGGTAGCTTCCAGCCCGCCATGGACTTATACATGGGCAACGACAGCAGAGGTCAATTAGGTGCAACCCTTCGAGGTATGGCTAGTGACCCTCGACAGGATATCGGTATCCCAATCGCATGCTGACTGTGAACATTCTAGCCAATATTGATGGCGCAGTGAGAATACACGACCAATCGACCTGGCCACGGAACCAGAGACTCTTTGTCTTCTGCAGCGAGCCTATGATATTCGTAGAAAATGGAGGAATGTGCGGCGAGGCTCTCGCTTACGCGTGAGAGAAAGCTCTCTCCCCATTCTGGAAGCAGTCACTGATCTTATATGCAGATTCAATATCAATGGCACCTACTATGTATGTACCGATGCGCGTCATAGCGAACGAACTCAAGACGCTAACGTCAGGTCACAGGATAATCACTATGTCGTCTTCTGCCCGCCCTACTATGAGTTGCAAACACTTTATAAGACCCTCTCCATCACCGATGCTTTTCCACTAGAACGTCTCCTTGTGACATCAGCAAACGATTTCGATGAAAACCAAGGCGAAATATATTTTCATGAATCATTGGTGTGTGGTGGAGCGTGAATCATTTTGCCACATGCTAAAAGCTCTGTCTTAGCATTTTGCGGACTTGACAACCCCGGTGAACCACCCAAGTAAGTCTTCGCACAAACGCAGAAGCATGGATGGCGAGCTCACACATTCGTAGTTCATGATAACAACGGTAACGAACCAGACATATACGGTCCATATGATGTTGCCATGGAAGCTGAGTCAAAGAACACTGCGGCTTGTCTTCACATAGGTAACCTACATTTCTCATCATGCTAATACCTTGTAACGCCTATATACTGACAAAAGTATTTTTCTCATCTAGCGGATGCCTATACCCATGCAGCAGCCGGTGAGTGAGCCTCTAGATATCCGTCCGTGGAGACTCTGAAGATGTTTTTAGCCATATTGATACAGCAACGCTATAACCTTGCTGATCCGCCCAAGCCAAGGAAATCTGTTTTTCAACGGAATCTCGGCTCGCAAGCCAATGGTTGGAACGATACCTTCGAACGCCTGCCACAATTACCTAATCCCAATACACCTGACAATCACATCGTCTCCAACGACTTCGGAATCGGTCCGGTTGCGTCATCCAGTCATCAGCTCATACCGGGGTCGAGTAGTCTGTCGAAGCGCGTGGTATGGCCACCCAAGTTTCCTTGCACAGCCGAGAATCGGTGAGTTGGACTACTGCTTCTATTCGTCACCTTGGCTTGTGACTAACAGCGTGTTGACAGTTGCGTAAGATCCATGGCAGCCACAATTGCCACCACCATCAGTGGACCTTTGATCTGCTTTCTTGTTGCTGGGCTGTGTGTGCTATCCTTCCTTCTGTAACGCTAGACCCGGTTGATGCGACCATTGGCTCTTTCACTTTGAGATTCTCGGTAAATAGCAGTGATTCGGCGCTCCTGAGCGTCTTGTGATAACGGAGAAGAGGCGAAATACCTACAGTACTTCCACAAGTCAATAGACAGATTCAAGTAACGAGTGTGGTTGCTGCAAACGTTTCTTCATCAAGCCCGTCTCCGTATTTTGTACGTTATCACACCCATGCCCATCCATGCCAGGTCTTGCCCTAAGGTCGTCACTTTTCTTTTCGCTACTGCCTTGATCCAGAGCATTGACGAATCAGAGACAGCAGGTCGGCAAACCTGCCGATTTTGAACAGACACTCTACGTGCTTCAATGGACGTATATTTACCGATGCAGCATTTCCCTAGTCTCAGTACTCAGACTCTATTCGGAAGGGTTGGTGGTAGTGATACCCCTGTTTTCTTAATCATTGGGAAACTAAAAAAAATCTGCGATTTTGGCACCCCCGATAATCAAATATCAAAATTTGAATTTCCTATATAACCTCACCACCACTTATTTTTACAGGCTAAAAACTTTACGAAATCTACTTACTATATTAAGGAATCTACTCGTAAATTTAGAAAGATTTTAATTCTAATCTTATAAGTGAAATGTAAAAAGCGAGAATATATCGCGAACCTCAAAAAATTTACCTCGGCTATTTTTTTACCGCCAAGACTATCTCGAGAAAATCTAAGAATTTATTAAATCCTTATTCTATAATAGAACGAATAATTAAAATCTTCTATAATTTGATAATCATAATCTCTCGTATAATTATTAAAATCTATAAAGTTTTTAGAGCGTTGTAAGTTATCGTTGTGAGGCTATTAGAAAGCACTTTTTTGTTTTTAGATGGGGGTGCCAAAATCGCGTTCTAGTTTCTAATGATTAAGAAAATAGGGGTAGGTCGGAAAACCCTTTTTCGGGCCGAAAATTCGTCATACCCTTCCCCTAGAGTCTGAGTAGGAAACCCTGAAATCGCTACATTGACCGTTATTTTGTATGGGATCCTCACCAAAATTGACCGAAATAGAAAATAAACAGTTCTTTTAAATACAACTTTTTATTAAGAATTCTAATAAAGAAATAGTCTTTTATAAAATAACTATTTAAATACCGTAGAATTTTTTTTTTCGATTTTTAATAAAATAGCTTAATTAATTATTTTTAGAAGATTTAAATTAGAGTTTTAAAAACTATACTTTTAACCCCCCTCTTATTCTTTAACGTGCACCGGTAAAACTCTAAAAATAATATCAAAATACTCGTTATATTTATAAGTCTATTTAAGATTATTATTATAGAATTCTCTAAGCTAGATTTTACATATTAATATTTCTTATATTTATATTTAAAATTTATTTATCTAAGCTATTATCTTAAATAATTTAGATAGCGACTACGCGTATAGCCTCTATTTACTAGGCGTATAGCCCCTATTTACTAGGCGTATAGCCTTTATCTATTAGGCGTATAACCCCTCTAATTAAATTAGCGACCGCGCGGAAGCTAATAAAATCTAATTAGAAATAATAAAGAACTCGTATCTAGTATCTTCGAGATTCTTATAAAGATACTTAATAATAGTAGAATAAGCCTCTCTATATCTCTCTCTATAGATTTATAATATCGAATAATTTTAATTTATCGATTAATAAGGTCTTTAAATAATTCTACTATAGCGATAGCTAATTAGCTAATTACTCTCTCTACTTACTATTAAAAATACGCCTATTATATTTAATTATTTACTATCTATTAATTAGCTAATCTTTTTATATCTAAAATATATTAAATATAGTCTTATTACTTTATATATAGACCGATATAATACTATCTCGCTATTCTTATATAATACTACCTCGCTATTCTCGTATAGTATTACCTCGCTATTCTCCTCTTATAGTCTATTTAGTCTATTTATCTTATCGCCTTTCTTATATAATATCTAGTTATTAAAATAATTATTATAGCGATTATAAAGCTTATAATATAGAGATAGATATAAAGATAGATATAGATATACGCTTTAATTCTTAGTCTTTAATATTAAAGAACGCGTTTATCTTATTCTTCTTCTCTTATTATTTTATCTAACTCGCCGTAATTACTAGTTATTATTATCGCTATATATACTTAAATCGAGAGAGCTCGCGTTAGATAAAGTCCTCGAAGACTTTCTCGCGAGTACGCTTCTTCTTCTTATTCTTAACTCTTATCGATCGGCCTTTAGATTAAATTATAGCTGATTTATTAATATATAAAAGCGCGTTCGTAGTGTCATCCTTCTCCTTCTTATCGCTCTCCTCCTTATTATTCTTATTCTTACTTTTATAATAACGCGTATTAATAGACTTATCGACTCGCTAATAAGAGTAAATATCTTTAAGTAATAATACCTTAGCTCTCTCTAATATATAACGCTCTATAACGTATATATATAATAGTCTTATTATTATAGTAAAGTATTTAATATATAACTTTATAATATAACTAATTACTTTATTATAGTAAGATAGTATTTTTATAAGAGCGAATAATAAAACTTTAATATATAGGTCTCGAAAAATAGGCTTCTTGATATAAATAGAAAGGCGTATTTAGATCTTATTAAGTGCGATATTATAATTTAAACGCTTATTTATAAGTATTAAATTAATAGCGTTTATAATAGTCTTTAAGTTATCTATAGTATTCTTCGATTAATTTATTACTCTATTATATAGAGTAAGAGTAATCTTATTAATAGATAAGCTATATAGCTATCTCTTAAGCTTATTATTATTTAACTCCCCTCGCGAAGTAGCTTAATTATTAAAATATAGATATTAATTAATTTAAAAGATTATCTACTTCTTCTTTTAAGAAATTAAATTATTCGCGATATAGATAATCGCGAATAGATAGTACTTAATATAATTCTTCTATAAGGCGTTTTATTTCTATTTAAATAACTTCTTAATAGCTATATATATAATATAACGAAAGTCCTTCTTAAAGATATTTAGTTTCTCTTACTTATTAAAGTACTAACTATAATTCGATATAACGTTATTCTTAATATATTAAATATAAAGTATATACTCGGCTCTTAAAAAGACGAGTTTATAGACTCTAATTAAAGCGTTTTACGCGTTTATTAGAAGTATATTTAAATAAGAAAGATTAAGCTTATTATATAGGGCTTTAAGTTACTTTATTATCTATACGTAGTTCTTAATATATTTTAATTTTATAAAGGCGAACCTTACGTAGAAGAATATATTAAGGGCGATAATTTCGATAATTATAAGAAGTAAAAGCTTATATTTATTAATTTTATATATCGCGTCTAAGATTAATACCTCTAAATTAAGTTATAATATTCGTTATAATAATTTTCTAGCGAAGAAGAAAAACTTAATCTACTACGTTCGCTAATTCTTCTTTATATATATAAATTAATTCTCTTATATATATAGCTATCGTATTAAGGCCTATACGAAAATTAAAGATTTAAGCGCCTCGCTCTTAATCTTAGTCTTAATATTATAGACGTCGCGTGGCTTTAGAATAAGATCTTTCTCGTCTTAATTAAGTCGTAAGAATAAAATAATCTATTTCGATAAGACTTTAGAACGCGTCTAATTAACGATAGTATTCTAAACGTTCTAAGTTATAGCGATTTTACGTATTATTAAATATACTTTAAATAAGATATAGTTATAATTATAAGTGAAATTAATAATTATAAGAGTAAAATCCGTCTGAATATCGCTTATTCTAATACGCTACGTAATAGTCTAAAACGAATAATTTATTAATCGACTAAATCTAATACGCTTATCTATACTCTTATTATTCTTTTTTAACTTTTTACTATAATCACACCGCAGCTATATCTTTCTTATAAGTTTATTCTTAAAAATAATTATACGCCCCTTAAGGATAGTATAGTTTTAAGATTCTACGTACTACTATATACGTAGAATAAGCGTATTAAATAAGATATTCGTTTAGTCATCGAGAGATAAAGCTAGGGCTATTACTATTAAGCGAAGAATATAGACGAGCGATAAGATAAGAGTTAGTTTTACTATTATAAGATATTCTACTATAAAGATATTCGACTCGAAGATACTAGATATAAGTTCTTTATTATTTTCGATTAGATTTCGTTAGCTTTCGCGCGGCCGCTAATCGAATTAGAGGGGCTATACGCCTAGTAGATAGAGGCTATACGTCTAGTAAATAGAGGCTATACGCCTAGTAGATAGAGGCTATATATATAGTTACTATTATAATCTATTAAATAATTTATAATTTTAAATAATTATTTAATAATTTATAGATATAAGTAAAGATGTATAAAGTTTTATTAATATTATTTTTTAATTTATATAATTTATTTAATTATCTTAAGACTTTTAGAAAAAAAATTAAAAAGCTTAATAACTTTAAAGACTTCGAACTTCAAATTTAGGAAATTTAATATATTTTTTTTATATATACTAAGAATATATTTATAAATTTTAATTAAAAGTGATAGTTCGGTTATCGAGTAATAATATATCGAAGTTCATTTGCAAATCTGAAAAGTTCCTTTCCGCACGATTTCCGCCGGGTCCGCACTATAAGCACGATTTAGCCTATTCAGCAGACTTTGCCTATATTCAACCCTTTCCGCCGATTTAGCAACTATCCTAATCCTTTTCGCCAGTTCTATCAGTTTAGCAACTTCAAAATTTTCAGCAACTTTAAAAATTTTGCGTAATGCACTCTAATATACTCTAAGTACTATTCTACATACATATAGCATTAATATATTAGTCTCAGTAATTCAGACTTACGGCTAGCCGGGGTATCTATAGCCAGCCCTATACTCATGCCTCGCTTCGGGGGTTAATCATATCGCAAGCTCATTACGGTATACCCCTCTCTTAGAGTCTAAGTAGGAAACCCCCGAATCGCTATATAAATCGTTAATTTATATAGGCCTATCGTAATAATCACCCGTTATCTGAATGTCGCGACTTCCTCTATTTTTCAGTTATTATCATATTATCTTTTAATATCAATTAAGAGGATAATAGGCCTTTCGAGATCTCTAAATAAGTATATAAACTTTTTATTATAATCGAATAGCTCGTTATTATCGTATAAGCTTATTCGAATACGCGTTCTCCGCTAATAATTATAGTATCTACTTTTAGTCGATTACTCTTCGATAATTAAATTTTAGACGATAGCGTATTATATTTAATATTATTAAAAGATTATATAACGAGTTGAGTGTAATAATTAAATTATAAGTTTAATCGTATTATTATTTAATGAAAATCGAGTACTAAAGCTATCCCCTCTATATATATATTTATTAACTTAAAGATATATTACTTAGAAATTAGAGGGAGTATAAAATATATATCTTAAATAATTTTAACGCGTTTAACGCGTTTAAAATGGACTTAAGCGTATAAGGAGACTATAAGGGGCGCTTAGATACGCGATTTTCTCTCCGACGACGATAGCGAGGTATTTTCGAATTATATATACTAACCTCTTTATAGCTTATAAATATATCCTTTCTCCTGATGAACACGAAGTTTTAAGACATTTGGCGGATTAGTTCTGGAGCAAAGAAAAAAGTTATATTTGAATCCGGGTATGAAAGTAGGGAGATAACCTCCATGACGACGACGCAGACCTTCCTGCATTCAAAGACGTCTTTTTCTACGTTCCATATACCTATAAGAGACTCCGACGTCGTGCGAGATATTCTTATTCATCGATGTCGCCGCTATTAATATCTGACTTCGCACTAAAAGGATGAATTATCTCCGCTTCGCTCTCCGCTCTACTCTCCGCAAGTTCGGTAGCTATACAATTGCTTGCATGCATGCTTGCTTGTTTACACGCATCGCCGCGGCGACTCTCGTAAGCTGGGCCGTCCAAAAAATAGGGGGAGACTGCGGCGTCTGACCGAAGTAATGAACTGACTGGCGAGGCCACGGCATTTTCCCCAACACGCCGCGCCGTCGGTCCGGCGAGTACCATGGCGGTTACCCCGAGGATTGATGTACTATGGGGGAATTCCTGTGTGGTGCTGCGCGTCTGTTGAGACGTACGGCGTTCTTGAGTACTGGTGCCGCTGCTATGGCTGAGTTAGCTGAGTTTTTTAGTGGAATGGAATTGGAAACCTACTTCTTAACCACTGCACCACAGCTCCTAATTTGACGAGGGCCTATTTAATTATTTATTCGACTTTTTTTCAAGAATTCCAAAAAGGCCATATCACGTAGTTGCGCATTTTTGTTAAGGATCATATGTACGCAGGGTGTGAATATTACATATCGGGCGATACACCAAAAAATTAAGTCTTGGCAGGGTTTCCCACTCAGACCCACCTCAAGGCCGGTGGGGCCAAGCTGAGACTATCAATATATATCATCATCAACATACGCATCATTATGCGCCATACCAGAGCATCACCCACGCGACTAATTTCATTAAATCGTCTAATTCCGTAACCAAATTTGAGTTGGCGTTAATACTCGTCGCCGTAGAACCTTACCGTCGCAACGTCGATTATTAGAACTTTTCTTTTTCGTGCGTATTGCTACTAAACTAGCAGAACTGGCGGAAAAGGTGCGGATTCTAATCAGATTTGCTGAACCGGGCAGAATTTGGGCGGATTCTAATCAGATTTGCTGATCCGGCGGATTTTGTGATTTCCGCGACACACGCGCGATCAGCAATTTCAAATTTTGCAGGAACTTTTCAGATTTGCAGATGTTATAGATTATTAAGTCTTTAAAATAGTTTCGGGGTAGCTTCGGGGTAGCTCGCTCCGAGGCAAAGCTACCCCGGAACTTACTAATGCTGATATATACCCAGGGGTAAATATCTCATATCAGCCAAACCACCAAAAAACCGAGGCTTGGCAGGGTTTCCTACTCGACACTGCGTGGGGCCTTTTCTGAGACTACATTTCCCCACCGGCAGCATTTGCCACATGCCCATTGCATCATATCAAACACGAGTACTGGGATACATAATTTCTTGGCAAAATTGACAGCTTCTGATGCGCCCACCAGGCCAATGCGGGGTGGGCTCGCCGGTCTTCCAAGTTCCCTGTCCTCTTGGTCATGGCGTTGCTATAAACTGCACATACCACCTCAACTCCATTCCTTGTATCATAAGATTAGTCACTTAAAATCAGAACTCATAGTCATGCCAGATCTCTCTAATACCGTTCATGTCGTCAATGGATACGACAAAGATGCCTACACTTACTATCCTGTCATCATCGTGGGCGCTGGGGAATCGGGCATAGCAATGGCTTGTCGCTTGAAGGAGAAACTGGGCTTCGATCAGTTCCGCATATTTGACAGACAAGCTGGTATGGGAGGAACATGGTGGATCAACAGATATCCTGGAGTTGCTTGTGATGTGTTAGTCTCCCTCTACCGGACTCGATAATTGCTGAAGCCGGCACAGTCCTGCCGTATTCTACAGCTTCTCCTTCTCGCCGAACCACAAGTGGTCTGCCTATCATCCTCCGGGGGAAGAGATTATTCGGTACCTCCAGGATGTATGTGAGAAATACCAGATTGTCGACAAGATCCAACTGAATACAGACGTGTCCGAGGTGCGATGGCTCGAGGACGAGGAGCTATGGGAAGCAACTCTTCTTCACATGATGCCTGGTACTGGTGATCTGTCTACCAAAGAGCGAAAAAAGATGATGACTGAGAAAGGACGCGAAAGCGTGTACCTTAAGGAAGAGAAGGTCAAAGCCAAGATCATATGCAGCGCTGCCGGCGGTCTCGTCGAGCCGAACGCATGGCCAGACAGTGTCCCAGGCCGGGATCTTTTCCAAGGCGATGTATTCCACTCTGCTCGGTGGGACTATAACGTCGACCTTCGCGGTAAAGATGTCATCGTTGTGGGCACAGGCTGTAGTGCCGCGCGTACGTACATTTCGGAGCTGATTCTTCCTTTTTGGTAATGAAGTTGAGTCGCAAGACATGTTTCAGGAGCAAGAAGACCTTTCTAAAGCAGAGACCTGTCTTGCAACTCCATTTCCTAGCTCGAATAAACAGTGCTGACTCCGAAATCTGCGTAGAATTCGTGCCTCGATTGTCGAAAGAGCCATACAACGTAAAGTCTGTCCTTCAAATCATGAGGTCCCCCCCTTGGGTAGTGCCTCGTCCCGGTCCCCTTTTGGGTCTTATCAAGCAGGAGACTTGGGAGAAGTGGACACCAAGACTCTTTCCTCGTATTCCTGGACTTGGTAGGGCCTATAGAACTTTTTTGTTCTGCCTTAGCGAACTCGACTTCTTTCTTATATTTACCGGTAAAAACGCCGCAGCAAAGACGCGCAAGAAGGTCGAAGCGCAGCTAGTTCAGCATATGAGGTCTATCGTACCCGAGCAGTACCATGAGATTTTAACCCCAAATTATGGCGTCGGCTGCAAGAGGAGAATATTCGACGCTTTCTGGCTTGAGAGTCTCAACGATCCCAAGATTGACCTCACGACCCAGCCCATCACCAGCCTGCAACCCAAGGGGGTCACGTTGGGACCGGGCCGCACCTACCCTGATCCAGAAGACAAGGCCAGCAAAGCACCAACAGACGAAAAGCACCTCCCAGCCGACGTCATAATCCTCGCCAACGGCTTCGAACTCACTACGTGGCTTTCACCACTCAAGGTAATCGGCAAAGGCGGTGCCGTCATGCAAGAGGTATGGGATGAGCGTGGGGGTCCACAGGCCTACATGGGAAACGCAATGGATGGCTTTCCCAATTTCTTCATCATTTTCGGGCCGAACACCGCAACAGGACATTCCTCTGTAATACTCGCAAGCGAAAATATGGTGGAGTACACGTTGAAATTCATCAAGAATATACTGAGGAAAGACGTCAAAACCTTCGACGTGAAGAAAGAAAAGGAAATAGCATGGACGACCGAGATGCAAGAGAAGTTGAAGGGCACCGTCTGGCATAGTGGTGGATGTCATAGCTGGTACAAGACAGCCAATGGCTGGAATGCTACTGCTTACCCGTAAGCACTATCCTTCTCAGGCTCCCCATTCGCGCCATCAAGCAATCTCGCAAGATGATTACTCAACTGCTAACATTCTCCAATAAAGATTTTCGCAGGTGGACTACAGTATCCGATGCATGTTTCCGAAATGGAGTGATTGGAACATCCAATACACGACCAAGGGACTCATCAAGCAGCGGCTAAAGCAAACACTTCGAGTCGTCACCCTTCTTGCGAGTATTGTGGGACTATATCATATACGGAAAGATGTAAGAGGTGGATTGAGCGCATTTGATAGCTCGATGAAGCAGAGGGTCAAGTTTGGACTGTTGAGATTATTAGTTTGGGTGGAGAAGGGTGTTCGTATGTTGCCTGAGCAGAGTACGATTTTGTGAGCTGGGAGGGGAGCATTTGGGGAAAGCTTTGGAGATGAGCATTTGGATGGTTTTCAAGGAGTACACAGCATCATGGTTGGATCATTGTGTGGTATGTAGGTATGTTTGATTGCCTCGATTACATTCCATCCGCCCATTGGGTGCTCTATCTGCTCAATTTGGTATCCATCGCAATGTCACATAAGGAAACCTCCAACCGAAACCATCACTCTCTAGTGTGAGCTTTTCCCGTACGGGCCGTGTCACTCACAGCTTCTCCAACCGAGGTACTCATCCAATTTCCTCATCTCAGATCCAACCGGAACACGGTCTTCTTGGGTCAGAACGGCTGTAATCTTGATGGATGCTAGAAGATCGGCAATAAGCCTCGATAGAGACTTGATGATAGGATGGTCCCTAAACAGATGTGCAGTCGGAAAGACAGCACGCCAAACCGCGGGGACAGAAGGCAGGATGATGCCCGGTGGATTTTTGTACGAGCGTGGGGTAGGGAACCCCACAGGTGGTGCAGGGGAGGTATCGAGCGGCACCGGGCGGCACCAATGCCGGACTGTCGAGACATTCGCGTCCGACGGCAGGGGAACATTTGTCGGCCGAGCGCTATCCACACAGGCGCCCAGCCCGTGCTTCAGCGCCGGCGCAGCTCGGCCAGTCGTTCTTCGTGCTCCTCTTCCTGCTTTTGAACGGCTGCTCTCCTCGCCAGGTCCGCATCCCGCTTCTTCTGGTTGATTTTTTCCTCCAATTCGTGCTCAAACTCCTGCCTCTGTTGGCGCTTCTTCTGGGCCAATTCCTCCTCGTGCTGCTTCTGCCTGACACGCTCTTCCTCTTCGAATGCCTTCATACGAGCTTCGATAGTCTCGAGACTGTGATCTGCCGAGTGCTCGTTCGGGTCGGAAACCGGTGTAGGGTGGTCTTCGATGCGGGTAGGAGCCTGTGAAGAGCGGTGGTCTATTTGGTTGGGAGCCTGTGAGGGGCGATCTTCGTTTTGAGTATGCGCCGGCGAATGGTGGTTGTCTTTCTGGCCAGAAGCCTGCGGTACGCCCTCCTTTTTCCCGCCGGAGGCTGGTGGAACATACGCTTCTCTCTGGCTAGAAGAGTGTGAGTGGTGCTCTTCTTGCCGGACGGAAGCCTGCGAAGGAGTGGCACCGACTCCATGCGGCCTATGTTGAGACGGGTTGGAAGGTGGCTCTCCAAGCATCTGAGGTTCAACTGATAAAACTTCGCTAGGCTCTAGCGACATTCGCAAGGATTGGAGAGGCGATACAAGTGGTGTCAAAGCCGAGCCTCGCTTTAGTCGTGGATCTCGTGGTGATATATTGGGTTGAGTCGATGGAGGAGTGAACGTTTTTCCGCGCGCTTGTGTCAAAATTGTGAGCTGTTCGGAGGTGCTTGTTGTACTCATACGTCCCTGTAGACTTGAGCCTGGTATGGGGGTATGCCGAAGACGTTGCAAGTCTCGGTCAGTTGTGGTTTCAGACACGCATTCCTCTACAGGCGCAGACTTCTGTGGCTGTGAGTCCTGACGGGGACCGGACCTAGGATCGAAGACGTTGCGAGAGGCCTGCCGAACCTCTGGTCCGTCTCTGCTGGGCAACACAATATTCACAGGCTTCTTTGGTAGAGAATCTTTCCCATGCGCATGCTCTAATAATTCTTTTCGTGCACGGTAAGAAGCTGGCTCAGTGGGCGGATGCGGATTGCAGGCGCGAGGCCGCGACTTTCCACTCTGGGTGAGCTCAAAGTCCTCACAGTACTTTGCGGTGTGACGCTCTTCCCCACAGCGAGTGCAGGTCATGGGGCAGCGGGACCAATAGTGGCTATATTCTGGAGTCAGCATGCCCCTTCCGAGATTCAGAGCCGAATCATAAGACAAGAAGACCAAATTCTCTACAGTTTCTCAGAACATGTCTAACGAGCTGCATTGAGGTCCAATAATGGGAAAGGACCACTCCAAAATGTACCGACCTGATTGAACGGCAGCCCCAGCATATCATTGGCTTATCACAGTCTGAGTATGCGTGATCTTCCATACACATATAGTTCTTGCACCAATACCTCGGAGGCGGTCTGTAATTGTCTGATGTTCTAATAGCCTCCTCCTCCTCCTCCTCTGTACCACGACGGCGCTTGATAGAGCGGTCAATAGCCTCATCATCGAGAGGGCGTTTCAGTTCGTATCCACCGAGGCGTAACACATTTGAGGGTGGGGGAGAAGAACCGTAGAACCCACGGCTTTGGGCCTCAGATGCGTTCCTCCTGTCAGGGTTGACAGTCCGAGATGAGCGTCGCGACGGTGCTGTGTCAGGCATGCTCGTGTCTTTGCGTTCTTTCGTGGGCATTTGGATTAGCTGTTTCGGATCGTGGCCAGTGGATGGTGATTTTTCGTTGGGGACAGAAGCAGCAGCGGCACTGTGATCATCAGATTGGCCGCGTGAAAACTTCAGAGCCAACGACGCGTCATCTCGTGGTGTTGTGTTGCTAGAATATTCGGCCCGGTGCCAGATCTTATTAGAATGATGTCGAACCGCCTTTGATTCCGTAGCAATGGTTGATGATCGGTCTTCTGAGGAAGTCTCACCTTCTGCAGCTGGCCGATAGCTGTCGTAGTAACGATGGTCCCAACCCATATCCTGGTCACGAACCATTGCTTTTGAAGGTGTTAGTGGGGAGACGCTTGCTGAAGAGGGAAACGTACTGAGGACCGTGACAAAGGATGGTTGGGGTTGTGGACGTCAGTTGTTTTGAAAGGATTGATTGTGGCATCAGATCTGGATAGCAATAAAAGTCTCTTGCCCGACTTTCAGAAGCCAATTGGATCTGAGGCGAGTTCCTGATGGGCGATTTGACCGATCTTTGGTATATGTCTTAGGTCTAGAGGGTCAACAACACTGACACTGGCGGGGCAGATCGACGAGCGTGCTGCCTACCGTTTTCATTCTTGCCAAAACATGTATCCAAAGGGCATGTCTTTGTCTTCAATTTTTCAAATGCAGCATTTGTTATAACCCAATTGGCAGGACTGCAGGCAAGCTGTGAGAAATCCGGGCAGCCAAGGGAGCTGGCACCTTTCAATCTTGGCATAGTGTGGGTATCAAGGCGAGCAGATACGCTCTGGCACTCAGAAAGTCTTCTCTTTAGCGGTGCAGTATTTGACTGAGGATACCGTCAGAACCATCAAATTTCCACGCAGCGCGTCTCACTGAGAACATTAAGAGACCGTTCTATCATACTGATCATCTATCATTTTCATGCAAGCAAGCAATTGTGCAAAATATGCAAGAGCCCGCTATTAAGTTCCATCAGAACGGAAGCACATATGCATTCACCCGTCTGATGCCGCTGTCTCTCATGCCAAGCTCACAGGTAGGCAGACACCAGCTATTTCTCACTTGCAACCCTTAATGACTTAGCAGGTCTCGAACCGACATTGCCCTTCCTCCTTTAGGATACCTACGGTCCTTGTTCAGCATCAACAATGCAGCTGTAGCCTCTTGGTCTTGCTCTCTGCTTGGCATGATAGTTGGAGACGTCGAGGCAGACAGAGAGAATTGAGATTGAGGACCTCGGTGGCCGTGTTGTGGTTCGAAAGCAGGTGACGGAAGCGTGGAAACTGAGGAGGCATAGGACGAGTGGTGGTGATTGGATTGTGCTTCTATCGCAGGGGATGCGCTAATTGACTGAGGACTCGTGTAGGCGTATGCTTTACTTGCAATCGCCATGATTGACGGAGAAATGCAATTGGATCCTGAATCACCCATGGTAACATCTTCATCATCTTGATCTTCGTCATCGTCCTCATCGTTCTCTTTAGGCGTGACGGCATCGAAACGAGGCGGAGGCGCTTGAGGCTGTGTAAGTGGAGTCGACAGAGAATTGTTGGCGGCTTTGAGGTCTGCGATGCATTTTTCTAGATAGCGAAGGTAGTCGATGCTTGCCTACTCACACTGTCAGCAGAAAGGGATAGCTCCTCACAACAACGGTCTTACGCACTTGCAAAATAGCGAGCTTGTGCATTTCTTGGTCCGTGCAAGCGGGTATCATAGCCTTCAAGGTCCCAAACTCTTCGTTCATCTTCGACCTCCGTCTCCTTTCGATCACACTGTGCGCTGTCTTCCTGGCAATCTTCTTGCCGGCAACACTGGTCGAGCTAGGCTGCTTCTTTCCTGCCGTAGCAGTGGCACTTGAGGATGTCGAGGTCTTCTTATTTGAACCTTTCGGACCTTGCTGCATAGGGGATCTTACTGAATCTTCTGAGGACTGCGGCTTTGGCTTCATTTGAATGATGGTGCGAGACCTGGTAGGAGGTGGAGGTAAAGAGAAGCACGGGCCCAGGGCCGACTGAGTCTGTTTCTGAGCAGTGGAAGTGCCATTGTTTCGTTGAGACTCGATAGCCGGAGGAGGTAGGTTGAAGGACTTTTCTGTTGCAGAAATTGGAGAGCCATCTTTGCCCTGGATTTCGGTTGAGGCAGCGGGCGTTGGGGGCAGACTTGTGCGAGGCATGATTGGTCGTCGGCTTTGCATCAACAGTCAAAGAGAGTAGATTGTCACGTGCGGAGGATACGAAGGATAGTCAATGAATTGGGATAGAGACTTCGCATTGAGGCAAATGAAGTGTGTAGATAGCGCAGAAGGGGAAGAAGAAGAAGAAGAAGAAGAAGAAGATGCTGGTGTCAAATTAAGAGATGAGTGGTCATATAATAATAATAAAAAGAAGAAGAAGAAGAGGTGTGCCCCTCTTCCTTGATAAAGAGCAGAAACCCCCCCATGTTTAGAGTCGATCAAGAGTCGCGTGCCTTCTGAACGTGCACCATCTTCAATCCTGATTGGCTGGAGTCCCAAAGGCGGCAATGACACACATTTTTGGGACGATTGTTCACCTCTTACTTTCGCATGCTCCCCATCTCAGGCACCGAGGACGCTCGAATCGCTACTATTGACATAATCAGTTGCATTGCCATTGAGCAATGAATCTTTAGTGGGGAGGTATTAGTGTTTATGTGTATCAATAGAGTCAGGTACGGTAGAGTATTATTGAGGTATCCTCCTTCATTCATCTGCGAGACATAATTTCTGCCAAGCCCCGCAGTCCCGTGTATTAGCCCATTACCTTAAGGTACCTTACTTTACTTTACTTTACTGTATTCAATTCACTTCCGCCAAATAAATGCCAAGACATTTTCGGCGTCAGCCACCACCGATCACCGCCCTGCGCTAAGGTACTCCCGCAACTGCTCTCACTTCCTCTCGTCTGAGTCGTCTCTTTGTTCTTCTTTCAATACCTACTCCGTCCATGAATAGCGGAAGCAGCCTATGAACCAGCTCAAAACCTCGCAAACCTCTATCCTCACTCACCCACTCCTCACATCAAATCATGGGAAGAAGATATCTGCCATCGCCATGGACGTCGATGATGCCGGCCAGCGCATCGCGGATCGCATTCAAGACAAAGACATTATGGATACTACCCTAGACAATGTTCAGGAAGCTTCGTCGAATGTCGCCGATCCAGAAGCTCCAGAAAAGGGCCAAGCCGCAGCAGGAGCGGAAACCACGCCCGTTCCCGAGAACTCAACAGAGAAGGATGACGAGACCCAGCAGTCGTCAAAGCAAAAGCGTAAGACCCCACACTGACTCTGCCTGACCCTTCTCTTGTAGAGCATGGGTTGACACATGAGTCTCGTGGTAGCACCAATACCACAAACCCTGCCACTCACGCAAAATCTCATTTCCTTGTTCGGCCTTCAGCCGCTCGCAGCTACAGTCGCAAGATCCGACCCAGTCACAGGCGAGAAGATCAACAAGATGAGGAAGTCTTATGAAGGTCAACTCAAGACACTTGGACTAGCTGGCAGAAATCGATCGGTCAAGCACCAGGAAGGAAAACTGATGGGGCTGAGGGAGATGACGCTATGGCCGGAGGAGGAGTGGCAGAATCAGAAAATCGGCGGCAAAGACATTCACAAGGGTCTTCCAAGTGGAATACTGGCCAAGCTGGACAAGGCTATGCAGATGCAGCCAGGGCCATTGCCAAACAACAATGAGTGGGAGAATCTTCTGGGGAATGACAACCCAAAACCGGTCGAGGCGACCAAAGCGTCGAAAATTCCTAATAAACCTTTGGCCAAAGCGAACGGCCAGGTTAACGGTAATACTGCGAACGCTGAAACCGTTCGACCACAGCGCACCAATAAAAAGCGATCATATGGCGACGCCAGCTTCGAAGGCTACACAGGTTACGCCGAAGGAATTGAGGACGATGACGCTGACACTGGAGGAGGCTACTCATCTGGCGATACTCAATTTAGCCGGAAGAGTGGCCGCGCCGCCAAGAAGCGGAAGAAGGTGAGATCCTCCGATGATCTCGATGCTATTTATATTCCCTGATCTATCTACTTACTCTTATCAAGGGCTATGGGAATAATTCTACAGGTTTTGGCGATCGAAGTGGCAGCTTTAGCTCCGGTATGGTTGGTGTAGGCGCCTACAATCGGTAGCACCGAAGGACTGGGACCTGCTACATCCCACCTCATCTACATCTTTGTGGAGAACCAGCGCAGCCAATGGGTTGACGCGGGAAAGGTCCTGAAAGAATCCCACGAGAACACAACTCACCTCGCTTGTTCGATAACGCCCCTTCGGTCAAAGCATTCCAGTATTTCTCTCGATTCACAATTTTCCACAATCACACACACCATACCACTACACCATGCCGTTACACCATACCGTTTGCACCAAATCATCACATCATCTCGCCAAATCTACGCCTCGACATACTCCGTCACTCAGCCTAACCACAGCATCCACCACTACAACCTATTCCCTATGTCTTTCATGTATTAACGACTGGGTATACCCGTAATCGGTGTTACTGGCTTCTTGGCAGGAAAGGCGTTTTTCTCTAAGCGATCAAAGACCAGGCGTTTTGAGGCTCTATATGCCTTTCGTAGCATCAATGGACATGCTACATGAGAAACCGGCATGTGTGCATGCAATAGGCTAGGAAGAACGAGATACAATTACGATGGAAACCAATCGGGATAGACGACTTTGGTTGCTGTTCTCCTTTGCCAATGTGACTGCATATTGAACTTCCCTTCTTTCCCCCAGGTAGGTATGAGTCCTCTCACATACGGCTCTCTCGGGCCCTTTGCCTTCTGGACATGCCAGCAGTTACTGTCCTTGTTTCCGAGCCCCTGGAGCACATGCCTGAGCGCCGGCTACTCCCCGCAACCGTTTCCCACCATCTGGCTACAGTGTTCGAGATATGAGGCGGTCTGAGATACCTGGCTGAGCATTCGGACGGAAGCATTTACACATGGTAGACACGCTGCGAGAGCAACATTTGCAATCTCAATCATTGATACAGAGACCTAAGCGTAGCCTCTTCTTCTGCTCAAGTACCCTTCTTGAATGCCAACAAAAGTGCCTTGTAACCCCATACGCCAGAACACTCCTTTGCAGTGGTCCAATCACTGCAAGTGTCAGATCGCCTCCACTCCACCCCCATTTACGGCCCCTGGATCTGTCACGCCAACCCCTCTCTTTCGACTCCTCGCCGCCTTCTTCCTCCTCCCACTCGGGACCTCCACTTGTGCTCCCCCATTCTCTCCGCCTCCTCCAATCTGTACATCGTCCTCCGTACCACCATAAAGCTCATGCCATTTTCTCGACTCGTCTAGTTCATTCATGTCCGCTGGCCTCATTCTTAGCCACTTCATCCTTGGACCGGTCTTCGACCTTTCACTGACTCGGAAGCCGTAGATGCGCGGTTCGTGTATCCTTCCAGGGCCTAAGCCAGGCGCGAGGTTAGACGTAGCGATTCCATTCAAATGGCTCGGCTGTACTGGTAAAGGTTCTGGTGTGATGGATGAGAGTGTTGTAGGATTTAAAGTGGCTGTGACAGGAGTAGAAGTCAACGAGGAAGAACGCGAGTGTTTTGTTGTTTCTGCTGCGGCAGAATTTGTGGCTGCTTGCGAAGTGGGTGAAGGAGGTGCATAGGCGGGATGTGTAGCGGCGAGGTTCAGTGGATCGCCTTTGGCGGAGACGTCAAACTCGGGGAAAGTCATAAAGAAGAGACAACCGAATGTGGTTCCGAAGAAGGCACCGTCGACAGATTGGAACCGGCTGTTTGGGGGCGTGTAGACGTCCAGGCAAGAGGGGCAGAAGAGCTTCACAGTTTCTTGGCCCGGTATGTCATTGCAGCCGACGGGAAGGACACGGGCTTGATTGCAAAAGACGCGTGGGCAGGATCCAAAGTGCTGAAGCTCGTATTTGTCTGCCATCTGTTGTATGCCGGGCCTAGATGTTATGTAACGTTGGTGAATAAGACCGTAGAGGAGCTCTGCGCTGCTTTCTATTTCGGTAATGTCGTTGGCAACTTTCATATGCCGGCGTTCAGCACCTCTCCTGTAAGGCACACTGTTGCCGTTTTCATCTCGCATCTCAACGTCATTTTCCTCGTCCTCGTCCTCATCTTCCTCCTCTTCTTCTTCCTCTTCTTCCTCCTCGTCTTCTTCTGGTTCCACGTCTAGTATCATTTCTAACGCTTCTTTGTACATGGGAACTTGATTTTGAAGGCCGGTGAGATTGAAGTCGTCTTCAATAAAATCTTCTGAAACTTCGGCAAAGTATTCGTGGCCGAGGAGGCCGCAGAAGGAAGAGATCCAAGATTCGGGGGTACCTGAGGAGGTAGACATGACGGAGGTTGTTGAGTGGGTGACAGAGAGCGTAGATCCAGATGCTACAGGCGAAGCAAGGCTCAAATCCGCAAGCTGAGGCGCCAACGACGGATCCCCGTTGGCAGACACCGTGGTGGTTGATCCTGTTTTTGGGGGAATGCTGTGGATTATCCCAAAAAAATACGCCCTACTCCGGGGGCCAGATGATTTAAATGTAGGGGTCGCTCAATGGTGACAAGGTCTATGCCACGAAAATTAGAACGATAATCACAAGGCTTCCAAGTGCGGGATCGGTGGTGAAAGTATCAACGAAGTAGTGAATGTCCGAAATGTCCGAAGTGGGGACGGTAATGGTGGATGGAGTATGATAGAGATAGATTTGGTGTCAAGATGCATCATAGGCGCATATCAGGTCAGATCCTTTTGCAGACTCGCTGCTCTGGCTCTCGCGACTGCCTCGAGTGCTGCACCCAAGGTCACTTGAGGAATGGTGAAAGTGTGGCTAGTAGTATACGACACCCACTAAATCGGATCAGTCAAGCTGTGAAGATCACCAAAACATCCGATAGTCGGTGGATGGTGTTTTTTGCGCATTCATATGTGATCTCCGAGGCTCATTACAGCTGACCAGTGACCAGCAAATTGATATCAAATTAGTGGGGTTTCAATGGGCTGTGCACTGCGGCTAAGGCGCCTATTCTAACCTTGCCAAGCCTCTTTCCCACCGGGGCTTACCGTAAGTAAAGTTGTACTACCGAGATTACTAAAGTACAGTACTTACCTTAGGTACCTCACTCAAGTACAGGACTACCACTCTTAGCCAAGTAATGTAAGAAGTTGAGAACGATTCTGATCTTTCATAGCCAACGCAAGAACTATGGACCAGTACCAGTATTCGTGTCCCTACCGATTGGGTATATGCAAGCCTAGCAATTAAAAGAGGTATTCCATAATCCTCGAAAATTCCCCCTCATTGCCATAGACTCCACTGATGCCCCCTGTTGCAGGAACCATCTCTCCCTGAGATCCTACGAAGCCACTCACTCCATCCAAGGCCTGATTACTTGCAAAGAGATTATTGCCGTAACCACCTGCTGCTTCAAACAGATTGGTCAATTCATCCTTCATCTGCTGGCCGTCCAAGGGACTGCTGCCCAGCGAACTCGGTTGCTGAGTTGAAGTGAACGCGGCCACCCGATCAACTTGATGGCCAGCTAGACCAGCCATGGCGACTGCCGCCGAGGAGTGAGCGTCGTCCGGATCGGTCAGTGCTTGGCGCGAGATGACTCCAAGCTTCGGTCCAACCTCCTTCAACCCCTTGATCATTTTCCAAAGGCGCTTCGAGATGTATGATTTCGCACTAAATCCTTTGATGAGATCCAGGGCCATGTAGAATTCATCTCTGACTTGACGACTGAACTCCACAGGCGCATGCGCGACCGCGAGGAAAAGTACAGCTAGTGCTGAGATGAGGAAGTAGTTGAAGCAGACTTGTTGCGTGCGGTAGATGTCAGTAGTCTCGTTCAGGCGAGTCAGCACCCTAATCGTGTCCTTAGCCACGTCCACTACGGTTTGAGCGTAGCTCCTATTTTCCATAATGTTCGTAGCCGAGTGTAGAACAGGTCTGTAGATTAACACCCGCATCTGATTTGTCCGCAATATGAGGATCACTTGCAGACGACGTTGTCCCCGACTGGTAGGGTTGGTATCCATGGCATTGTCCACTTGACGGAACCTGAGGCTCTCGGGGATGTTATTGTGCCATTGCAGGATCTGAAAATCGAGATAGCCAATGCCGTCTTTGTTGATCTCACTGCCGGGGCCTTCAAATTTGGTGGTGGACCGCCAGACTTGGGATGAGATACGACTGTACGCGATCATAGCGGTTAAATAGGGGGTCGAGTCGTCCTGGTCTGTTAGCGTCATAACGTCAACTGAAGAACCATCTGATCTTACCGGCTGCGGCAAGTGAGGGTCAATGTCCGCGTCCTGCAGAGCGAAAGGCATCCCTGTACCAAAGCTCCACCGCCGATCTAAAACATAGATTGACCAAAAAAGTTTGGTAGCCCACGATCGGTCTTCACCATTGGGAAAGATCTTCGCGATGGTTTGACGACCATGCAGACCTATCTCTAGACATAGACGGGATGCTAGACCAATGATTCGGTAAGCCTGGACTTCCTCATCCTGTTGAAAATGATACTCTGCCTTCATCTGGAGTCAGCATAAACTTGAATATGAGCTCATTGGTATTCATACCACAAGTACTAAGAGAATCAGGCCCTTGATCTCGACCGGGCCTGACAATCGTCCTTCGAAAGCTTCTCGACAACTCTCGTACAGCATCGTTCCCAGGTCACTCTGACCCCCTCCTTCCACAATCAATGCAATAGCCAGCACCATCTTGAGAATATTGACGTCGTTGTTCGCGAGCCGATCAGGGCCGGACATGGCTCCGTTCAAAAGGCCTGTTCGCGCTGCTGCCTCTGTGAAAGTGAACAATATGTTCGCTTGTGTAATAATTTTCTCCATATCGATTATAGGATACATGATACCCATCTCTTCCTCGTAGACATGGCAAAGCCTGATCGCTTCTTCTTTGCCTATCTTCCATAATGGGTCTTTGTTGGGATGCACCGTCATTGAGGCTATTGGGGCTTGGAGCTGGCGCGGTGAACCTCTGGGAGTCATCTCATCGTCATTATATCCTCCGTCTTCCTGCATTTCTGGTGCGGTTATCCCCATTGTTTGTAAGCTCGAGCGAGCAACATCGAAGCTGAAAGCAGAGCTTGTGGGGCCCTGGAAACGAGGCTGGCTTCCGTGAGCCTGTGAGGGCGATGAAGCGTTCCGATATGGCCCCGAGGAGTCCGAGTGAGCAAGAGCAGGATGTAAGGGGAATGGTTCCTGGGCATGGTTTGGCTGGGTAATATACCCCTGCCCATTGCGCAGAGCTTCGAGGTTAGCATAGAGGATGTTGACCTGTTCCTGCAGTGACTGGATATGGGCACTCATGGCACGATACTCCCTGTACAACGGGTGAGCATGGATGTATAAGCTCACTGAAGATGCTTACGGTGAGTCCTTAAAGCCGGCAGAGCACGCACAGTTGGGAGCATAGACACACTCCAGAGACAAGTTGCCACATCGCTGGCAAGGATTCTGTCCATTACACTTGATTTTGCGGCGTTTGCATTCATTACTGTGACATGAAATGGTTAATTAGGGATTCCGTGTTTGTTCGTTGGATGGGCGCCTCACCAAGCAATGGAGATATATCGGTTTCGCTTTGTCTTCTTGTCAGATTCGGGAGGGCCGTCATCTTCACTTTTCCTCTTGTCTCCTGCCTGGGATGTCTTGGTGACATTGTAATAGGGGCCATCCGTGGTGTGATGATTCTCTTGACCGTTCATGGTGTAACGAGAGGCGCATACGTCCCGATTCAGAGGGGCGGAATTTTGGTTGAAAGATGGCGGAAGAGGTGCGCACGGCAAGTTGCCGAAATGCCAAGACCTTCAAAAACCACCCACCGTACTTTGTGGTGTGTTGACATTATCAACACCCACCGTCCACCCAATGCCAGGAGTTACATCGAATTAGGCCCAAGCTTCATGCAGCTTCATTAGTGAATAACCGCTTCTCGTTACTCTACTCTCATTCGGCGCAAAAGCAAAATTGTCGCCGCCCTCTAGTAGACGGTAAGATTTTCTGACAGCTTGCCTGGCCATGTTTACTTTCTATGAGGCTTCAATCATAGCTCGACAACGAGAAAACAGATCTTAAAGCTTTTGGTGTATAGGCAGGCACGTATTCGAAGCACCAAGGAAAAGACCTGCGAGCCTTTGCCAGCAGTATTTCCTATCGCCGCTCTTCCTCCCCGGATCCCACGCTCAGACCTGGTAGATTTCGAACGGCACGCTGCGCTTGACGTCCTTGGTCCTGATACTCGTTGATATAATATTAATCTGTAGGCTTCATGGAAAGCTGAGAAATGTAAGATGCGGCATCTAGGCTCATTGTCCACCGATATTCCAAACCCTTCAGAAATGGATGCAGACATACAACGCAAAAACCCAGCCATGCATGCAATGGGAAGAGAGAGGAGGGTTAAGGAGTAAAGGGTCGCAGAGGGAAATCAATCCAGCAAACGGAAGACTCCTAGTAGACTTGAGGAAATTAAGTACAGTGCTACGTCGGATAGGCTGCCTGATCAAAATCACCATGGTAGGCATACCACACTGAGTATAGGAAGGTCTTCCGGATCATTAATCTGGGTAGGTACTCTGTAATTGCAGAGAAAAAGAAGCACCCAAACACCAATTAAACACCCCCAATAGAAAACCCACCAAAAAAAAAAAAAAAACCCCCAAAAAAAAAATCCCAACGGGAAAAAAAAAAAAAAAAAAAAAAAAAAAAAAAAAAAAAAAAAAAAAAAAAAAAAAATAAAAAAAATTTAAAAAAAAAAAAAATTAATTTTTTTGGTTTTTTTTTTTTTTTTTTTTAGCTTGGCCCCACCGGCCTTGAGGTGGGTCTGAGTAGGAAACCCTGCCAAGACTTATTTTTTGGTGTATTGCCCGATATGTAATATTCACACCCTGCGTACATATGATCCTTAACAAAAATGCGCAACTACGTGATATGGCCTTTTTTGGAATTCTTGAAAAAAGTCGAATAAATAGTCAAATAGGCCCTCGTCAAATTAGGAGCTGTGGTGCAGTGGTTAAGAAGTAGGTTTCCAATTCCATTCCACTAAAAAACTCAGCTAACTCAGCCATAGCAGCGGCACCAGTACTCAAGAACGCCGTACGTCTCAACAGACGCGCAGCACCATACAGGAATTCCCCCATAGTACATCAATCCTCGGGGTAACCGCCATGGTACTCGCCGGACCGACGGCGCGGCGTGTTGGGGAAAATGCCGTGGCCTCGCCAGTCAGTTCATTACTTCGGTCAGACGCCGCAGTCTCCCCCCTTTTTGGACGGCCAGGCAAATAAGCAAGCAAGCATGTATGCATGAAAATTATATAGCGACCGAACTTGCGGAGAGCAGAGCGGAGAGCAGAGCGGAGAGCGAAGCGGAGATAATTCATCCTTTTGGTGTGAAGTCAGATATTGGTGGCGGCGACATCGATGAATGAGAATATCTCGCACGACGTCGGAGTCTCTTATGGGTATATGGAACGTAGAAAAAGACGTCTTTGAATGCAGGAAGGTCTGCGTCGTCGTCATGAACGAGCTGATCGAATGTCGCTTGGTGATCTCAACGCTGTGATTCCAAGAAAACATTGGAGGACATCAGGCTCTAGGTCTATCAGCAGTTAGTGTATTCCTCATCAAAGGAGGTTGGAAGTTGAGCAACATTCCCTTCACTTTGAACGTCAAAATGTTCTTCTCCCTACTTTCATGCCCGGGAATCAAATATGACTTTTCTTCTTTGCTCCAGAACTGGTCCGCCAAATATCTTAAAACTTCGTATTCGTCAGGAGAAAGGATATTCCTGTAAGCTATAAAGAGGTCAGTATATGTAGTTCGAAAATACCTCGCTGTCGTCGTCGGAGAGAAAATCGCGTACCTAAGCGCCCCTCACAGTCTCCTCGTCCGCCTAAGTCCGTTTTGAACGCGTCAAGCGCGTCAAAACCATTCAAGGTATGTGTTTTATGCTCCCTCCAACTCCTAAGTGATGCACCTTCGAGTTGATAGATGTGTATATAGGGGGGATAGCTCCGGTGCTCGATTTCCATCAGACAGTAACACGGTCAAACTTGTGATCCAATCATTACACCCGACTCGTTATATGATCTTTCAATAATGCTGAACACGATGCGCCATCGTCTGGAATTTAATCATCGGAGGGTGACCGGCTGGAGGTGGGTGCTGTAACCGTCAGCGGAGAACGCGGGTCCGGATGAGCTTATGCGACAACAACGAGCTATCCGATCATAATAAAAAGTTTATGTACTTGTTCAGCGACCTCGAAAGGCCTATTGCCCCCTCAATTGATATTAAAAGACTATGTGGTGATGGCTGGAAAATTGGAGGAAGTCGCGACTTCCCGATAACGGGGTGATTATTGCGGTGGGCCCATACAAATTAACGGTCAATGTAGCGATTCGGGGGTTTCCTACTCAGACTCTAAGGGAGGGGTATGCCGTAATGAGCTTGCGATATGATTGGCCCCCGAAGCGAGGCACGAGTGTAGGGCTGGCCATAGGTACCCCGGCTAGCCGTGAGTCTGAATTACTGAGACTAACTGCTTATGGTTCCATCGCTTCACCGCTTGGCCAGCTGATAATTTCTGTATGTAATATGGACAGTCGCACAATGAGTCAGTCTGTAAATGCAATCTCCCCCAACCAAAAACCCAAACCCCCCCCGAATTTTTTTCCCAAACCCCCCCCCCCTTTTTTTTTTTTTTTCCAAAAAAAAAAAAAAAAATTTAAAAAAAAAAATTACAAAAACCCCCCCCCCCCCCAAAAAAAAAAAAAACCCCCCCCACATACCTGAACAATCCGATGACGCCAGCGAGCTGATGGCTCTCCTGCTGCCTGCGAATTCATGCTGTTGGGGGAGTCACTGCGGCTTCGCGGGTTTTCACAGCCTTCTTCTACGCGGCGAGGCCTCTCGCAAATCGCCACGGAGGCTCTCCAGCCTTATAGGGGAGCTCCCGCCTGCCCTATCGATCTTTCTGAGGTACGGTAACGTAGAGGTGCATTAGGGGGCCTTTAGGGTTACATCCAAATCATCCAGGCCCCCAGTAGCTCGATTCACGTAATCTCGGCTTTAAAAGTACCTAGTTGTAAATAGCCCCCACCGAAGGATTTCAACCCCTCCTCGCACGAGCGTGAAAACATAAAAGGTATGACCTCGCCGCCAATGTCTTCAATGTTTTTCTAGCCGCTACTCTTCCTCATAACCCCCAGGTAGAAATTGGGCCTTTTCTTTTACGCTCAACTCCGCTTCCAATCTGAACTTCGACCGAACATTCCACCGAACAGAAGACCGAACCCAAGCCTCGTACAGCAGCAGCAATGGAGCATGGGGAGTGGCCTGGGGCCGATGGATTTCCCGTCGTTATGAATACTCGCCCTGGCCGCAACAGGGGACGGCTGGGCCAAACAGTCTATTACCAAGACGGCAACGGGCTCCTCGTCCCCGCCGGCGCAGCCATAGGTGGAGGCCTTCACCGCTCCCACTCAGCAGCGGCGCGGCGTCCCGCGCAGATCGTCATCAATAACAGGCAGTATGAAGACCGCTCTGTCAGCCGCAGCCCGCACGGCCATAGTCACCACCGGAGAAGCTCCTATGGACATGACCATCACTACGATGATTCAGAAGATGAGTATCACGAACGAGCGTATAGCCCTCATCGGAGAAGGCGGCCCAGTAGGAGTCATGGTAGTAGGAGTCCCAGCCCATATTACGACTATGAGTTGGAAAAGAAGATGAAGAAGTTGGAGGAGCTTGAGGAGAAGGAGAAGGAGGAATTAGCGCGCGAGAAATACGAGGAGGAACTGATCCTGAAAGAAGCCAAGAAGGCCAAGAAGAAGAAGGAAGAGGACGAGTTCAAAGTAAAAGCGATCGAAGAGTACAACAAGAAGCAGGCGGAGGAAGAAGTCAAGAAGGAGAAGGCGAAGGAAGAGGCAGACGAAGAATTCAAGAAGAGGGTAAAGAAGACATTTGGCCAGGCAGGGTATGACGAGGATAGTATCGAGAAGATACTGAAGAAGGGGGAGAAGGGAAAGGGACATGGTCATGGCAAGGAGATCAAGATCAAGGACTTGACGCGGCCGACGTACATCAAGGTGCATCGGAAGCATGTGAGTCCGGAAACATTGGATGAATACAATCTGCCTTGGGAGTGGGACGAGGTGGGTTTCTATTCCCTTGCCGTATCGAATGTCTGTATCGCTGACACCACTTTATCAGCGTGACTCGAACTACATCGTCATCAAGCAGTGGATTCCAGAAGGCGATCAAACACTCCTCTTTGACCACACAAAGAAACTGCGCGAGAGAAAATTGATCACTGACTCCACTGTAGAGCTCAGGAGGGAAAAGGACAATCTGCTACTGGTAAGGAAGAAGTCGCCCGGAAGGTCCAGGTCGCGTTCTAAGTCACGGTCCTGGATGTTTACATGAAGCAAGAGCCCGGCTAGCTGGGGCAACGATGACGACGCTTGATTTACGAGGCTAACGAATCTTATGGTGTATTGGTGGCCTCTTGCATGTTTCTTGTTTGATTTGAGATATCTCCCTTCCCCAGCTTTCTGGCGGTCTGTAGTCCGATGTTTCTTAGATTTGGAAATTTAGATAGCTTGGGACCTCTACTTGTTTTACGCGTCCATCTTACTCTTTCAATTAGTCTCCACAACGTCGACAACATCCCTCCTAAGATGCAGAGGCATCTCCTTCCTCACCTTTTCCAAATCTCCCAAGTCGACCTCACCCACGCTGATCTCCGGCTCGCCCTTCCATTCCTCCACACCACCCGCCTCGGCGACAATCTTACCCCAGGGATCGATTATCATACTGTGCCCATAGCTCACTCTTTTCTCATTATGCGGCCCGACTTGTGCAGCAGCAATGACGTACGATTGCGTCTCAATGGCTCTGGCCCGAAGGAGCGTTTCCCAGTGTACCTTGCCTGTCGGCACTGTGAAGGCGGACGGATATGTGATAATTTGAGCGCCGAGATCACGGATTCGGACAGACAGTGCGGGAAACCGCAGGTCAAAGCATATCATCAAGCCCATCGAGCCGAGACTGGTCGGGAAAGGAGGCAGGATAGAGGAGCCGGGCTCAACACTTTTGCTTTCGATTATTGAAGGACCGTCTTTGATTTCGACATCGAAAAGATGGAGTTTTTGGTAGCGCTGAGTAATAACTCCTCCCTCATCGATCCAAATGAGCGTGTTCTTCACTCTTTTCCCTCCGGTCGCTGGCTCATGAATGCCAACATTAATCGGCAACCTTGCTTGGAGAGCCTCATGTTGTAGACCTTTCACGAAAGGGCTGTCCTCTGTAGAACGAGCTAAAGACACTGTCTCTGCGGGCGAGGACGCTATGTAGTCGCTTGCTTCGGGCAGGAAAAGTGCCTAGGGAGCTAAGACGCTGAGTGGATGGGTGAGATCGCAGGATGCATGAAGACGGACCTTTGCGCCAGCTGCAACAGCTTTTCTGACCAACATCTGACATTGGGCGAGGTTGTTGGACATGCTCGCCGTCGAACATATCTGGCCCACTGCCTTGAATAAATATCAGAGCTGCATACTCTGTTTACAGATAGATCACCTTACCGCGATCGCCATAGTGTATGAGTACTTCCAGGACAAATAGATCCAGACCCAGAACCTCAGAAAATTGTTGCGATGCTGATAGATGTGGGAATTATTGAAAGGTAGACTCGTACTTTAGGTGCCCTAATTATAGGGATCGCCTCAGGGATGGCCCGGCAGCGGGTCGGCAAGAGCTGACGTTCGACGGAGAGGCTCCGACATCGTCTAAAGTACAGTCTACACTTCTGAAACGAGTGAGGAATAACCTTTGATCCAGACACTCTGGCACCTACAGTATTATCTGCTGACGGTAATCTTATCTAACAGCAAGAATCAATTATTCTTGATCAGCAACGTCCGAAAGTTGCGAGGAACATTTTTATCTGATGCGCTTACACTCCAGAAAAATGCACTCTTCGTACTCGGCAAAGCATGTCATAGTTTAGGTGCATGCGAGGGTCTCCGAAGTCCATCAGTGCACCCGCAGACCTCTGATACTGATACAGTATGTTCTTGAACTGCCAGGCTTTGGAGCAATCGAGAATTCGCGCTTGAGATGGCATCACAGCCTCCTACAGCGCAAAAATCGACTTCAAGATGGGGCTCCTTCCTAGCTGGAGTCGAGTCGAGGCTGGACACCATTTTGGCAGACGAAGAGACAAAAGCCCCACTGGCAAAAACTGATGGAGGTACACAAGAGCAACCAGGGAAGAAGGATGGCATGGCAGTTCCCCTGGCCGCAATGCCGACACCTTCAAGGACAGCGTCAGCCAATCGAGCTCAAGAGCGTCTCAATGAGAAATTGGCAAAGGCAATGGCCAACCGCAATCTTGCCAAAAAGGGTGATACTTCAGTGACACCCTCGGGTGTACCTTCACGGACAGCCAGTCCAGCAAACGTTGCGGCCAGTCCAAGGACAAGTTCCGATCATCAGAGGGAGTCTAAGCGCGAGCAAGATGGCAAAAATGAGCAAGGGCAAAGCGAGCAAGAGATGGCATCAGGTGATACAGTAACGGTCAATAGGACGAGCGAAGATCAGGAGCTTGAAGATCAGCGCTCTGAAGCAACTTCTACAGGGACCCCGCCTACAGCTCAGTCGCCCGTGGCTACGGTAGAGGACACCAAAGACGAGTCCGATATCCCACGCCCTTCAACCGACTCGCGTGGCTCCATTTCAGCGCGGCAGTCTCTGGAGTTGACAAGGGCTACGACACCCAATGCAAATGACTCTCCTAAGTTGAATGGCATCCTTATCGACTCAAGCCTGAAAATGCCAGCAGAATACGAAAAAATAATTGAGCAGATGCGATCGGATTATGAAGCAGCGGAGCTACGGCGCCAAGAGGAGACGCATATATACCTAGAGCGGATAGATGCTCTACAATCTAAGCTACAGTATTTAACTAAAGAGGCTGCCGAAGTCGCCAAGAATGCTTCAGCGGAGGCTCAATCGGGTAGCATTGAGCACAAGATGGCTGCAAAGGACGAGAAAATCGCATTGTTAATTGAAGAGGGTCAAAAGCTCTCTCAGACCGAGCTAAAACATATAAGTATCATCAAAAAGCTGCGAGTGAAGTCGACCGAAGACGACAAGGTCGTAGCTGACTTCAAGCGGACGAACGAAAAATATGAGAAGTCGGCTCGGGAGGCTCAGGAGAGAGCGAAGCGGGCTGAGAGCTCCGAAAAGCGGGCACTGGAAAGGCTTAAGTCCCTCGGACGAATTGAGAAAGATCTGGAAAATGTCAGGGCAGACCGAGATGCCAAAGACTCGCTCATGCAGGATCTTCAGATCGAGCTCTCGCAGGCAACCTCCGCCGCCAAAGAAGCGGAAGTCAAAGCCAACGCTGAAGCGCTAGCGGCAGAAAAGAGACATGCGGCAGACCTGACAGATGAGCTTTCAAGCATCAAAGCCGAAAAAGAGCTAGCTGAGAAACAACACCAACATAAGCTGCGGGAGCTCAAGGAGAAAGCCGAACGAGAAAAGGAGCGGGCCGGGGTCGCCGAGATAGAACGACAAGGCGAGCAGAATATTTTAGAGAGCAGACTAGAAGCCTACCGCGCCCGAGCTGAAGAGGCTTCAGCCGGCCAAACAGGGGATGTGCAGGCCAAGCTTCTTCGCCAGTTTGAGACCTTGCAAAACCAGTATGCCATTGCTAGTGAAAATTGGCAGGGTATCGAGGGATCGCTGTTGTCTCGGGCTACTATCTTGGAGAAGGAGAGGGACGACATTGCCAAACGGGAAGCCGATATACGACGAAAGGCTCGGGAAACAGTATGGTCTTCTTTTGTGACCCATTCTATGGACCGATCGCTAACGTACAGCAGAGCATGAAGTCTAGACGAATCGAAGAGGAGCTCGAAAGGGTCAATGCTAAAACAGAGGATATGGACCACGAGCTTTCTTCCCGCAGCATCCAACTCGCTACTCTCAACGAGCGATTGGCCAAATCTGAGGCTGAAGTCACAGCAACAAGAGAGGACCTCAAAGCCGAACGTGAAGCATGGGAAGCACGCCAAGCGCAACGAATCGAAGAAGAAAAGGCTCGAATGAAAGAAGAAAATGTGCGGTCCAACACTCCAGACACACTTTACCAGCAGTTCCGAACCGAGTCCCCAACTATCCACAATCGCACACGCAAATCGTCCAACGCGGACCGCAGCCCACACGCCCGCCGTATCCAAGGTCTCGCAATCACTGGGGCTACCAGCCACCCATCCAGTGAACGGCCGCTCAGCAGACGCTCATCCTCGCAGCCTCTGCACAATCTGCAAACTTCAAATCTCGAGCACCACCGGCCTGTATCTCGTCATGACTCTTTGAGCACTGTGCCCCAGCTATCTGTCAATAACGGTGTGCCTGGAACGCCCTCTGGATATGACAACGATGACTTCTTCGATGTTCAAACCCCCGCCACCCCTGAACGAACCATCAATGACGCAATCTCTGCATCCACCGCCGGTGCCGGCCCCTCTGTCCAATTAGTCGAGCGCATGTCCGCTGCGGTTCGGCGTCTTGAAAGCGAGAAAGCTAGTCACAAAGATGAGCTCAGTCGCTTGTCTGGTCAAAGAGATGAAGCAAGGGATCAGATTGTTGGGCTCATGAAGGAGGTGGACGAGAAGAGAGGGTGGGAGAGCAGAGTCAAAGAATTAGAGAATGAGATGAAGGGGGTGGAGGAGAGGTATCTTACCACGCTTGAGATGCTTGGGGAGAAGAGCGAGCGGGTGGAGGAGCTGAAGGCTGATGTGCAGGATTTGAAAGGCATGTATCGGGAATTGATTGAAAACACTATGCAGTGATATGCTCTGGGAAGCGGGTCGCTGTACTCAGGAGTACAATATCCTGAGGCGTTCGGGTGGGTTGTTCTAGCGGATACCCCATTCAGGGTACGGATAACTACTGCGGTTCTTCAATGTCCACGCCTTCTCTCTCCGCACTTTGCAATACGAACTGCCGTATCTAGTATAAGTACTTAGTCATGTTGAGATGCAAGTGTCGGATCTTATGTTTCACCTTCTTGTCTGGTGCCAAATCGATCGCCAGATTCCCGTCTACATCTCTCTTGTCCGTCTCAGCGCCGGATTTTAGCAATACCAGCGCAGTGTCTCCATGCCCTTCCGAGATCGCTTTTGAGTCATCAGCCTCCAATTCATCATCCGCTGACCCAAAAAGAGTGCAGCGAACTTACCATGATGCAAAGCAGTAAGGCCCGAGATATCAGTAGCGTTCAAGGGACTCTTATTTTCGAGCATCAGGTTCACCATAGGCACCGAACCAATAGCAGCAGCTCGGTGAAGAGGCAATTGCCCTCTCTTGTCTTTCACGCGAGCTGTGGCTCCGTGGGATATGAGTCTCCGCGCTATTTCGAGGTTGTTTTTTGAGGCTGTAAAATGTAATGCTGTCTGAAAAAGGCTGGATCAGCTTTCGGTCTAGGTGATGCAATGAGATAGGTCTAGGGAAGAAATTGACCTGTCCGCTGTAGTCTGAATATGTAGAAACATAGAGTCAGCATGGGAATACTGCAACCATCATTCTCTGAACCTTTTGCTTAATTAGAGACATATTGAAAGCCTACTCTTCGCGTTCACGTCAGCTTCCTTGCTCAGCAGCATATCGACCAAGGATTCCCCTTCTCGCAAACTCGCAGCGATCATCAACGGCGTCCAGCCTGAAGCATCCTGCCACGCATGTCAGCAGTAAAAATGGCAGACCACTCTCTCACGAGTAAGAGAGTACTTGAACATCGGGATCAAAGTCTTGTCTCGACACTAGCAGCTCAACTACAGGCATGTGATTGTAGGAAACGGCCCAATGTATAGGGAGCCGTTCGTCATCATCTCGCCTTGTTGCAAGCCGAGGATTGGCCTGGAGCGGTTAGCTTCGAGGATTAGTATTGGAGAGTGATATTTTACGTTGATGAGAGACTCTACAGCTGCAGCTATGGTCTTGTAAGCCGGGGTCCGATGTCAGAGCAGAAAACTATGGCATACTTCTACCCTCGCGAGCGGCCTCATGAATCGCAAATTTCGAGTGTTGTTCCGGATCCATAGTAAGAAGTGAGTGTGGTAAATCCTAGCGAAAATACAGATTAAGAGTCCAGATTGAAGGGGGTTCTTTGTGGTTGCATGTTGAAAGGATCAACCCTAGCTCGCTTAGCTTGCTGCTTGGTGATACATTGACCAAAGAAGCTTAGCGCTGTATAATCTCAATAACGGTTTGTATTTTGACTAGGGTTATTCTTCTCTCCACAGTTCAACAACATCCGCACAAGACGCCATCCCATTGCAATCTACAAAATGACTGCCGTCTCCGCGCCCGTAGACTCACTTGCAAAGAGTTCCGCTAAGAGAACAAGAGAGCTCTTTGGATCTGATTACACCACACCAGCGCCATATTTTGCCGAACGGCCCCAGGAGAATCCTTTCCAACTCGCAGAACGAGCTGGCCTAGCTTCACGGATACGAAGCGAATATGAAGATGTTCGAGAGCTTCCTCCAGCTCTTGCGACGAAACAGAAGACTGCTGCTGCGGGAGCACGGCGCAAAAAAGTCAAGCAAGAAGGATCTGATTCCCAAACGGCCAAGATGATTGAGGGAATGCCTCTCAAATCCGAAGCGAACGGAGGGTCATCTACAGCTTTGACATTGCGTGCTCCTGGGTCTGGGGCTACTCCGAATATCAATGGAACTACCACGGGGCGCTCTTCATCGAGCTTGATACGGAGGGAGAACATACAGCAACCGAAGCCCGACTGGCATGCGCCATGGGAACTTATGCGCGTCATATCAGGTCATCTGGGCTGGGTACGGGCTCTGGCTGTCGAGCCGAACAATCAGTGGTTCGCGAGTGGAGCTGGGGATCGAACGATCAAGATCTGGGACCTGGCGTCTGGGTCGCTGAGGTTGACACTCACGGGGCATATATCGACTGTACGAGGACTGGCAGTTTCACCTAGACATCCGTACCTGTTTTCATGTGGGGAGGACAAGATGGTCAAATGCTGGGATCTAGAGACGAATAAGGTCATACGGCATTACCACGGGCACCTGAGCGGCGTCTACACCTTAGCACTACATCCTACCCTGGACGTGCTAGTCACAGGAGGTCGAGATGGTGTTGCAAGAGTCTGGGATATGAGGACAAGAAGCAACGTCCACGTACTCAGCGGCCATAGGCAGACAGTCTCGGATCTCAAATGCGAAGCAGCTGAGCCTCAAGTCATCACTTCATCGCTCGACACGACTGTTCGACTCTGGGACTTGACAGCTGGAAAGACTATGGGCGTTTTGACCCACCACAAAAAAGGCGTCCGAGCTCTTGCTCTCCACCCCACAGAATGGACCTTCGCTAGTGGCAGCGCGGGCAGCATCAAGCAGTGGAAATGCCCCGAAGGCGCGTTCATGCAGAATTTCGACGGACAGAACGCTATCATCAACACTTTGAGCGTGAACGAAGACAATGTGCTCTTCTCTGGCGGTGACAATGGATCAATCTCGTTCTGGGACTGGAAGACGGGCCATCGCTATCAGTCGTTGGATACTACCGCGCAGCCGGGATCCTTGGATGCGGAGTCTGGCATCTTCGCTTCGACGTTTGACAAGACGGGTTTGCGGCTGATATGCGGAGAGGCAGATAAGACGATCAAGGTCTGGAGGCAGAATGCTGATGCGACACCTGAGACGCACCCGCTTGAGTGGAAGCCGACCCTTGGCCGTCAAAAGTTCTAGAACTGTGATCCAATTGGCTTGAAGCATTTGATTAAACAACTGCTTCTAGATATCATCATATCATAGCGCAGGTGTTCAGGATTCAGGGGGTATCATCGAAAAAACGCTTCAGGGCGTCAAAAGCATTATACCAAACCCAGTTCTATCCAAACCCCAATCCTCTCACCTCCACATCGTCTTTCAACGCAAGCTTGACCTCCTCATCGCCTACTCCCAGCCTGACCTTCCCAACCCTGTCACCGCTTCTTCCACCCTCCATCCCAATCACGCCCGCATCTGCCAACTCCGCTGCGGCGAAACCCATGCCTAACACTCTGGGCACGGCGCCTGCTTTTGCCCCTTTCTTGAGCCCTAGACTCAAGCCATCCTCTTGGCTTGCGCTCGCAGCACTATCCGTCAACAGAAATTCATGAACATTCGGGAAGTCCGCTGCCATCACTCCTAGCCTTTTCGCCTCCTCTACAACATCGCCTAGTATACATTCACTGACTCCGCTTCTTCTTGTGCGTGCTGAAAGGGCTGCAAGAAACAATTTCGCGGCTAGTGGTAAGGCTTTCAGATACTGTTGTAGAGGACTGGATGTCGCCTCATTGATCGCTTGCTTGACTGTTGCAATGGTGACTTTGCCCCCCTTAGACTTCTCATGTGCAAAAGTAGTATTATTCTTCTCCTTTCTCCTTGCCAACTTGCTGGGTGTAGCCAGCAGGGGGTCCTCAGCAGCAATGTTCTCAGCTTCAGCGATTTCAACAGCTCGCCGACAGATATCTAGAGCACGCCTTGCGTCGCCGCTCACCGCTGCAACTTTTCGACTGGCGAATTGGATGGCGTCTGGGTCGACGATATTGTCTGGGACGTGGGAGAGGCGGGAGCGGATGATCTCTTGCAATTGTTCATGTGTATACCCTGGGAAGAGTATTCGAGTCAAGCCAAGCCGACTGCTGATCTTGTTGCTCAGTGTCCGCTCTGGCAAGTCCATGGTATTGGCCACGGCCAGCACGATCAGTCGACTGTGACGCAGGCCAGGCCAATTGAAGAAGTTGTACATGACGCTCTGATTCTTCGTTACAAGCTGGTCCAGCTCATCCATCAGTACCACACACGGCACTCTCCTCGGACTCGGATGGTCAAACTCTCGTTCCAGCAATCCCAGAGCATGCGATGCGCTCACCCGTTCCCCCTTCAAGGCCTCCCATAATAGCGAGTAGCTCTGATGTGGATCCGTGACTTTCATACCATTAATCTCGACAAAGATGAAATCATCCAGCTCCTCCGCCTGCACACTGGCATTCAACTGACTGACGACTTCGCGTACTGTAGCCGTCTTGCCTGTGCCAGGCGTGCCAGAAATGTATATACAAGCGCCAGAGCCCGCGGAGATGGCTGCTTCGAGGTGGGTGTAAACGGTGTCGAACTCAGCGGTCCGGCAGGGGAGCGTAAGAGGGACGGATGAGACATGGAGATTTGTGCGGGCGAGCTGAAAGGGAGAAGATGTGTGGTGCGGGGACAGGATGCGGGTGGACAAAGGTGTAAATGTCAAGGCTTTCTTGATCACTATGCGCTTGTGCGTTGGGGTGATGAACTTTTGAGGAGTACGCTTTGCTTTCGAGGTTGGAGTTGAGGCTTGACTGAACTTGCGCTTCTTACTCGGAGTTTTGGGCTCGTCTGGCTCGTTGCTGGGATCCCAATCATCCGCAGGGTCTTCGTTAGCAACATCGCCCCTTTTCCTCTTCCTTGTTGCCTTGGTCTGGTTTTGAACCCGCTCGATCAATGGCAGTATATCGTCGGCAGAACTGTATATATGTTCCCAATCGAATTCATCGGTGTAGGTAGCTGTCCGAGTATTGCAGCCTCTCCGGCAGATGAAGATCTTGCCATAATCTTTTGACGATCGTGGAACCCTCCCAGACGGATACTTGGATTTGAACTTCTCGGCTGAGACGATGGAAGCTCTACCGTTGATTGAGGTCAAAGGGTTTATGTCCCACGAAGGAGTAATGTAGACTTCGTACTGCCACACACTTAGCCTCGAATACAGCTTGAAGAAATTCCGAACGTACTGGCAGCGCATCTGTCCTCTTCTTTTCCTTGTTCCTAATCTCCCTCTCGGTAGAAAACCACATGAAATCCGCCGCCTTCTCGCCATCATCGTCCTCCTCAAACGTGCAGATCATGCCAATCCATGCTTCGTTCGTGCCCTCTGCCTTTAGCAAGACGCAGTCGCCGACCATGCACTGGAAGTCTCCCATGCGGGCTCCCACAACGTCTCGCTTATCGCCGGCTCTCTTTGCTGGCTCCTTCGAGTAGATCCATTCCCATGGAAGGTCCTCGAGTCCCAACTCATCGTCCGAGTCTTCTCGCGCGACGCCGCCAACGGAAAGGTATTGTCTTGCGCGCTCGGCTTTTGACTTGGTGGTGCTGGTGGGAGAGGACGTTCTGTGAGGCATGTTTGCGTATCCGTACGTCTTCTCAGAAGATCAAGAGTCTCTATTCCAGTATTGCAGCGAAGCGATACATGTGTTCGACCACTAAGGGCTTGGGGTAACGCGCCGACGCGGCACGCTAATGCAAGCACTTTTCATTTTCGTGATTCTGCCAAGACCCGAGACCACACACTGTTCCGGGCGGAGAACCATATTCAACGTGGAGTCGAGAACCTTTCAACTCCTCAAATCTTCACTTTTTTGACAGCTTGCCCGGCCAGCGCAACGGCACGAGAGTCTATAGGAGGGAAAAAAGAATCTCTACAATGCTATGACTAGGGGACAATGGCTATTAGCCGTATGGGCTGCACGGTCCCGTCCTGCACTTGCCTTGAGAGCCAAAGGGCGTTCAGCTTTTGCCACCAAGCCGGATGATATCAAGCCCGAAGCCTCCCAAAAGACCCGCTCTCGCATCGTCCGCATCACTTCCCGCTTGCCTAAGTTTTTGCAGGGCTACACTACGCCATTGATCAATGCACCCCTGACTCACATATCTGCATTTCTGCTCCTCCATGAATTGACTGCCGTCATCCCGCTCTTTGGACTGGCCGCAACGTTTCACTACACAAGATGGATGCCTCCATTCGTCGGCGAAGGGAAGTGGGTCAGTGATGGGGTCGAGAAATTTGGGAACTATTTCAGGAAGAAGGGGTGGCTGGGTGAAGAGGGCAAGGCTAGGAGGTATAGGTGGTGGGGACGGGGCGAAGGAGGGACCAGGATTGTTGTTGAGTATGTCGGCCTTACCATTGCAAATTACATTGTACGAACCGGTCTGGGGTTTCTATAGCTGACCAAATTAAAGGTTCGCCACAGCATATGCAATTACAAAGGCGTTGTTGCCACTCAGATTGATCCTTAGTGTCTGGGCAACACCCTGGTTTGCCAGGGCTGCCATTGTGCCGTCCACCAATTTGATTAGGAGAATATTCACAAGGAGGAAAAAGAAGTAGCAATGCTGATGGTAGCTTGGATAGCATCACATGGCGATAAAAAGATGTCTGCCCTTTCGCAAATTGTACAAGTCCTTAGGAGGTTTGTTCTCCGGGATTGCCGTGTAGCTGGGTAGTTGCAACCGGAGTTCATCTACTCATCGAACCTGCTGCAATGTTCTGCTGCTGTGAGGTCCCCGCTCGGTAATCACGACACACTTTTATGCGATATATACATGGCAGCTTCATGACTGTTGCACCATTATGATCAGAGATATTAGCCTTCTGCGCTGCCAAATCGTGAAAGAGCTCGCGGATTGCATCCACCAGTACCATAATGGAATCTATGGCCATCTCGGGATGTTACGATGCCGGCTACTAATAACCCCAGTCACATTCATCTGGCTAGGATTCAATTTCTTACAACGTACTTGATTTTTTTACGGGACAGACGAATGCAAGTATCCGCTCAAATTGCTAGCAGTACACGTCACACTCTCAGAATTGCCAGCCAATTGATCTGAGACTCTGTGGAAAGCGGTTTGCCCAGCATTCACCCTCAGCATTCACCCTCAGCATCTGAAATCACCGTCGACGTTCATTCCCTTGGTGGCTACAACATCCGCTTTCACCACTACATTTTACACAAATAACCCGGCAACTTTACTTCTCTGCCACCACCATCCGTACATTTCCCACGCAACCTTTCCAGACCTGCTCACACTCCTAGGCTTTGGGTTCGAGGTTCCAATGAGAGCAATTAATGCATAAGTGAGAGCGGAGTTCGCATCATTATCCGCAGCAACTATAAGGCTTCACTGGTCGAGCTGGCCTGTGCTCGAAAAGTTTCCCGTTCTAATCTGTGATCGCTGTTTGTTACCCTCATCAATATCATTCAAGCTTAAATCTTGAACGGAGAAGTGAAAGCTCACTTTACTTTACGCCAAAACCTGCAGTGACATCCGCGCTTCACTGTACGAGTCGGTTTGTTTTCCAAACTCATTTCTTCAGTGCTGTGACGCTAACTTGTCAGTCTCAATCTTTGTCACCCAAGCTGAGATCTGAGCGAGCAAGCAAGCGCCAACTTCACTCCAACATCTGCAGTAACATTGGCGCTTCCTATTGGAGCTGATACGATCTCGGAAGCCACTCATCCAAAAGCGTGACACCTACCTGGCCGCTTCGAAGCGTACCTTTTAACATCAATCATCTCAATACAAGCCTAACATTTCCGATTGTTTGTCTGGTCCAAGCAACTCCAGAAGTGTATCTTCTATTACCTGAACTCAAGTACCTCCAAGCAAAGGATTGCCAAGAGGCCTTTTGCAGAGACTTCGTCGGGTTTGACCACATCACTATACTGTTGGATTTCATCATCTTGGGATCTCGTTCTCCGGTTTACATCAACACTGAGCAACTTCACACAATATGTCACCAACCGAACCCTCCGACGAGCCCTGGCATGTGGTGGATCGTCGCACGCGGAAGAATCAGGCTCTGTTACAAGCAGGGCCCAGTGGCAGAGCTTCGCCAAAAACTCAGCTTCCATCACAGACAGCTTCAAACGGCCAAGGTCTATCGAGATACCAGCCTGCATCCCAGATAGTTCCCAAGGATAGTGATTCACAGAACCCTCAATTTCCCACACGGCCAGCCCCTACCTTTCCGAGCTTATCAAATTCTCAGTTTGTGCTGTCGTCAGCTCCCAATGGCCGTGTCCCGTCCAAAATCCAGGCTCACTCAAAATCAGCTCCGAAGCAGAAGGAAGACATCCCGTATGAGATCAAGAATGCGAGGGAGTGGGACCCGAAGAGACGACTGCAAGCTGACTCCTCATCTGAGAGCTCTGACGATGACGATTACTACGATTCAGATTATGATGAAAGCCAGCAAGTTTTCGGAGATGGCTCCCGGACCATGGCAGACGATGTGTTTCAGCCTGTGACCAACAAAGGCTCCCAATCCAATGCACGTTCTCATGGGCGACCGCCAGCTCAACTCAAACCCTACCCTCACCGCAAGCCCTCAGGTCAGCGTCGAGCACATCGGCGGGTCAATTTCAACTACAACAAAGATAACCTAGCTAGGGCCGCCTTCCGGAAGAGACTAGACCCTACAGGAACATTCATGCTACCCAAAGACTGCTCTGAAATTGAGCCGAATCAAAAGAGAATGTACGATATGTTCGACGAGATCGGGGTTCGTCTGCGATCGTTCATCCGCCCACCTCAGCACGCCAAGGATCGTGAGCTTCTTCTGTGGGGAGACGCTCGTCAAATTCAGGCCACCAAAGCCGAGCTTCAAGGGCTTGTCAATCGTTTCATTGGCTTTCCGCAAAAGTCAGCCAAGGAAAAATTCGCCAGGGAGACATCAAGTATAGGTGATCAGTATCACCGATCGAATAAGAAGATGCAGAAGGAGACAAAGATTCTAGAGTTCCAACAAGTGCCAGCAGAAGACCGGATCTTCCCATATACAGGTACTTTTCTATGGCCAATCGACGAGGTACGGCCGGAAGATATTCTAGGTTCGAGCTTGGAGGCATTCGATCCCATTCGCTTCCAATACCAATGCCACATCGTCTTCGATAACAAACTTTCATCCTTCAGGATCTTCAGCGACAAAGAAGAGTCTGTGAAAAGGACTATGGATCGTATTGAAGGGACGAAGAGAGAGTACGTTGCAAAGATCGCCCAACCTGATATAATAGTTCTGGTAGAGCCACCAAATCCATCAGCGATCAGGAAAGATGTCAAGGTACTTCCTGCCTCCCTCAGCGATCCGAAGATAGCCATGAGCATGATTCCTGTGTTGACGGGGAGTACACTGGACCGGGAGGCTCGCAAAGAATGGCTTAATGAGAGTAATGAATTGACGATGAAGAACAATCGCCGCATGGAGCTATCACTACGGAAATGCATTGGATATCTACCTCACTACCGTGGTCTGGTCCGAATGCGCATTCAATTTGGGACATTCGCATTGAAAGTATTCCGTTGGAAGGAAGGGGCAGATTCCATTCCCTTTGAAGATTTCATGAATAATACGACTATGTCAGAGACGAAGGGCGTAATGATTAGAGAGTAAGCCAACCTCTGAATATATTCCAGTGCTTTACTTATCTTGATATCTAGTCTACAAATTAAGAAAGACGCAACGACGATCATAGCCCAAGTCCAAAAGGCCACCGATCTTTTCCTACCGATGGACAGCTCCAGCACTTCTCTTGAAGAGGTTGTGCCGTCCTTCAGCGCTTGCTTCGAATTCAGGAACCCGAATAGCCCATCAATGAACTTCACGCTCGAAATGAGCAGTACTTCCGCGGCTCCAACCATCTACGAAAAAGTCCAAGAGCTGTGGATAAGGACGGATCGTCGAGGCATTGCGGTTCCTTTGGAAGCATTCATGGTTAGACTTGATAGGTATGTTATCCAGATTTCGCCCCCAAACGCCTTACTGACAGGTTGACAGTGGGGTTTCTTGGAAGCTTAACGTCTCTTCCGAAAACAGTATCGACTCCAGTCGAATCAATCCTCAAATGATAGAATTCGCGGAGAGTGTCAAGCTATCGAAGATTCCAAAGGCCAGGACTGAGCTCACTGGCCAAAAAGTGTTCACATGGAAGAAAGATCTCTCAGGCATTATGCAGCCCTCGACATTCCAGCAAAAGACAGCTATGAGATATCGACTAGCCCATCAACCTGAGTGGGAGTTCGAGCTTGCCCGGTACGACAACTATGGTGATCCAAAGAACGAAAACGTCCCGGCGGAGACGAATTGGGGCGCTTCACTATATAACACAAACTGGGACTCCATTCTCAGGCTCAATTCCACCTTAAGCATTGGTGAAGCAGCTAGATGGGACCCAAACCTCGAGACTTTCTTTCCGTCGAGACCTGGCACTGTCGATATGGAAGGAGTGGGAGGAGCGGATCCTCGGGTGATAGATTTCTTAAAGAATGTGGAAGTCGTCACCAAATTCATTGACTGCATCAAGAAAGAGCTGCCCCATCTCAGAGGGTAGGTCGGCGGCTGGTAAATAGACATGACGATTCACATCAAATCCCGGAGGAGATGGTAAGTCCGGATTTGGCTCAGGCGTTGGCTTTAGATTAGCACATCAAATATCACTTGACATGCAGCATCTTCACGTGCCACCGTCGTCTCCACTATTGCTGCTTTCGCTAACTACTTTCTGTCGTAAAACTACAAGTACACCCAGTCAGCCACTTTGCAACCATTTCCTCCTCCCTTCAACCAAAAATATGAAAGCAACGAGCGTGCACTCACCATCTTCGACAACACTCAAATTCCCCTGCTTCCCCTGCACGATCCTCTCAAGATCCTGCAGGTTCCTCCCCAGCTCCTCGACTTTCCGTGAATAGAACTCGCGCGCAGCTGGTGGTGTCTGGATGTAATTGAGATCAGTTCGGATACTCCTCCCAACACCTGTGTGGTCGGTCGACAGACCTTCTCAACGTAGAAGCCCGTTCCGATATCCACTAGGACCGCATCTGTAGATGCCAGTTTGCCGGGGACGTAGAGTGAGGGTGTCAGAGGGACGAGGATGGGTGTGCCTGTGGTGGACCGGCTCTCATCAGCATTCGTGCCTCCCATCCCTCTGCGCTCTTTCTTTCCTTCCTCCCCACCATCCTCATCTCGGACCTCCCCATCTCCCTGCCCTCCTCTCCATCAATCTGTACCAATTACCTACTCCCGACGATCCCGCCCGATCCCCTTTCCCCTTCCCCTTCCCCCTCCCCGTCCCTCACAACAACAAAAAAGAAACCCAACCTACCCTCATCTCTCCCCAACCCATCCCGAACACTGACGCCACAGTCCCTGAACTTCCCCTGCGCGGCCTTGAGCCGACTGAATGATGTTGTCATATGCTGCAGTTCTTGCGTGAGCTGGTTTTTCACGTTGTTGAGTTGGGCCGTGGGGAGGGAGGAGAGGTCGACTGTTTGTTGTTATCAGCTGGGAAACGTGTGGGATGTGGTGGAGGGGTCTATTTGGAGGAACGTGTTGGAGAGTGCGGTGGGGGCGTACTGGTTTGAGGTTGGGATTGAGTGGTTGATGCCATGTTGTTGCTGAAGGGAGGTGGGGGGGAGGGGGGTGCTGAAGGAGTTTGGAAATGGGGGTTCTTTGGCGGAGCGGAGGGACCTCGGCTGGGTGCCATTTTGGCCAAATTTGGTGTTGGTTTTTGTGGGCCGTTGATATCATCATAACTTCGTACGTTGTCGAACCATCATCTACTCAATGCATTTGCTTACATCCATCGAATGGAACGTTCTCATCATGTGCATTGACTTAAAATCTTCTGAATTTTTTTACAATTTGGGTATCAAGTCTCGCAGCGTTGCATCTATCAAAGTTTCTGACTGTCTTCCGCCGTCTTAATTGTAGAATTTATCAAGGAGGACAAAGAATTTGTTCCTAAGTCTCTGTCAGTATCGATTCACTTCACCCCAAATTCTGTCTGCTGACTTTGAAGGCGTCGGCACATAATCTCTAGTGTATTCTTCTATCACATCAACGTCCTTCAATAGGTCAACAGCATTGGGCTCTAGCCATCGCGTCTTCTTATAAAATTTCCAGAAAATGAAGAGGACCGGGAAGACACCAATCATTGTATACGAAAAGAGGAATGTTGGAATGCTCCACTGTCCGGGCAGAAATACGGTATAGCCTCCAACAAAGGTCATGACGAAACAACCGGAGAGCGCGTACCATGCGAGGTAAGGCTGGAACCGGCCTTTATAGGGCAGAGAATCTCTTGATAGGCCTTGAGCATCGCAAGCCTTCTTGAAGCGGATAAAGGTGAAGGACATAACCGAGAAATTGATCAGTTGAGATGCGGTGACCTGATATATCTCAGCCTGGAGCAATACTTAGGCATAACCCATACAACATACCAAATTGACGAACCATTGCAGCACCACTGCCGCTCCAGACTGGTGATTGTGGAGTCAGCATTACTCTTTCGGGAGGTTTTTTGAATCGCGAGACATGTCTTAGGAGCACAGAACTCTCTGGACATGCTTGACGACTCATAAGACTGCATGAATGGGGAAGAGTTGCCTCGGAAATTATAACGTACGCTGACCTGCAGGAAGCTCAGCAAGCTCAGCGCCAGCACCAATAACACACAATATACCGGAACGCCACTCCTCGTACACCTAGTGAATATCTTTGGCGCCTTGCCTTCCAGTGCCAATCCAAGGAGACTTCGACTCGCACAGTACACATAGCTGTTGCCTGCACTGAACGCTGCCGACAGAACGAGCGCATTGACAATATCTGGCAGCACTTTGATACCAAGGCGATTCATAGCGACCACGTACGGACTTGCTGCTGCTCCAGGTTCCGAACTTGTAAATGCATCTACAAGCTCTGGATCATTGTACGGTACATTGATTCCTACAGCCAGGCTACCGAGCACAAAAAAGGCCATCAATCGTGCAAAGACCTTGTTGTACGCCCTCGGCATCACTACCCGTGGATTTTCGGCCTCGCCTGCCGCCATGGAGACATAATCGGGACCGGCGACAGTGAAACTTGCTTGGATGAGGCATTGCAGAAATCCAAGAAAGCGGCCAAGTGAGCCTGTCTTATAAAGCTCGGCGAACGATCCAGGATTCTTCCAGTAGCGAAAGCCGAAACGGTCGTGGTTTGGATTGCCACCAAGCATGGTGATGAAGGTGTAGGCAATGAGGCCGACAATGAGTGTTACTTTGCCTAGGGCAAGCCAGAACTCAGATTCGCCGTACCATTTCACCGCAAAAACATTGATAAATCTTATCTCGAGCTATTAGCGATTCGATTTCCCTATGTCGAAAGGAGCATGTACCCATATAGGACGATGATGATGGCAATGATCCCGCCTGTTGGGACGGCGTCACTCCAATAATGGATGATGAGATTACAAGCGACGACTTCAAACGGGACGAGCATGGCTTCGAAGACGAAGAAATTGTATCCTGCAGCGACACCGAAGGCTTCGTCGACGTATCGGCCAGCAAAGCGGATGAAGGGGGAGGATATGGGAAGGTAAGTGACCATTTCAGCCATAGCTAAACAGTCATTTTGTCAGCATTTCATGTGATATTGAGGAACACGCTGCTTTTGCGAATTCCAATATTGGGCTGTATCTTCAGGTCTCGCCGGTCATAGGGCCATGTTTTACGGATTCGAGTTCACAGACGTCCTTTCTGATTTCTTCCGATAGTCAAGCTACCGAAGAATCGGTGGGAGCGATCTCATCGTCTAAGTCCAACGGGCACCCTCACACTCACGACGAACAGAAGAGAAAGTGGGTTTCGTACAAATCGTGACACATAATATGAATGTACACCTAGATCACAGGTTGATAAGATACGGAGTCTTCCTGTTTTAAAGACAGGGGTCCAAGAAGGTACGCTCCCTCTTCCATCCAACGTCTGTGAAGTGTGTCCTCTGGGATGTTCCTAACAATCTTTTTCGAGTCGACAGGGATGGAGGACTTACCAGAAGGCGAATGCGATGAAGAGTGACCCTGGACCACCCTGAACGAGACCGTGACCTGTTCTCGCAGTCGGCAACCTTCGGATTGCATTGGTGTGAGCTCGACGCACCTATCTGCACATAGAGCGCTGTTCCAATTGTCCTGTGCAAAAGGAGCAATCCTCAGCATCCGTCTTCCACGAAAGTAGCGTTTTCTTCTTCACATACCCTCCAATTCCAATCAGCTGTATATGCCTTGGCTTCAGCTTGCGGTGCGTGCTATCGAATAAGGGCTTGTTGGAGTCATGCGAGCTGGGCGAAGATGTTCTGACTTCCTCGTCGACACCGTGCGCGACGGGTGGTGCGTCCATACCATGTGTCTCGTCCTTCTCGTTGTTATGGATCGAAGGCACGTCGGCCATGGTGGGGCGATCGAGGCCAATCGAGGCCATGGCGGGGTCGAGGTCAGTCAGACGGACGCTGAGGCCCAGGAGGGAGAGGAGTGACTAGTTAAAGAATGTAGGAGAGTTGAATAAGGTAGGTGTGCGAAGAACGGCCATGTCGTTCATACTCGTAAGGTCGGTGCAAAGAAACGGTCAGTTGACCAGGACAGTTTGGGGGACAGGGTCCAGGGGTCCAGGGGTCCAGGATGTTTTCGTACCACTGGCCATTCGCACCATCGGAAATCAAGGGCTTACAGACTCAGGAAAGGAAAACAGTTGTCCTGCCATTAAGGTTTCTTGGTTTGATGATTTATTACATTCATTGCTAGGTGGCTGCCATCTAATTATGGCGGCAAGTTCAGAATTGAAAATGCATGGGATGGATCTCTCGGGATGTATCTTGCTAGATTACCTTAGGAATCTGTACCTAAGTATCACTTCAAGCTACCGTTGGGCGGCAGCGGAATGCGAATGAAGACAGGATGCGCTTCACGCGGCTCATAACGACTTGACGGCATCGTGTTGGTTAGCATGCGATAGGCACAATGTGTTTCAAGTCTTTGGGATCTGTGTTATTGCCTCCCCACATTCATCCCCCACTTCTTTCCACGTTACTTTGGCATATCCCAAATTCTGATTCATACATCAATGTTAGACTCTTGAGCGTTCGAGCTTGCTATGCACTTTGCCTATCCTCACAGTCTTCCTGAGAACGTCTCGCTCCTTCATGCAACATGATCTTCATGGCTGCGATACTCACAGCAGGGGCGATAATTGCACCTATCAATTCTCTGCATACGCCGTCAAGTAACATTCTCCGGTTCCGTTGTCCAGAAGACCACGCTGACAATAGCCAGTGGTTGGTCTAAACCAATCACTCAATGCAGGCCCCGGCGAAGTGGCCAACCTGACCAACATCAATCACTTCATTGTGGAGAACTGCGGTGACAGAACTTTCGATATCTACGAAACAGTCGCCCAAACCAAAATGCTGGCAAGATCCGCCCTTGCCGATGCTCTGCTAGAGGGAACGGACAGCGATTTTGGATATCAGGCTATGTTCAAGGAGGACGAGGCTCAGAAGGCTGTCGTGTCAATTTTAGATCACATCTATAATTCCAGAGGCAAGGCAAATCTGAGACCTCGTCCAGATACATTCTCTTCCCCTCGTCTCTCCTGCGTGACCGAGGATTCTGCAAAACTCTACGGTTATCTGAACTTGGGCTACGATCCTTGGCATAGGTGTCTTGCGGGCGGCCCTCGCTCCACGCCCATCCAAGCGTTCTACGCCGACGGTACAATCTACACGTTCCTGTGCCCAGCGGTTTTCGTTCAACCGCCTATGTCAACAAGGAATCATTGTCCTTCTGTCACGGGCAACAGATTTTTCGGGGACTCGGGAATATTTTATGGGAATTATCAGACGTATATTATGCTATACCAGCTCATTCGCTTCTACCTCGGCGACAACGCATTGACAAATAATACTGATCCCAAAGAGCAGCTAGACTGGAACGACTGTGTACATTTGAACACGTTGAACTCCGTGCTCAATCCAACAAATCTTCAAATTTATATCGCATGTAAGTAAAGTCCCATTCAAGGTTTTCACACAAAATCTATCATCGACTAATTCGGTATGTGTAGTGGTATCACAGCAGTGCACCAGCTGGCCCAATCCTTTCGCGCCACCGTTCTATCCTTTGGACCTGCTGTCTTTGACTTTGAGCCTAATCCGCTCTCCACTCTCGTCCATACCACGTAATACACTCTTACAGCCAATCTCGACACAGACATAATGCTCTGCCAGTATTCGAAATCTGCCAAATTCATCAATTGCCATGCTGCTCCTGCCCAATAACCTCTCAATTTTCGGTGCGAATGTTGCAGAGTCATGACGGGTCTTAAAGGCCTAATACCCTATCCAGATGACAAAGGAGCTCCAGAGCTCAATGAAGCGTCAAAGACCACAATGCATTGTCTCTACATTCGCAGTTCCAAAGGCAGCCGTACCTTTCCACACATCCAAGCTCTCCACAAATTGTTGGATGAGCAGCATCTCGAGATCTAGATCCTCTCTCTTGATGGCGCTGACCTATGCAAATTGTGGATTTGGTGCAAAATACCAGACTGAATACGCTATCTGGGCACGAGTTGACAAAATAATGGGTTGAGCTGAGGACTGCTCTTTACTTGCATCGCTTTCCCTTCCTCTTCCAATACCGCTGAGAAGCGAGGAACACCAGCTATCGACGTTATAGGCAAGGACGGGGCCTTTAGCCAGGAGTGGTTCGCATGTTAGCAGGCAAGCACAAACAATGGAGAAACAGTTCTCTATGCATGCCCCCTAAAACACTGGCGTTTGAGGAGACTGATCGTCGTTGGGAGGGAAGCCGCCATGGTGGACCGGAATGTTATAGATTTTATCGAACGTGCTCTGTACCTCAGCCATCCACACTATCCCGGCCACCAGGACCCTAGGTTTTTTCATGTCAGCTACGGCTAATAGTGGAAAGGTCGGTCGGACAGAAATTGGACTCACATGCCTCGAAAAACTGATTTGCAGACACATGAACCTTCCGCTGCACTGGCAATTGAGGACCACTACTAAACCCTAGTAGTAGGCAAAGCATAATGAGAATGATTGGGTAGAGAATTGGGGGTGTCTTTATCGGTGTTCGAGACTTCGGGAACGGATAGTATTGCTCATTTGAGCGCCGGGGTCGCAAAGAAATGCGGGAAGGTCAAGGAAAGGGCTGATGCGTCAGCGAAGGTTTGTATAACAAGCAAGGTATTAGAGAAAGTGACAGTGACAGCGGTCCCAAATTATCCAAAAACTGATGAAGAGCAGGATCGAAGACAAGATTATCCGGTTCCTTAATGCTTTCTCAAGCAATCTTCATCTTGAAACCCAGACTGTTTCGAACTGATTCCCCAAACAAAAGTCAAGACAGGAAACTCTCGCGAATCAATACTGCTTCCTTCCCTAGGTAGCTATAAAAACACCCGGGTCTAAGCAAACTTTTGTTACATTCTTACGGGCGTAATGCCAAGAAGGTGCAGACATCATTGCTCTTGTCAAAAAGTATGCTCGTGAAGTAGTTGCTGTTCTACCGAAAGCTCTTGAACACGGCGAAGCTACCTTTACATCCCTTCCCGCATACCGCAACCCAAGCTGTCGTGGGCACTCCAATCTCGTCTCCAGATTGGATGCAGAACTTGGCCTCGTGATCATCCAGTACCTGAGCAGTGACTGCCGGGAGCCTGGCCTTCTCCTCCTCCGTCCACTTCTTCGCGACCATGGCTTGAAAGTTCTCCAGCAAGACATTATCAAGTCTTTCCTTCCGGTGCCCCATATCCCTTCTATTACTGAAGTCATCTCAATGCTAGTGAAGCCTCCTTCTTGAAGGGTCTTGCCTTAATAGAATCCCGTCGCACCACGGTATCATGAGTGGCAATTTGGTAAGAGGATTTGCTGGTTTGAATCTTTTCTGCACTTGTCACAATATAGGCTTAAAATCCGAACTCATGATCCGACATGGTTGATTTGTCCAAAAACCGGCGGCCTGCATACGCCTTTCCGATGCGTCCGAAACATCATACACTTTATTTGCACTGCGAAACTTGGAAACTGCAAGAGCCCCTTAGGCCGCGTCCAGGTATCCTCTCTCTCTCATCCTTCTACAACCCGTGCATCCTTTCGGGAAATTTAACATGGCACGTCGTGTGAGAATATGCTCCTAGCCGTGTAGGGTTGGCCACAATTACTACATCACGTACCTAGTAGGCTTCACAGCCGGCCTTCTTCCTCCTAATATAACAACTTCCCACTCCACATTACAACACTTTGTCCAGAACCAGAACATGAACCTCCTCCCAGCACAGCTACGCTCTGAAAACCGCGTCCCAGTCCTTGACCCAGAAGCTTGCAAATGCTGTCTCGTCGCTGTCTCTCAACTTGATGGTCCGTTCATGTCACTGCGGAAATCCTTCCACAAATAGGGATGCTGACTTCCTTAGCTGCCAAATTCATCATCCTCGACATACCCAGATTCCATCCCCACTTCGACATACATGGCTCCAACGAATTTGATACGGAGAGTACCTACATTGTCGTTACACGCAATGAGCATACGGAGGTGGGGAAAAGCTTTGTTGTGCGTTTGCACTTCTATCGGCTAGGCTGGTGGCGTGCCGGCATTCTGCGGATGGTTGGGAAGAGGTATAGGCAGCTGTGGGTTGGGCCGATGCCCGCGTGCCCGAGAGGGGTTAGCGAAGTTGCCGAGAGGTGAATTGGTAAGTTATTTTGCCTCTGAAAGCGATCGAGAATGATGTTCCGGAATTTATGGTGGAGCTGAGGCTGACTGTATCCCTTCGTAGGAACACGGAATGCTGAGTCACAGGACGATGGAAAGTAATTGCGGCCGGAGAAGCGTAACCGAGAATCCTGGCTCGTGCTGCTCTTCGGGTCTGACTGTGTCCGGTCACAAGCTCCACGACACATGCTACAATAGACCTAGAGTGACCTACGGCACGCGTGCTTAGAGCATAGTTACAAACGTGTTCAGTACCATGCACTTACCAAGTCATATTTACTCCAGATACTTGTACCCTACCCCGAGTCTGATTGTTGCAAGATCACCCATGATGATAATCTTCCTGGGTACGGGTGGTCTTTTGCTACCCAGACCCTAGCGAAATGGGCTCTCCTCTGCCCTGCATAACCTTCAGAGGAAAGCTCCGCTAAGGACTTGGGAGACTGGGTACCTAGTGGTGGTTGGAAAATCGTTTCTTTTTTGCAGGGGACGAGTCGGCCAGGTCATGGAGGTGTCTTCCGGTAGAGCGTCCGCAGGCTCTCTACAACCATGTATTAATGCGGCTTGCTGAATGCGGCCAACGCGTTAGACTAAGATTACGGTAATCAGCTTAGGATTGGTTAGATCCAGCTAATTACCTCGAACTTGAGGCTGGAATTTTGACATGCAAGTGATTGAGTGATTGAGCCACCGAGACTGATCTGTGTAGACTCAGGATCTCTCATATGTTCCCCCTGGTGTTTTTTAGCTCACAATCTAGAAAAGACTGCCCTACACAGGCAATAAAAAAGACCGAAATCTGCTTGGGTTAACGTGAGCGCATCATAGTAGCGTCACGTAAAGAAAGCCCCAACCCTTCTGGATGCCTATCCGGTTCTTCACAAGCCCATCACCTCGCAATACTTCGTGCCCCTGATTTCTTCCCTATCCATTTCCCCTTGGATTTCCAATCCCTTCGAAAGTCATGGATGTACCCGAACTATGAGTCAGAGATTACTTGATATCGAGTCCGAATCCGTGCGAAGTGGATGATCTGCCAGGGGGCCAATGTATAGGATTCGGTGCTTTGAAGACAGCAGCCGCTGCACTTCAGACGTGACGACGAGCCGACTGATATACAGTCGAGCCAAGAAGCTTTTGTCTTCAATCTCATCCGTGGGCCGGGTGACGATCGCGTGCGATGCGTGGGAAGTCCCTTTGGCCAGCTCATTGGACCCAAACACGTCAAATTGGCGGCGCAACCTCGGCACATTCACCGTATCGAATTTCGAGGCTAAACATAATTCTCAGACCCTTTCAATAGCAGCAACATGGGGACAGGGACAGACCATCGATTTTGTTTCTGGGGAGTCTCCGGAGATCCTTGGACTCGGGGTCAAAGACGGCTACCTTTTGCTCATGGGAGATCGATTGGAGCTATGGGATTTGGATGTATCGCGAAAACACATTGTTCGCCGGCAACAACGCTGCTGCAATATATACACGCAGAGCGAGACTGAAAGACGAGACAGTGCGAACTGTCAGTGTGAGAGTTCAGCTGGAAGGTGCCGTGACATTGATTTTGATTGGCGCCGAGGGCACGCCAGCATGACATGGTTCCATCAGCAGTGGTCTTTCTGGGCTCGTCACGCTCTTGGCACCTTCGGGCTGACGACATAAGACCCACCACCTAAGATCAAATCACATTTGAGGCATTGTTTTCTTCAGCCTTGCATAGAACCCATACTTCATATGTCAACAGGCTGTCAGACATGATAGATTGACACATCGCGTTCTACTTGACGGCAGCCTTGCGACACACAACTGAGCTTTGTTTTGTCTCACACAAGTACTTTGGTGTCCTATATTAGCTCACGGCAGTCCTACCGCACTTCTAGAGTAGGCGGCTGCATCTGTGGGTTAGATGCCATTGGATGTCCATCGTCAGGGCTACTGCGGCGGCCAGCCATTCCTGCGATCATGTCAAAGCAGCATCGGCTTAGAGTCTAACTGACAAGAGTTATGGAATGAGGATCATTCCTGCCATATGCGGGCATACGTTGATTCTCTGCTGACTCCAAAGATTAACAGGACCATCAAGCGCGGGAACTTTACTCTAGTCTCTAGGGTCTAAGCTGACCCCGAGGTGCATTAACGCACCCCGAAGTGCAGGATAAACCACGCTTAACCTGGTGTTAAGCCAGTTCGCACTTCAGCCCTTACACTTCTCCTCCGTCTTTGTTACATATGCACGGTGACTGCCTGCAAGCATCTCTTTCAGGTCGGACTGGGAACTCTTCCTATACTTCGCTCGGGAGCAGTGACAGGGGCTTCGGACTGGGATCCATACACTAGTGCACTAGCAAGTTTGTACAGTCCATTTGCCTGAGCCAGACGGTTGCACACCATGCTCTCTTCTACACCTCGTCAGTATTGCCCTCATCAGACCCGTACTCGGTCCAGCGTTATATCTTCTCAACTGATATTACACATGAGCACCTATTCCTCTTTGGTCATAAATGTTTCCCCCAATTACCGAGCATTTACAGTACGCCTGCTTCATCCACATGGCCGCACTAGGCTGTGGAGCAGTCAATTCTGAGGCCACGACATTCGAGTGGTTGGTGACTTTGTGCAATCTCGTCATGCGTTGCAACCTTGAATACCTACATCAATTTTTGTAAAATTGAACGAAGATGTGTGCAGATGTTATGACCATCAATCAGTGCTTCTCTGCCTCAGTGCTGATGTCAGTTGAACCAGTATGGTTCTTGCATACGCGGACAGCGTCGGAGTGGACTTTCCCTATCGGTTCCGGACATACGAGGCTCATGTACCCCTACAACGGTCCAAGAGCAGAGGGCGTTACACCAGGACCGGAACATATGGCGATGCTGCGGCCTTGCCCATTTGGTAGGTAGCTCGAGCCACTTCAGCAGCGCCAACGTACTTTCGTCCAATCGAAATCCCAAGGGGCAACATGCCAGGGTCCGTGACATTCAAAGATGGAGGGGTTGGATCCAATACCCCTTCTGAGGAGGCATACCTCGACATTACTGACAAACATGGAGGCACGAGCCAGAAATCATGGGCCCGTTCATCAGCATCGGGACAGGCATTCCACCAATCGACTTTTTCTCCAAGAAGAAAGGGAACTTCAACAATGCCGTAACCACCTTCCAAGCAGCGCTGAAGCTTCCTTCAAGGACCGTAGGAGTGCACCGGAAAACGGAACGGCTTTCAATGCACGACAACAAAGAACGCTTCTCCTACTTTAGATTTGACGGAGACGAGCGCCTCGGAGAGATTACTCTGGACGAATGGAAAGGCCACCGATTTACCCGACTGACTGGCAAAGACAAGAATCCAGGATGCATGACTTTGGAAAAGATGTACGTCGCTACCGCCGCCTACCTCGCGGAACCCAAGGTGCAGCAAGATCTCACGGAGTGTGCGAGGATCCTGGTACGAAGAAGACAGCTTCGAATGCGCAACGGCTCTGAGTGGGATCGCTACGCATCGTTCTCATACAATGATTGTAATGTCGAAGGCTGCGCCAGACAGCGTAGCAACAAAGCTCAAGACTTCAGGGAGCATCTGCGAAAGTTCCACCAGGATATCGCCCATCATGAGATGGAGCGAAGGGTTCTGGAATGTAGACGTGTCCATGGGTTCTACCGCCCGAACCCCCCTGACGCAACACCCTCTGCTGGATAACAGAACCAAATCGGAGCCTGAGCGGCTGTATCTATCAACCTTTCTGGGTCACCAAGGCCGATTAGAATCGACCGGTCTGGGTACCATGCCGGCCTTGTCGAGCAAAGGTCGCCCCGTTTTTCCCATCCTGTTGAACAAATCCCCTTACAGAGCTCTCCTAGCAAATGTATGGCATGGACAACGATCCTTCTCCCCCCCCATCTCTTCCCAATCGCTGCATTCATTGGATTGATGGTCCAACAAGGCGGCTTCATCGAAAAGTCGGTCTTTGTCAATAGTGTACAAGGGTACTCAGCAGCACGTAGACCTTTTCCCGGTCGTAAGACGAGATGCAGACCGCTATCCGTACGCCGTGGCCAGGCGCTGCCAAGATATGGGGAGTAAAGGACCGCAGATGAAGGAGAGGCGGGGAGCATGAGACGATGGAGACGGGCTGAGGTAGTTGGCGGTTTGCTAACTCACGTCTTCGACGACGAGTGAAGCGCTGCCGACATTCCGCAAATTCTCTTAGGGATTACACTAGAGCCAGATGGAAAAGGATGAGTTATCATGGATCTCTCTTTCGAGGAAAAAACGAGTCAGTGGGATCGAGCAAGACTTGTAATGGTTGCTGGAATGGGCTTGAAACGCTGGATTACATTAGACATTTATATATAAAGTGCAGCGCACTTAGAGCTACTGATGTACAGTTCATTCCCTATGCCTCTACCCCACCAGAAATCTCACAGACCTCGTATTCCTCCTTTGGGGAAAAGGACATCAATAACCTCGTCGAGGATTGTGAAAGCCAAATGTGTATTTAAACGCTGATTATTGACCGTTGCAAATATTCTTCTGCTCGCCGCTTGAGCGTTGGCCTTTCCTACCACGTTACCTGCTAGATCCGGAATCAACGTCGCCAGCATTACGCTGGCTTCCACCCTTGTGTGCGTCTTTTGGGGATCAGTCCGAACCACGGTCTCTGTCCGCATTCGGCCATTGGGCCACATGGTATCTTTGAGCATGTTGATGTACTTGAGTACGCTTGGCTCCGCGAACATTGACCGTGCCATTTCCCGAACTTTGCGCTCCACGGTGCCGCCTAAGAGCTGATGGAGGACTACAACGACAGCTCGGCCGCGCAGCCAATTGTTACCACGTTGCAGATCGAAGCTTTCGAGGAAAATGTCGCATATGGGTTTGACGAAAGGCTCAAGTTGATCAGCACGGTTGGTGTTGTTAGTGTTAGGATCGAAAGCCAGAAGCTCGGCGCGGGCTTCGGCTGTTTGTATGGGATCTTCAGGTGCAATGGGCAATGGAGCGCCGCTGCCCGTCGGCTGCATGGTATTGAACTGGGAAGTGGCGGCTGAGATAAGATTCTGACCGGCGATGGAGAGTTGGTCGAGAACAGGAACGTTACCAAGGAACTCGTCCATCCCGTCTGTCACGGAGTTGTAGATTCGGGAAATGATATCGCGCCGTTCACCTTCGCGAGTTGAGTCTTTAGTGGTGGAAATGATCGCTGATTGCGAGAGGAAGGCACGAAGATCTCGGCTGCGGCAAACGGCCGGTAGACGTAGGAGTTCTCGTAGATAGTTTTCGAGCGATACGCGCCGTTTGTGGAGGAAATCTCGTTGCAATTTCATGACCAGCCTCCGCCTAGGGAATTCGAGATTCCGGACAGTAGGGTAGATATTGCGAAGACGCTGGTGTAGGTCATGGAATTCACTGTATCTGCGTGCAACCGCCCATGATGCGGCAGACATGTTCTCTCCGGCCTTTCGTTGTACCTCAATGACATAGAGAGCAAACTCCTGCCCATCATCCTCTTTCCCAACCATAATCGATTTGATGTCAACATTGGCGCGACCATAAAGACTGTTGTCACTCTCTTGGACAATATATTGTTGCCGTTGAAGTTCTTTTCGACGTATCTCTCGCTGTAGACTCGACTTCGACTTGCCCAAAATCCGGAGCTCAGCAATATTATTCGTGAGCTCGGCCTTCCGAGTCAAAGTGTCGACAACAGAGTCCTGAGCGGCTAGTCTTTCAATATCGACCGTCAGGGCAGATATGGCTTCTGCTAGTCCTAGATCTCCTGGCGCCGCTTGGTGGATCTCCTCTTCCATTGTCTCGTCGGCAGAAACCTCGGGGTCCGTCTGCTCGTCTTCAAGGAATTTGTCTTCATCGCCAAACAGATCATTGTCCGAGAATACACCAATCCGAGACGAGGTGTTGACAAGGCCTAAAGATGCCAGATTTGGCCGCTCTCGCTCCTTTTCATGGGAGGCGGTCTCCGTCCTCTTGTGTTCACCCGAGCTTCGTGGCGAATCCATGATCTTCGTGGATAGGAAATTTGGTTCTGAGGTCTCAAACATTGAATCCTTGGTGTCGTCCTCCTTTGGATCATCTGTCATGATGTTGTTCAGTGCTGCCTCCATGGCTTCAACCATTTCCTCTTGGTTTCTATTTCCTTGATCGCCATTCAAGGATTCGTTGTCTAGGCTTCGAGTTGAACGAGCGAGGGGCTCATCATCAATATCGTCATCAAACAGAGGCGCAGACGTGTCTACGTCAAACGAGCGACGTGATTGAACAGACTGAGAGTCGTCAGTGGCATGTTTGACAATTGATTTGAGATCGCTGTTTGAGTTTGCATTTCTTCGGAGGTCCGGCCCATTTGCGTTGAAGCGAGTTGCCTTGCGAGATAGAGATGACGGTCTGCTTGGAGATTCAAGTATTGGTGCCACGGAGGGCTGTCTCAGTGCTCTTGCCGGCCTTGAAGACATCTTGGCAGATGCATCATCCGAGGTCAGGTATTTGTAATAAAGATCGGACTTTTTGAAATTTGGAAAGTGAACTTCTTCCATCTTCTCTAGGACAACAGCCTGCGCTTTCAGCACAGCACTTCGAGCCCGGAGATACTCCGGCACTGTGGCTCCAGCACCAGCTTTCAAGAACGCTCGGACAGCCTCCCTTGTCGATTCAGACAAGTTGAGCTCAGCTTTTGACAAATACGCCTCGTTAATTTGGGCGATGTCGGTTCGATCCGAATCGGTCCATTGCACCTGGGTTCCAGAAAAGGGATCATCAGTTTGTAGATCCTCTTCCAAAGGATTTCGAAATCCATCCACGACTATCCAGAATTGAACAAATGTCATGAGTCGATGGCGATCCATATACTCCATGAAATACGAGAGACCAGACGCGTCGTGCAGAACTTCCGTGAGTGACGCATTCAGCAGTCTTGAAGTGTTCTGACCCTTTTGGAAATCCGGCTGAGGCATTCGAGAGCCTGAAGTGCCTCCAACGGCAGACAGCTTGCCCACCCTCTGATCAAGTAATTGCTTGCCGGTATCCAAACGGCGCAAGAGTATCTGGTCCTGCCCTTCCATCATTGACTCCCGCTTCAATTGACTCGCCACCTCACTCCGGAACCTTCGCGCTTCCGAGAGATTGTTACATTGTCGAATAGACCTGATGAACCGCTCAAACTTGCGCTCATCGTCACCAGGAGCAATTCTCGGAAAAGTGTGTGGCTTTGAGACTTTTGGTGCTGGTGAAGCATGCTGATCAAGCGCAGCTCGAAGCTTGCGGACAGTCTTTCTGTCCTGGAGCATGGTCCGGCCATAGGCTTCCATCAATTGATTCCAGGTATCTGGGTCGGATAGCATCTGCATCAGTGGCGCGAGCACTGCGCATGACATAATCTCTTTAATGAGGACGGAAACAGCTCTACTCTTGATCATACTCTCGGGCAAGACTTCTGGTAGGAGCCGAACAATGATCCTGCGCAAGTACTCTTGTTGAACGAGCTTTAGATCCGAGTAAGCAAGCGAGGCTGCAGGATGTAATTTGCCATCACGGTATTTGCCAGCTATCGCAATGTCGAGCTCGTCGGATTCCGTGACAGTGCGATTGAGGTTCTTGCCTCGGACTGTCCTCTCGGCATCGTAAAAATCCTTCAGATGTGCTGTGACCAGTGGGACAACCCTTGAGACCGCAATCTCCACAACATCTACCGCAAAGAGTCTGTCACTGATGTTGATCAGTGCGATCCTTATTGCACGCTCGATCTCGTTGACGAAGTTGGAACTCGGAGAGATTTTGCTGTACCAGGAGGTAACGTAGTCTCGGAGGATCCAGTCAAGTAAGCCGTCTAGGCAGTCGGATATCATGAAAGAGGGGGGGTATAGGGGAGTCCTTCTGTAAATGGCCTTGGTCGAAAGCCATTCGGTCTCCTCCTTCCATGCTTTCGGTGCGATAAAGGCTGCGGTCCTCGGAGGTCTTCTCGCCAATCGCCCAACATCTTGCTTCTTTCTCGTGCTGAGCAGCACCAACGCTCCAATGGCAAGGAGAGTAATTGACGACCCAGCAATGAAGGCATAACCAAGAAAGCGGAGGATGGGAGCCCAGCTGATAAGGAAGCCCCAGGCGACGAAAGCTATGAATGCAGCTATGAGGACATCGCGGGCTCTCAGGGCCATAATCCTAAGGGAAAGAATGAGCTTCGTCGCCGCCGCATCATCATCGCCGCAATGCTGATATTTGGCGCTCACTGTAGCACAAGAAAAATAATACTTTAAATTCTGTAATGATGGAGTTTTTCCGCTGAAAATGCTAGCGCGTTTATCATTCTTTAGCTCCTCTACAGTCTAAGGTATCACCAAGCAGGCCACGGTCAGTCTCGGGCTCTGGCTCGGGATTGCTAACAGAGTAACAATGTGTCGACTTCAATGAGATCCAAGGCATTTTGGCAAGGGAAAGAAAGAGCGATAAAAGAAAATAACATGGAATTGTGATTTTGAATCATATGTCGGTTCAAGGTGCTTTGAAGGCTCATCGTTGTAACAGAGCCTGATTGCTGTGCCACATAACATCGCATAACATTAAAGGCCCACAGAAAGAGCCGCTCGCTCCGCCCCATGCGGTTAAAGTCAGAGACTGAGAGTGTTATTTGAAGCACTAAGGACAGCGAAGCCAACTCGGCCAAAGAATTGCAAGTAATCCACTCTCATGCAGTTCATACATGTCATGCAGTCAGCCAGCTAGTAGTCAAGTCGTATCTGGCTAAAAGACATAATCCTCCCTGCCTGCCATTTCCCTTGCTCTTTCTTTCTCCTTCTGAATTTTCCCAAGAAATCAAGGTATCCGCAATGGATGCTTTGAACGACGACAACGAGAAATTCCGACTTGTGAGCAGCAACACTCGCGAGGAAGCTCAACGTCCCAGGAGTGAGTCAGCCCTTTCCGACAGGACACTTCTCAACATGTCGGATTCAGAAACGGAGGAAAAGAGAAGGAGCGGTGATCTAGAGAAGGAGGGCCTTGTCGAGCAATTACCCAAAGTCGTCACAAAAGAACATGCCACCAAAGATCCATATGCAAGAGCCAAGATATTGATGTGGATGTTCGTCAATACTCTGGCTACCGTAACAATCGTGAGCTACCATTATCCGTCCACGGAGCAGTGCGCATCAGCCCCTCAATGCTCATTCATTGCGCTCATCGCCGTGCTGAATGAATACTGACCACATTCGTCTTGACCAGGTCTTCTGCAATAAAGCCATTTTCAGCGACAAATCCTTCTCACAATGTCAAGCAGCCTTCGCAGCCTTCCACTTCTTCGTCACAGCAGCGACGCTCTACCTCCTCTCTCGCCCTGCAGTCGGCATGTTCGAACCTCGAAAGATTCCTATTATGAACATGCTGCCTCTCGCTATCGCAATGGCTATGAACATCGTCGGCATGAACGTCTCTCTTCAAGTCTCAACTATTACCTTCTATCAAATCACTCGAGTCCTCCTGACCCCCATTGTCGCAATAATCAACTTCTTCTTCTACAAGAAAACCATCCCAAGGATGGCAGTCTACGCTCTGATCCCTATGTGTTTCGGAGTTGGCTTGATCTCTTACTACGACCAGAAGTCAGCTCCAGTTCCAGGTGCGCCAATCAAGGCTGTGGGTGCTCTGAGTGTGCTTCTCGCTTTCGGAAGCGTCACTGTCAGTGGAATCTACACAATCTGGATTGGCACCTATCAAAGAAAATACGAGGTGAACGGATTCCAGCTCCTGTACAACCAAGCACCCCTAGGAGGTGTACTTCTACTATATGTCGTTCCATGGTCGGACAAGTTTCCAGCGCTGGACCAGACACCTGCGGTTATGTGGGGACTGATACTCTTAAGTGGCTTCCTTGCCGCGTTAATCAACCTGTCGCAATTCTTCATCATTGGTGGCTCAGGACCTCTCGAGAGTACCGTTGTCGGACATCTCAAGACTTGCCTTATCGTGGTCATTGGCGCTTTCTCGGGGGGGAAGGTCATTACGGATAAAGCTGCCTTTGGGATCTTACTTGCGCTGATCAGCATTTTCTCGTAAGTCACTAATGTCTCAAATGAGGAGATATGATGCTGAGTGACTGCAGATACTCAGCAATAATGATGCGGCATACAAATTTGGCCAGTACGGTCAAAAAGTAGGTAATAAATCTACGATTTAGACAACCGCTCATCGAAGCAGAGCTTGAAAAGCTTGAGAATGGGGATATCAATAATCTAGAAATGTTTGTTGGGGGAGGGAAATACCCCACATACTGTGGAGGCGTTTGGGACTGCTATAGATTTCTCGAAAAACTGGCCGCATGTTTGGAAGCGGGCCTTGTGTCACCTGCTGTTTTGGACGTACGGCATCGGTGGTGAGAATCGGTGCATCTAACGATAAACATGTCCTTCATTATCGTTTAAACCCGAATTCAAATGCATTCGAACTGTTATATGGTCACAGCGAGGTTCTTGCAACATCGTCTCGAATTGGCTGTGCGCCTTTTAGGAGGCTCAAATCTCATCCGGCCACGCTGGATCCTCTCTCCTTCGAAAGACAGACACAAACCTTTTTCCCCCATTCCTCGTCACTTTCTTACCTTCCTCAGTCTCCTCCCTGATACACCTCACCAGCATCGCCACCAGCCCTTTCTGCCCCCCCTCATCAACCCACTCTCCCTCTTTCCCCTCCTCCGGCAGCTCAATTGTCTCAAACATGCCTTCCGCTCGGCCCTCTCCACTCTCACCCCCCTCATCTTCCCCACCGACCCCGCTGTTCCCAAACGCCTCGAACCGACTCCTCATCCACTCTCCCAACTCCTCCACATCCGTAATCGTATATACGCAGCCCCCTGGCCTCAGCACGTATGCATACTCGGCGCACAGCGTGCTCGACACGATCCGCGCCTTATGCTTCCGGGCTTTGAAATGCGGATCCGGGAAGCAGAGAAAGATGTGTGACAGCTGGCCGCGGGCGAAGAAGTTGGGGAGGAACTTCATGGTGTTGGCGCGGAGGCACGATATGTTCTGATACGGGCGCGGAGAGCGGTCGGCACACTGGGAGCGCAGAGCGGAGATACGATCCTCCACGTACTCCGTCACTTGGGTGCGGATCTCGAGCCCCAGGATCAGTTCGTCGGGCAGGAGGGGCGAGAGCGCGACGAGGAGACCGCCGAAGCCGCAACCGATATCTGCGACCGTGACGGGTTTGGTCAGGGGCTTGACCCCCGCGTGATCTTTGGCGACTGATTGGGTGTCCGGTGCGACGAAAGCAGGGTAGTGGGAGGACCAGTCCATGAGGGCTGGGCTTGCGGGGCTAGGTGCACCATCTGATTAGCTGTCAGCGGTAGAGGTAGACATGGGGCAGGCGGGTTTACTATGTCAATCGGTGGTCGGAGAATGGGTTGGCGTGGGCTCGTTGCCGGTAGAATTTCTTCTTGGGGAGCTCGGCGTTGCCCTCTTCCTTGTGGGTTTTACGGTAGTCCTCGCGCTTTTGACGCTTCCCTGCTGCCGTCATGGTGGCAGGTGTTGGGCTTGGTCGGGGCAGGAGAAGAGAGCGGCCGGATGTGACAGCGATAGAAAGCCTAGGAGCATGGAAGGTTAGAAAGGTTTTGAAGTGGTGCGAAATGAGAGGGTCTTGGCGGTTCGGGAAGACAGAAATCTGCCCCCCCCGGCTCAGTGCGGTCCTCACCCGAGGATACCGCATTTAGATGCGGGCTAGGTGATAGGGTGTTAATACAGCACCCCACCAGGGTGATCAGTACCCCAGCCGAATAAGCACGCTCACATCTCATCCTTTCACTCGTTCTAGCCCCAAACGACTGCTTCGATTTGCCCTGACAGGCTGCAGTAGTACGCTTCACCTAGGGAATTCACTGTTGTGGTTTCCTTAAGGCTGAGGACCGTTGCGTATATTTTGGGTCGCGATTCGAATCGAGCGCTAACTCTTAATCTATCTATCGCCTTTTGCCGCTTGATGGGAGGCTTCTTATTATTAGGTAGTAGATACAGAAGCGACACTCGATAGAATGTGTTCTAGTATACTTGCCGAGCTTCGCCAGCTCAAGGATGTAGATCTCGAACGATTCGCTTTGTATAGGCGGAACGGAGGTAGACAGGGGAATGTCGCTGCCGCATTCTTATTATCAATATCGGCTGGTTAGTCCTCCCATAGCTTATAAGGAAGCAAGGCGTTATCTTGCTATAAGAATGGCTACGGATAGCGGTGTTAGCTCTCTATTCTTAATATCTACACGATACTATATATATATTCTACTATCTTTTATATCTTATTAGTTATAATTATCTCGTAATAGCTTAAGAAGAATAGTAATTACGAGCGGAGATAAAATCTTTTAAATAGGCGAATATTATATATAATTATAAAGATAATTCTTATTACTAATTACGAAAAGCTTATATTTCTTCTTAATTAACTTATCTAAAGTTATAGTAGAATAATAAATATATCTTATCTTCTTAACTATATATCTATCGATTATATAATAAAAATTTAATATATATAATTTCTTTTAATTACTTCGTATCTTATCGACGAATAAAAGAAGCTTTCTATATTATATAGACTTCTTATATCTATTCTTTTTAATAGTAAAATTATTCTCTATATCGAAATTTAAGTAATATATATATTTATAAAGAAGAATATAGCGATTTCGAGTTATTTATCTAATAATAATTAAAGCTATTAAAATAATATTATTATTTCTTTAGTAATTATAAATAGTAGAAAAATAGTAGATTTTCATATAGATAGTAATAGCGATAAAGATTTTCAGCTTCGGGATCTTAAGAGGTTTTCAAATAGGACTAAGTAAATCTCTGCTGAGAGATATATAAATTAATATTATCGTAAAGCATTTTTCATATAATAGTAGTCTATACGAGTAAAGGCCTATGAATTAAATTCATAATCATTTTTTTGATTAGGGCTATCGAGTAAATAGGTGAGCGATCTTTAATGAGCGAACTTTGATAAGCGGGCTGTTCGGCTGTCGAGCGAACTTTGGTGTAGACTTCTTGCTTATTAATAATTTATAGGATCAAATTTCAAAATTCTTAAAAATTTGGAAAGCGCAAACAACGCTCCATAATTTAAAAAAAAAAATCTCAAAATTTCAATAGAAAACAAAAAAGTTATTCTATTCGTGAATAACGTACACCTATTTTTGATGAGGGAGACGCGGGAGGGCGAGATTTTGATGGTTGCGGACGCTAATTTATTTATCCGCGATGACTTAGCCGATCTAATTAAAGAGCGTAGTAACCCTGAATTTATAATTGGCTACATATATAAATTCAAGGTTTTCAAGCTCAGCTCTATCTTATTCTATTATATATACTAATAAGAGAAAATACTAAATATAAAATAACTTTTAGATCTTTCGAAAGGTGGTTAATAGCCTTATAATATGAAATTTTTATTAGTTAATACTTTAATAGTTTAGATATATCTTCGAGAAGCTTATTATATTTCTCGAGCTTTTTCTTTCTTATCTTATCTTAAGCTTCTCTTTTCTAACGCTTTAAAGTTTAAGCTACTTTAATCTTATTAGAAGTAAATAGAGTAGTAATTTCAGTTATAGTAGATATAATATAATAGAGTTATTAAGAAGAATAGAAAAGAGACGTATTATTAATATACGAAGAATTCTCGACTAATTAGAAAGCTTACTTTCTTAATACTTAAGACTTGAAAATAAGAATGAGTGCTACGCTAAGAAGCTAGTAACTAATTATATCCTCGAATTTCACGATTTTCAGTTTAAAATATATCTTATTTCTTTATTTTCGATCTAAATACGAGTACGGAGGTCGGTATTAAAAGTTCTAGATATATTAAGATAAGAGTTTAGATAGGGCTAAGTGCTTAATATACTTTCAAATTTTATAAATAGTATTATTATTCTTTATTTTAATAAGTACTAGTACTCTATATAATAGCGACGTAGTATATATATATAAAGTATATATATACGAAGTATAAATATACGAAGTATATATATAATAGCGATATTAATAGAATATATAATAATAATAATATTAAAGTATTAATTATAGCGTAAAGAAATAGAGAAAGAGTATAAAGACTTCTAATATATAAGTCTTATTTATATAATATAATAAATAGAAATCTTCTTATTATTCTCTATTTTAATTATCTTTTATTAATATATTTAATATTTAAAGTATTAATTATAATAATAAAACTCGAATTTAAGTATTTACTAAGTCTTATTAATTATAATTATAAATAAAACGTTATACTACTCGAAAAGATATATTAAGAACTTATAAGAAAGTCGAAAGATAATAACTATATTATTAAAATTATAAGCTTATTTAAAAGAGAATTTAGAAGTAAATAGAGTAAATATCGAGATATATTACGAAGATAATACGTCTTAAAGATAATAACGAGTATAGAAAAGATCGTAGAGAAGGTAATATACGATTATACGACTTCGTCGAGCGAGCTAATAAGTATATACGTAATTATATAAAGTATTATCGTTAAATAAATGTAATTATATAGAAGTACTAAGAATATTAAGAGTACTAAGTATTTTAGCGCTGTCTAGAACTTTTAATGCCGACCTTCGTACGTTTAAAAGAGAAAGTATTATAAGACTAAATCTCGAATATTTACTTTATTAATTTATTCTATTTAATTTCTTTAACGTTACGTAATTAGTATATATAATAGAATAAGATAGAGCTAAGTTAGAAAATCTTAAATTTATATATATAATTAATTATTAATTTAGAATTATTACGCTCTTTAGTTAGATCGACTAAATTAGCCCGCTAACTCTCTTAAGCTTTCTTATTAAAAGTTTATATATAAAAGTTTTATACTTTAAATTACTTAGTTTACGATATATATAATTATTTTATAATTTCTTAAATTATAGAGCTTACTTTACGCTTTCTAACGCTATAAAAATTATAAAAATTAGCTTATTATTAATAAATTAAATAAATATTTAAATATAATAGTTATAATAATTATATTAGACGTATTCGAAATTAAATAATAATTCTTTTATCTATTTATTATTCTTTTATTATTTTATTAATTCTATTAATTCTATTAATTTTATTAATATAAATATAATTATCTTTAATATCTCTTATCTAATTAGAGTCTCTTATTAACGTTCTTAAGTTATTTCTTAGCGAATTTATTATTACTAATAATTAAGATTATAAGCGAGCTTAATAGCTATTTACTACTACTTATAAACGTATTAAAAAATTCTTAAAAAAAGTCTAAATAAATATATTCTCTTTTATATACTTCTTTTAAGTTAATAATAGATAGATTAAACTAATATTTAAATATTATAATTATATTAAACGCGTTTAAGATTAAATAATAATTCTTTTATCTATTTATATAATTATTCTTCTTTTATTATTCTATTAATTCTATTAATTCTATTAATTCTATTAATATAAATATATTTACTCTTAATACCCTCGTATTTAATTAAATAAGAGAAGAATCTATAATAGATAAATATAAAGAATATTATGAAGAATATTATAAAGATAATTATTAGTAATAATAATATAATAAATCTACTCTTTATAATCTTATATTAATTTATTTAGTTAATATAAGAGAAGTTATTATAATAGACGAATATAAAGAATACTATAAAGAAATTAAGCGATAATAAGACTTTTAATATTAAGAATAAGCTTAGCTCTTTAAGATTTTACGTTATATACTCTCTACGATTTTATATTAAATTATTATTTAATAAGCGAAGAATATTATTATAATTTAATTTATTATTTCTACTATATTAAGAAGTAAGAGAAGAAACTATAATAGATAAATGCGGAGAATACTATAAAGAAATTAAGTAATAATAAGATTATTATTATTAAAAATATAGCTTAGCTCTTTAAGATCTTATATTATATACTCTCTACGATTTTATATTAAATTATTACTTAATAAGCGAAGAATACTACTATAACTTAATTATTTTATATTAAATTATTACTTAATAAGTAGAGAATATTATTATAACTTAGTTTATTATCTCTATTATATTAAGAAGTAAGAGAAGAAACTATAATAGATAAATATAAAGAATATTATAAAGAAATTAAGCGATAATAAGATTATTATCATTAAGAATACGACTTAGCTCTTTAAGACTTTATATTATATTAATTATTTACTTAATTAATTACTTAGCTAGTTACTTAATCTAATATTTTATAAAAAAAAATAAGAGAAAAAACTATAATAGATAAATGCGAAGAATATTACGGAGAAATTAAGCGATAATAAGGCTATTATTATTAGAAATACGACTTAGCTCTTTAAGATCCCACGTTATATACTCTTTATAATTCTATATTAAATTATTATTTAGTAAGCGAAGAATATTACTATAATTTAGCCTATTATCTCTATTATATTAATATAATATATTATTATAATAATATTATTATTAGAACTAGTATAGATATAAT